GTGCCAATCAGACTCTGTAGATCCAAGCCGGTGCCATTTTCACTTTATAGGGGCATTGGGAAGCAACAAGAATACCCTAGGCTTGGTTATCTCGACAATCTCGAGAAATCCCAATTTTCGATAGCCGAGATTTTTGTACGAGATCTTGTCTCGTGGTCCATTCTCTAATAGGGACCTTGTATAGGAGGGAAAAGATACCCTACGTGCTTTTAGCTTGCTAAACTCTTTATTAAAAGCCTTTTAATTTTAATCTCCTTTCCTATAAGCATTACCTTTTTAATTCCACTTTTATTTTACTTCTCTTTTCATGCTTAAATAATTTTCAATAAAAAACTTTTTCAACTAAAAAAATTTATTTCCAACTTGCGCAAGCAAAAATAATAAACAATAAAATTTTTATTGTGTAGAGAATAGGGAAATTATGTTCCTCTGAAAATTATTTTTATTTTTTATTTATTTTTACTTTTTTTCCTTTTTTAATATAGTGAACTTATTTGGAGGTTATTTAACCTAGCCCTTTGGGCTTTAAAAAAAGTTTTTATTGTACGTGTTGTGTCTGTACTTGCTTAAAGACCATATGAATGTTTAAAATCACCCCTCATCAGGGTTTCTGTCTCGATTGTTTCAGGGTTTCTGTCTCGACTGTTTCAGGCCGTGATCTTTCCATGATGGTGTGCTTAGTAGACATGATTAAGGGGATATCGATGGATTTGGTGTTATTGAAAGGGATTCGAAGTTAGACCCCCCCCCCCCCGAAAGGCTATTTTTCATAAAAAACCCCTTGGTTACCATGTCTAAAAAACATTTATGATAGTCAAAAGATTCTACGATCTTTTTAGAAACTTAAGAAACCTGAAATTAATTGTAGATTCTTGGCAGTCCTTGTTCAGATATACCCTTATTTTCTTATAGTTGGAACATTTTCAAATTTTCGATTAAATAAAATCACATAAATCTTTGTTCCGAGCTTTGAAAAGCTGATCAGCATCCACTGCAACTTTCATCAGTCCACTCAAAGGCTGATCAGACCTATCTTATCAGACCATTAAAAAGCCTTTTTGTAAAAAAGCCAGCTGGTTACAGTGCTTTGAAACCTTTCGAGTCGTTCAAAAATTTCCAATTTAAAATATTTTTTAAGCCTATTTAGCTCCTCTTTTTTTTACATTTTTAAATTTAAAATTTAAAATAAATAAAAGTTAATTTAAATGTTTTCCTCTTATTTCCACCTTTTCCCCTTTAATTCATTGTTTATTCTAGCCAGCAATCTGTCAATAATCAATATATTTATTTACAACCTCCTCCCAAATTTTATATTAAATTACAAAAATTGTGTTTTTTATTTGCAAAAAAAAATAAACTTAAATACAGTCAAACCTCGATTTAATATGCGTTTTTTGAAACTGTTGGACCCTGAGGTGGTAAAGCAGACTGAGCAATACCTTCCATTTAAAATACACCTCATACATTTTCGGTAGGGTGAAGGGAACATTATTGGTAGTGCGAAGGAACATACACATGGGCTGGAAGAAACATCTACATCTCATTGTGTTTCTTTCGGCATACTTGTGGATCGTAAGGGACATTTCAGGATGTTCCTTTTACACTACTTATGGGCTGGAAGGAACATCTCTTGGGTGAAGGGAACATACTTAATAGTGCGAAGGGCACACACGGGCAAGAATAACATCTCATTATGTTCCTTACAGCCTACTTGTGACCTGTAAGGGGCATTTCAGGATGTTCCTTCCACACTAATAGGCTGGAAGGAACATCTCATTATGTTCCCTTCACACTACTTATGGGCTGGAAGGAACATCTCATTGTGTTCCTTCCAGCCTACTTGTCACCTGTAGGGGATATATCACTGTTTTTGCTAAGCAAGACCCTCTGTTTAAGCTATACCTCATTATAAGGCACAAATATTTTAGCCCCAAAGGGGCCCCAAAGGGTATCTAAAACAAGGGGTTCGGCTGTAAATAAAAATTGGCTTTTAAGTATTAGTAATATTAAATTTATTTAATGACGTGTTTTTGTTTTTTACTCTATTTTTTACTACATACTAATTAATTATTCTAGTTTGTGAGAGGATATCTTTTTATTTTTGAAAAAATTAATTTTTAGTCAAATTAGCTTTATGCTAATAATTTTAATCTTTGTATTATTAATGTATTTTTTGTATTTTCTGTGAATATTCTTGTATTTTCCATTTATTATTTTATTCTGTATTTTTTATTTTTTTGTGTTTTCTATGAATATTTTTTTGTATTTTACTTATATTTTTTTATTTTTTGATTCTTGCCTTTTTTGTGTTTTCCGGTCTTTTGTATTTTTGTGTGTTAGTGTTTTCTGGTATTTTTTGTATTTTTTTGTGTTTTTTAATTTTTGTGTTTTTTTTTGTATTTTTATGTATTTTCCCGTGTATTTTCTGTGTTTTTGTATTTTTTGTGTTTTCTGGTATTTTTTGTATTTTGTGTATTTTTTGTGTTTTTGTTTTTTTATTTTTGTGTTTTTTTATATTTTCGGTGTTATTTTGTATTTTTGTCTTTTCGTATTTTTTGTATTCTTTTTATATTTTTGTGTTTTTGTGTATTTTTTTGTATTTTCCCTTATATTTTTTTATTTTAAAAATATTTTCGTATTTTTAGGAATCTCACCTATTTACTAATTTATTATTTTTTATTTCTCTCGTAAAGGGCAAAAATTGGAGGTGAAATAACCACTACCACCACAAATCACCAATTCATTCCAAAATTTTTATATTCGTCAAATATTTTAAATTAAAAAAAATAATTTATTTAAAGGAATGCGTCATTTAAAATAACCTTTTTTAAAAAAATATTTTTTCAATTTTTAATTCCTTAAATTAGTAAATACATGCCCATCTGCCTTTAAATACATCAACCCTCCTGTTTTGTTTTTATCATTTAATATACCTAATATGATAAAATTAAGTAGGGTTCAGCCATTGTTTTGGGGATGGTTGTTTATGGGGGACGATGGGAGCAGTGCTGTCCAGAGGTGAGCGCAAGAGACAATCTCAAAAGACGCAAAACGCAACGCCAAAATTTGTTGCAAAAAACGCAATGCGCTCACCCCTGGTGCTGTCCTTAACTGTGGATTGGGTGAAATTGCGTGTTTTTTTTGACTTGCGGCTTGGATTTGCGGATTTTAGAACTAAAATCCAAGTCTTTCCTCACTATCTTATCCTCTCTCCTTAACTCTCCGTCCTCTTCCCTTCCCTTCCTTTTCTCTCCCAGCCCTGTTCTCTTCCCTCACTTCCTTCCTTAACTCCCGTTCCTTTCCCTCCCAGCCTTTTCCACTCTCCGGCCTCTTCCCTTCCCTCACAAAAACCCCTCTCATCCCTTCCCCGGGCCCTTCCCTTCCATAACACCCTCCTCTTACTCCTCCTCCTCGTCCCTTCCCTCACAAAAACCCCTTCCGATCCCCTCCCCGGACTCTTCATTTCCATAACACACTCCTATTTCTCCCCCTCTCCCTTCCTTCCCAAAAACTCACATCCCCTCTTTGTCCACTTTCATCCCTTACAAATAGCACCCTACTCTTCCTCCCCCTCTCCCTTCCTCTTCCTCCCCCCTCCCCTCCTCTTCTCAATTTAAAAATTAGAAACAATTTTATCACAAAAATTGTTTTTTTCTTCTATTTTTACTTCATTAATTTCCCCTCTAATCGATCTCTGTCAACTTCTCTCCGAAATTTTTTTTGACTTTTGATTTTTGTTAATCCATTTGAATGTTAAATATCCTGTTTTTCTCTCTCCTTTTCCAAAATTTCACTGCAAAAAAGCAAAAGAAAAATATTAAAATGACAGCTATACCCAACCAATTTATTAATAAATACACCTAAAGGTCGTTAAAATTGTAGGCGAGAGAGAAAATTTATTTTTTAATTAATTTTTTTGTCATGGTACAGCCCGGCGCGCGGCCATAACGGCGCAAAGCCATAACTTGCTTCAGAATTTCCGAATCTTACCAACTTTGGTATTAAACGATTCCTCTCATCGAGCTAATCAGATTCGTACCAAAATTGACAAGGGCCAGAAATTTTCCAGCAAGTTATGGCTCTGCGCCGTTATGGCCGCGCGCCTACTTGGGCGTGTCCCTTTTTGTCATTAGCAAAAGAAAAAAATAAAAATATTTTTCAATTTTGTAGTCTAAACTGAATTTGTATTTAACAGAAAAGAAAAATCTTAGAATTTTAATTAATTAGAAATTTAATTTTTAACTGAGAGAATTTGAGTAATTTGACTGATAAAATTGAAAAAATATATACGGTGCTTTGAAAAGGCTTGCAAGAAAAAATTTATATTTATCGAAGCCTTTTCAGTGCCTGTTTATTTGCGTACTATTTAAGTACTTTATTTTTCTCATTGAATTTCTGGTTGAACCTTATTTGATGGACCAAAATGGGGTGGGACAAATTGGGGGTTTTGCTAAGTGGGACGAATCGGGCTGGGACGAATTCTGGGAGCCCCTTCAGACTTTATTATTTCCTCAAAGAAATTTAAATCCAAAAAATTTTTCGAAGATGACAGTTGGTACCAAAAAATGACATTTGATCCCAAAAATGACATTTGATCCTAAAAATGACATTTGATCCCAAAAATGACAGTTGATCCCAAAAATGACATTTGATCCCAAAAATGACATTTGATCCCAAACATGACATTTGATCCCAAAAATGACATTTGATCCCAAAAATGCAATTTGATCCCAAAAATGACATTTGATCCCAAAAATGACATTTGGTCCCAAAAATGTTTCTTTTATTGTATTATTGTGTTTTGTTTAAATTTTTAATTTTTGATTTTTTATTCTCTCATATTTCTAAATGTTTTTTAACCTCTTTTTCCACGTGTATCTCCACGATTTTGAGATTTATTGCTTTTTGGCTTTTATTCTTTTGCTAAACAAATAGAAAATATTTTTTTAATTATTGGGGAATCAATTTAAAAATTTTAAAAAAATTTCTAATTTCAGCGGCCATGAATTGCTTCAATCAAAAATTAAATTCGTCATGCCGCCAATTAAAATATAACATCATAATTATTGTATTATTAGCTCTTCTTCAGGTATTAAAAAATTTTTTAAATAAACTTGAAACAAAATATATTTCAAGTTTATGCTTTGCTTCAAGTTTTAATTTTTCTTATTAATAAGTTTATTTATTTTTAATTCAAGTTTGTTTTAAGTTGCAAAGATAAACTTGCTTTTAATAAAAATGAGAATAATTAAAACTTGAAGCAAAGCATTTAAATAAACTTGAAACATAGTATTTCAAGTTTAGTTAAGTTTGTTTCAAGTTTTAAAAATAAACTTGCTTACTAATCAGATAAATTAAAACTTGAAGCAAATTACTTGAAACAAATAATTAAACTTGGAATAGAAACTAAACTTGAAACAAAAAATAAATTTCAAGTTTATTTTATGTTTTGCTTCAAGTTTTAATTTTCAAGTTTGTTTCAAGTTGCAAAAATAAACTTGCTTATTTTTAAGAAAAATTAAAACTTGAAGCATGCAATAAAATAAACTTGAAGCAAAGCAAATAATAAACTTGAAACAAAAATAAAACTTGAAACAACCCATAAAATAAACTTGAAACGAACTTTAAAATAAACTTGAAACAGAAAATCAAAACTTGAAGCATAATCAACCCTAAATTTTGCAGCATCTATCTGCTACACATTTCGATACTTCTCAATGCGGAGCTTCCAAGCGTTGTGTAATTGGAGGGTGTCCTCAACAGAATAACCAACAACTAAATAATTGCCATTATTTCTTTTCGGTAAAGCCTGATATCGAAAATGCTGACGAGTCAGTGGAAATTGAGCTTTTTACCAAGAAAAGCTCACCAGAAACCAAGTACATTGCTGTTGGTTTCTCTGAGGATGTTTTAATGGTGAGCTCTTTTCCTCCTCAAAAACCCTCTAAAATTGCTTTTAGGGCGACGATTATGTCACTTATTGTGTTGTCAACCCTGCTGGGCAAGTAGAGGTTCATTTGGGGAAGAATCCGCCAGGTCAAAAATCTAATCAGGCTGCTGGGGAGGTAATTAACCTTTCAATAAACTTCTAAAAAAATTTTTCGCTAAAGGCCAATGATGCTGGCGTTCTGGAAATGCTTGAAAGCAAATCTACAGAAGATGGAATTTTTTGTAGGGTGAGGGAGAGAGATGAAACAGTCGAAAACCTCATTTGTGGATCTTCCCTGTGGGGAATTTAGGCCGTTTCCAGGGATGTGCGCCATGGCGTTTTGCGCGCCACGCGAAAATTTTGGCGCACATCCCTGGTCGTTACCCTGTTAATGTCATTTGGTCGTTCCCTTATATTAGTGTCATTTGGTCGTTCCCTCATATTAGTGTCGTTTGGTCGTTCCCTCATATTAGTGTCATTTGGTCGTTCCCTTAGTAATGTTGTTTTGGTCGTTCCCTTATATTAGTGTCATTTGGTCGTTTTCTGATTAATGTCGTTTTGGTCGTTCCCCTGAAATTGTCGTTTTGGTCGTTTCCTTAATAATGTCGTTTTGGTCGTTCCCTTATATTAATGTCATTTGGTCGTTTCTCTAATAATGTCGTTTTGGTCGTTCCTTGCTAACTGTCGGTTTGGTCGCTTTTATTACTAAGTTCCACCACTTATGGACAACCATACCTAACCCCTGGGATATCACAAACGAGTTTCGACTGTATCAAAAATAAAAAGGACTATTTATTCTAATTAAAAACTCTCGTTTCAGTTCCGTCAACACTACATTGCTTCTAATAAATACAGTCCAAACCTTAAACATCCTTATCATTTATTGTTGGCTAAAGGGCCTGCAGAGAATCCTCAAAGTGAAAAACTTCTTAAAAAATTTATTTTTAGTCCAAAATTCTTTCAGAATTGGACATGCACGATCTCGATCCATCAAACCATCAAGATTTTCCGTTTGCTTCAGCAGAACCTGTTTTACTGTTAAATCCTGAGGATGCTGCAAAATTTAGAGATTCGGGTTCCCAAAATACTAGTGGTAGTCCACAAGCTACTGGTGCTGCTAAGGGTGGAAATGGATTGACTTTTGTTGATTTGCATGGTAGGGAATTTAAAGGATTAATTCATAAGATTAGGTATAGGCAAACTTCATTATACCCCTTTGGTCTGAAGAATCGTCCCTTATAATGAGTTGTCTATTAAATCGAGGGTATCGCTTAGTTTCTCTCCCATTTAATGGCCAACCAAATTCTATCTTATCTTAAACTGAGACGTATCAGGCAAGGGGGGAGGTGTGCGCCAAAAGGAACAAGGGCTGGATGTGCGCCAAAACTTTGGCGTTACGAACGCAAATTTTCTAAATATTCTAACTTTCTAAATTAAAAAATCCCCGCTCCTTGTATAGGCCCTTGGTATCTAGTATTGAGTTTATCTTATAATGAAAGTTTTTCTATTTTATAAACTTGAAACAAAAAATTGAAGCAAAAAGTTGAAACAAAAACTTGAAACAAAAAGTTGAAGCAAAAACTTGAAGCATAAACTTGAAGCAAAAAGTTGAAGCAAAAATTTTTCCCTTTCAAGGTATTCTAATGCTTATTTCTTGGCTTGGCATGACTACAGTAGCAATCTACTCTGCTCGTTATATGCGCGATTCATGGCCTCATACAACCGTTATGGGACTTAAAATTTGGTTTCATGTAGGTCCACTTTCTAAAATTTTTTCTAGCCATTTTTAAATTTCTTCCCTTCAGATTCACCGCACTTTAAATTTCCTTGCCGTCATTTTAATGGTTGCTTCTATTGTTTTTATTGTTTGGAATAAAGGAACTTGGACAGGTCCTTGGTTTGGAATGGCTAAAATTGGGGCTCCAGAATGGCACTCACTTGTAAATTAATTTTTAGAAATTTAAAGAAGCGTCCGCAAATGTTTGTCCGCAAAATTTGTCCGCAAATATTTTTTGTCCGCAAGTGTTCATTTTGCCTTCTCCCTTCTTTATTTTTCCTCTCATAAAGATTTAAAAAATTCTCGAGGACACGGGATCCACAGACAATCCACAGACACGTGGCTTTCCACATCCACAGTTGCGGACATAAATTGCGGACAAAAATTGCGGACGTGAGGCGGTCTATTGCGATAGTACCGCTAAATTTTTCACATTTAGGCAGGTGCTTTTGCTGTTTTGCTGGCTTTTTCTCAGCCTTTTGGAGCTCTTATTAGATGTGGAATTGATGATCCTAAAAGGCCTATTTTTAATTGGATACATAGAAGGTCCCTTTAATTTGTTTAATTTCAAAATACAGTCAAACCTTGATTTTAAATCATTCCCCAATTTTCTAAAATTTGGTTGACCACTGGGTAGAGGGTTTTTAAGAGTTACAAATTGGCTCCACCTGTAGTCTATTAAAATTCTGTCGGTTATACCATTTTTTCGTGTTCCATTATGTCTATGTACCATTTTGTCTGGTGTACCTTTTTGTCAGATGTACCTTTTTGTCAAGTGTGCCATTTTCTCTGGTGAACCATTTTGTTGGGTGTACCCTTTCGTCGTGTGTACCATTTTGTCGGATGTACCATTTTGTCGGATGTCCCATTCTGTCGTGGGTACCATTTTGTCGGATGTACCCTTTTGTCGTCGTAATTTAAGATACCCCCATTATACGTTACAAATTATCCCCAAAGCCTGTAAAAAATAGGTACGACTATAATTTAAACTTTTCAGTATTGGACTCATTGCCTTCGTGCTTGCCCAAGTTGCCATATACCTCGCCATTTCAACTTTCAAGTAAAACAAAAAAATGTCCAAAATTTTTTTAAATTTTAAAAATTTTTCAGAAGCCATTTCGCCCTAGCCGATTTTGCCTTTTGCTTCCTAATAATTTTTTACGTTGCTCTCGTTATCTTCATAGTGGTTAGCGAAGTGTTGCGATTCATTGAACTGCGCGAAAGGGAAAAAATTTCTGCCATCGAAATGCAGACAAGGACTAGAGGGTCAACACCTTCGGATGCTTATTACTACCATACTCGAAAAAATTTTTCTTCAAAGGTAAAAAGAAGTTGGCTCTTGTTCAGATTAGGCGTCCAAACAGCCTTTATACATCCAAGCAATGTTTATTGGTACTATACTATGGACACGTGCACATTATCTGACCATTGATTTAAGACGCAGAACCGGGTACTGGAACTTATGCAGTTTGGGTACACACCCCATTTATTCGCGAGATACGCCCTCATTTATCAGGCGAATTGACTAATCAACCCGATTATTCGCGAGCTAGCAAGAAGCCTCTATTACAGCGTACTAAACAAAACAGCTCTCGACTCTTGTGAGACGTATGCTGGTTAACACCGCACGTGTTGAGGAATTATTCCCAAGCGTTTTTCCGACCTCAATATGGTTACTTTGACGATTTTTAGCTTGCGAATAAATGGGGTGTGTACCCAAACTGCATAAGTTCCCGGGTACTTATCGTATATAGTGGACGCATACTAATTTGATTGGACGCATAAAGGTTGTTTGGACGCTTAACTGGACAAGAGCTAAAAAAATTTTTCAAAAATTCTTCTAATTCCCCTCATTTTAAAGCTCGTTTCTGCGCGGAGAACTCTGTTTTTTGTAGCGGCGTGTACATTTGCTGGGTCGGCATTTATTCTGGTACTTCTCGTACTTGTCCATTAAAATATAAAAAACAATTATAAATTTATGTCTCTATTTAACATTTGTATAAAAATATTTTAAAAATTATAGTACACTCACTAGGTCTAAGGAAGGGTTGGGGTCGATTTAGTGCGGTAACGTTTTGGCGCGAGACTAAAAACTGGCACTTTGGAGAAACCTAAATTCATGAAATTTTTTTAGGTTTTCTTAACATTTGTGACTACCTCCTCCAAAAATTTCAGAATTTTTCATCAATTATTTTTGAAGTTATAGTCGATTGACTTCGAAAAATTAGGCATTTTTCTGAAAATCAACATTTTTGCTGCCATTTCTGAAATTTTAGCTTAAAAATTCTAAAATTTATTGAGAACACCTCATTATAGGACAAACTTTTAGTTCTAAGGGTCTCAGCTCTCAAAAATTCAGCTCTAACAATTTTGAACGAGGTTATCCCTCTGCGGTACCTTGGGCTTGCGATACCTTGGCCTGCTCCCCCTAACTCCATTCATTTTTTTTTAAAACGTTTGGGACAAATTTTCTTATTTTCCCCTATTTTAAATCGTATTTATCAACTACATTAATTGTAAAATTATTTTTAATAATATTACATATTTTTTACAATTGTCCTTGTAAACGCCAATATTTGCGCACACTCCTCAAAAAGTTGGATTATCTCCCCCACTAATTTTTTGTTTCAAGTTTATGCTTCAAGTTTTAACAAATAAATAAGCTTAAATGTAACAAACCAAAAAGAGTGTTGAACATTGTTCCCTTACAAACTAAAATCCTCAAAAGTATCCGGTTTTGTGTTCAAAAAACATTGGGAGTTTTGTATTGCCAGATCATTTTTTGTAAAATTTATTTATATAAATTCATGGCTATTTTTAAATTGCTTGTTATTTTATTTATTTTATTCCAGTCAAATCTGATTAAAAATACACTTAATATTTTTTAAAACCTCTATTTAAGAGACGCTTGTTTAATTTGGTTAGCCAACGGTTTAGGGAATTGAGAGTTGAGATGTTGTTTCAAGTTTTGCTTCAAGTTTTTGTTTCAAAATTTGCTTCAAGTTTTTGTTTCAAGTTTTTGCTTCAAGTTCTAGTTAATGTCCTCTATTCATTATACCCCTATACCTCTATTCACTATACCCCCATTATAAGACCCCATTTTCTCAGCCCCAAGGGTGTATCATATAATGAGATATTTTTTAAAGACCTCTATTTAAGGGACGTTTTTTTTAATTTGGTTAGCCAACGGTATAGGGAACTGCCTAGACGAATCCTCTATTTAAGAGAAACCCATTATAAGATACAATGTTCTCAGCCCGACGGGGATATCTTTTAGTCAGGTGTTTTTAAATTTGTTTGGTCATCGGGTGTGGGTATTAAGCGACACCCTCGATTTAAGAGAAACCTCATTATAATGTACGGTTTTTTAGAGTAGGTCTTATAGTGAGGTGTTTTTATATACCTCAATATAAGCTACGCTTTCTCAACTGGTTAACCACTAGGTTTGTTGATCCAGACAAACCCTCTATTTAATAGAAGCCTCATTATAATGAACTATTTTTTAAGTCCCGGAGGGGTCTCTTATAACGAGATTTCTCTTTATTTATTCATTTATTTTTTTAAATTATTTATTTTTGCTTCTGTTTTCTCCAATTGTTTAAAATACCTAGCCGCGCAAACGATTTTTCCCTCTTTCTCTTTTGAAAATAAAAATAAATTGGAGAAAAGAAAATATAATTGGCCCTAAAACTGTTCTAAACAATTTTCCGTTCCTTTTTGGTTTTTCTGCTTTTTATAGGGGATTGGCCATTGTGAAAGGGACAGGTAAGAGGTTTGACCATTATATTTTAAATGAGGAAAAAGGACGCGAGGTAATGGGGTTGAGGACAGTTGTGGACAACAATAACGACCTCTCTCCATTATTAAAAATAAAGCCTGCGCCTAATAAACACATTTTCTGGTTAAAAAGACAGTTTCTAGGTTTATTTCTAAGTTTATTTTAAAATTAATTTGTTTCAAGTTTTTTGTTTCAAGTTTTTATTTCAAGTTTTTCTTTCAAGTTTTAGTTTCAAGTTTTTTGTTTAAGTTTTTATTGCAAGTTTTTGCTTAAGTTTATTTTTCTTGATATTAAAGTTTATTTAAATCAAGTTTATTTTTTTGCTTCAAGTTTATTTATTAAAGCTTATTTTTTATTCAAGTTCAAGCTTATTTACTTATTCATATTTACTTAAGTTTCTAAGTTTAAGTTTATATTTAGTTTTTATTCAAGTTCAAGCTTATTTACTTATTCATATTTACTTAAGTTTCTAAGTTTAAGTTTATTTGCTAGTTTTTATTCAAGTTCAAGCTTATTTAATTATTCATATTTACTTAAGTTTACAAGTTTAAGCTTATTTACTAATTGTTTTAAGGCTTTATTTTTAAGTTTTATTTTCTTTATGAGCTTCAAGTTTAATATTTAAGTTTGCTGCAGGTTTATTTTTTCAAGTTTATTTACAAGTTGTTTTTAAGGCTTTATTATCAGTTTTATTTTCATATTAAGCTTCAAGTTCAATTTTTAAAATATGCTTCTAGTTTTTTTTCTGCTTCTAATTTCTTTGCTTCAAGTTTATTTTTTTTGTTTTTGCTTCAAGTTTATTTTTTTTGCTTCAAGTTTATTTTTTTGTTTCTGCTTCAAGTTTATTTTTTTGTTTCTGCTTCAAGTTTATTTTTAAGTTTATTTACTAGCTGTTTCGAGGGTTTATTATTAAAGTTTATGCTTCTGGTTTTATTAATTTAAGTTTTGTTTCCAACCCTCTTATTTTAGCAACAGAAACAAATATTCTCCAGAATGTTTATAAAAACACTATTTATTTTTACCTATTCTTTTATTGCTTCCTTAGCAGCATCACCTTATTTTTTTTTTTCTTTATCGACACAAATAAATAAATGTGAAACAATAAAATAAAAACTCCTGGATCCGTAGGGATCACTTATGGAGATAGTAACTTATACAAATACAAATAAATGGAATACAATAAAACATTTTTTTAAATGTTAAGTTAAAAAAATAAATATAAATGGACTTCACAAAAAAAACTACATGTAAATTAAATGTATAAAGGCAGTATCAATCAAAAAAATATATATATAATAAGTCATGGTAAAAAAATATTCGTAATAAATTTAAACTTCTTTAAATGTTAGGAGTTAAGTAAGAGAGTGAACACGTGGGGAAGGGTTTTGTTGTTATTACACTCCATTAATTCTTTGCTTATAAATTAAGATTTTCAGTGTTTAATATATTGTCTAAAAAATTTTTAAATTGCGGAATAGTATCGATTTTTTCAATTTGATTTTTTGGAAGTTTATTCCATTTATCTATGACTCTATGAGAAAAGAAATGGTTATTGTGAGCTTGTTTTTTAAATATTTGATATCTGTGCATGCGCGGATTATTTCTATTAGGTTTTGAAAACATTTGTTCAGGCTTTATTTTATAGAACCCCTTTATAATTTTGAAGGTTGTCATAAGATCTGTTCTTATACGACGGATATTAGTTGGAGGGAGTTTGCATCTTTTTAGTCTTTCGTTATAGCCTATTTTTTGGTATTTGTATTTATATCTTAAAACTTTTCTTGTAAAGCTCCTTTGTGGTCTTTCTAATTGTTTATTAAGATATTCTAATTTAGGGCTAAAACTTTCTGTGGAATACTCCATAATTGGTCTAACATATGTTTTGAATGCCTTTACGTATGTTTCTATTGGTAATGTTTTGGGTAATATTCTTAGAATATTATTTAGCCTTATAAATGAGGCTTAGTAATTTTAGCTACGTGTTGATCAAATTTAAGCTTGTTATCTATGTATATCCCTAAGTCTCTTATGCTATTAACTTCTTCGATTTTTTCACCACTAATCTCATAATTAAACTTAATTTTGTTGTATATTTTTAGAACCTTAACTTTTGAAATAGAGAATTCCAGCTTATTATTTTTTGCCCATCTATATGCATTGTTTATAGCTCCTTGTAGTTCTAAACAATCTTTTTCAGTTTTGATTTCAGAATAAAGCTTAAAATCATCTGCATATAATTTAACCTTTATATTTTTTGGGATATGTTTGGGTAAGTCATTTATATATATTAGGAACAGCAATGGTCCTAATACAGTCCCTTGGGGAACTCCTGTTTTAGGCAAAAATGGTTGAGAGTAATTCTCATCTATTTTGACAATATGAGATCGATTAGTGAGAAAATTTGCTATCCATCTAATTGTTAAACTATCTACTTTAATTTCCTGTAATTTACTTATGAGTATTTCATGATCTACTTTATCAAAGGCCTTTTCAAAATCAAAGTATATAATGTCCGTACCTAATTTCCTATCAAGTGAGGTATACCAGTCCTGCATTGATAATAAAATTTGGAGTGTACACGAGCTTTTAGGTAAAAAACCAAATTGCTCTTCAGCAATTATTTTATGTTTATTAAGGTGTTCTAATAATTTATTCGCTATCAGGCGCTCATAAACTCTACAGATGGGGGATGTTAATGCAATTGGACGATAATTTTTTGAGTCGTTTACTGAACCCTTCTTTTTAAATATAGGTTTAATGTGTGCTGTTTTCCATAATGCAGGGACTATTCCGGTCTTAAATGTATTGTTATATAGAATTGATAGAGGAAGAGCTAATGGGGTAGCACATTTTTTTAGGAAATATTGATTGACATTATCAGGGCTATGGGATAATTTATTTGGGAGCTTCTTGAGTAACTTTTCTATTATATATGGTTCAAATATAATTTCTTCAGAACGTTCATCCATAGCTTCGAAGCTTGCTTGTTTATTGTTTGTATTTCCGCAAACCACTTCTTCAAAAATTTCTCTAAATTTTTTAGCCTTGTCAGTGTCTAATATTATAGGGTCGCTTTCTTCAGATTCCTTAAGTATTGGTATACCAGAGAAGTTTAGTCGATTTCTTTTCATTAATTTATGTATTTCCCCTATATGCCCTGATCCTATCTTTTTAGATAGATAATCATTTTTATACTTTTCTATTTGTAATTTACATTTAATTTCGAGACTTTTGTAATTTTCTTTACTAATCTCACCTAATTTTAGCTTTTTCCATGCATTAGCTTTTTGTTTGATAGTTTCTCTAATTTCCTTGGGATATTTTATGGGTATTTTTTTACCAAATTGTTTAAAAGGGATGAATTTTTGAATTGTTTGTGTTATTATTGAATTCAGTATTTCGGCCATATCCGAGGGGTTTTTGTTATTAAATAGATTGTACCAGTCATATTGAGCTAAATACCAATTAATAATTTTATATCTTCCTTTCTTAAATAATAATACTGTTTTTTTCTCTTTAGATTTTACCTTTTCGATAGGAAAAGTTATTTCAAATACTATAGGTTTGTGATCACTTACAACTAAATCATCGATAACTTTATATTCTGTAACTAATGGTTTATTTTGGAGAATTAAATCTAATGTATGGGCACTATTATACATTGTTGGATTCTTTATTATTTGATGTAAATTTAGTTTGTTAATTGTATTGTAAAAATATAAGCTTTGTTTATCTTTTGGAAGCGCACTCTCTTGCCAGTTTATTTTTGGAAAATTTAAATCCCCTAATACAATATTAGAAAGTTCACTTTTGTATTTTTGCTTTAGTAATCCCCACATTTTTTTATCATCGATTAATCTTGTATTTGGTGGTCTATAAAGTAAGTTGAACCTAATTCTCTTAAAGTCTGAGTAGATGTCGAAAGTAAGAAGTTCTTGGTTATATAAGGATAATGATAGTGTTGGAATGCTGATAATTTTTAGTTCCTTTTTATAAAATATACCTACGCCGCCCCCTCGTGCAGTATTTCTATCTATTCTTAAAAATTTATAATTATCTGATAGGAAAAGGGTCTGATCCGATATATTATCATTTAACCAAGTCTCACATAAAAATGCTATGTGGATTTTATTTTTAGTCAGATAATTTTCTAATTCGACCAATTTATATGCAGTTTTTAGTGAGTTAATGGAGCGAATATTATAAAGTAAGCATTTTAAATTGTTTAATTTTTTACCATTTTTTTGTGAGGTCCCTAAATCCTAGCCCGTGTTCACTGTCTTTTTATAATAAATTTTAAGATTACGATAACAGGCAGTTCCATTTCCATTTTTTTCATTAATCTCCTTAACCTGCTGTTTAAGGTAGTTTTGTAGTTGGAGTTCTGGTGGGGTTAAGTCCCTTCTTGCGAAGGGACTATGCCCACCTAGTATTGGTTGATGAATTGTTCTGTATTGACTGATAAACGATTGTGCAGCTGATGGTGTAGAAAATTTTACTTTTATGATGCGGTGATGTTTGTTTTGCTTTTTAACACCATGTCGTTTAACAGCAAAAGTCTTATCTTCCTTAAAATTTTTGTTATCCACCACTATTTGAACATTTTTTTCAATATTTTTTACGTCTTCTTGTTCATTTTCCATTTCTGGAAACCTTCCAATTACCGCATAAAAACTCTTCTTTATATAAAGCTCTTTTAAATTTTCGTCAAATTTTGGTTGTTGGAGTTGCTCAATTGTTGTCGCAGCTTGTCTTATTTTTGGTGGCATTGAATTAGGGGGGCATCCCCATCGAGAAGTTGATTGTTGTGTTTGGGAAGGGAGTTGGTTGTTGTTGTATTTCTGGTGTAATTGTTCAAACAATGTTTTAATTGTTGTTTCAATAATGGGTGTCAGAAGTTGGACAACATTGTGGGTTTATTACTAATTGTTTTAAGTTATTTACTAATTGTTATTTACTAATTGTTTTAAGGCTTTATTTTTAAGTTTTATTTTCTTTATGAGCTTCAAGTTTAATATTTAAGTTTGCTGCAGGTTTATTTTTTCAAGTTTATTTACAAGTTGTTTTTAAGGCTTTATTATCAGTTTTATTTTCATATTAAGCTTCAAGTTCAATTTTTAAAATATGCTTCTAGTTTTTTTTCTGCTTCTAATTTCTTTGCTTCAAGTTTATTTTTTTTGTTTTTGCTTCAAGTTTATTTTTTTTGCTTCAAGTTTATTTTTTTGTTTCTGCTTCAAGTTTATTTTTTTGTTTCTGCTTCAAGTTTATTTTTAAGTTTATTTACTAGCTGTTTCGAGGGTTTATTATTAAAGTTTATGCTTCTGGTTTTATTAATTTAAGTTTTGTTTCCAACCCTCTTATTTTAGCAACAGAAACAAATATTCTCCAGAATGTTTATAAAAACACTATTTATTTTTACCTATTCTTTTATTGCTTCCTTAGCAGCATCACCTTATGGCGGGGATAATAACTATTATTATCCAACTGCCCAGCAAAGTAATAATTATTCCCCTTCCCCCTCCACTCCGTTCCTTTCAACACCAGATATTATAGGTAAATAAAAAATTTTTTGGAAATTAAAAAATTTTAAAGATAACGAGGTTGTGGAAGCTCCACTCATTCATTGTACAGACAGAGGCGTTGAATTTAGTATTAAAACTAAGAATACCTTTCGGTAATTTAATTACCGTATTTTCTGTATTAAAGCTCCTTTAGCCCCCTCTGTATTAAGGCCTTTTTGTCTCCGTACCCAGATGACGGTTGTACTATTTTGTCGGTTGTACCCTTCTGTCGGTTGTATCCTTTTGTCGCTAGTACACATTTGTCGGCTGTGTCATTTTGTCGCTTGTACTCTTTTGTCGGCTGTACCCTTTTGTCGTTTGTACTCTTTTGTCGGTTGTACCCTTTTGTCGGGTGTCCCTTTTGTCGGTTGTACCCTTTTGTCGATTGTACCCTTTTGTCGGGTGTCCCTTTTGTCGGTTGTACCCTTTTGTCAGTTCTACCCCTTCTGCCATTGTATTCCTCATTATGTAGGAAGGTTGAAAAATAAAATCCCATGGGGCTTTATTACAGAGAATACGGTAATATCCATTCTTCTCACTCCTCAACTAATTCCCCTCACATTCAGTGGAAATATTTACGTCCAAGGGCAATTTGGTTTGACTGAATGCCGAAGAGAATTTTATAACAACGACGCCCCTCAAGCAGGAATTGAAGTTCGCCTAAATGATTGTGGAATGATTAGAGAGAGACGCCCTCATGGAATGAGCTATTCTATTGTTTTAATTGTTAATTTTCATCCTCGATTTGTGACGAGAGTTGATAGGGCTTTCAAAATTTTGTGTTCTTATCAACACACTGAAAGACCGGTTGGAACTGATCTCGAAGTTGGGTGAGTTGATTAATAATTAGATAGTCTGACCTCACTATAAGATAAACCTAATCCAGGATAAACCGCAGATAAATTTGGTTAACCACCTTTTTGTCACTGTACTTCTTTATCGGCCTTTTTGTCGGCTGTGCCTTTTTGTCGGCTGTACCATTTTCTTGTCTGTACTCTTTTGACGGGTGTACCCTTTTGTCGGCTGTACCCTTTTGTCGGGTGTATCCTTTTGTCGGCTGTACCCTTTTGTCGGCTGTACTCTTTTGTCGACCGTTCCCTTTTGTTGGGTGTGCCCTTTTTCGTGTGTACTCTTATGTCGGGTGTACCCTTTTGTCGGGTGTACCATTTTGTCGATTGTACCCTTTTGTCGTGTGTACTCTTGTCTTACATCTCATGAGGTATAAATAATTTTTTAGCCCTCAAGGGTGTTCTTATAGTGAGGTTGGAATATTAAAGTATCAAAAAAATTCTCAAATTAATTTAAGCACCGTTCCAACCGAACCTTTACTTTCTGACGCTATATTGGTCCCAGATTGTGAATATTCTATGCGTCTTGGTGATCCAAACGGACCTATAGCAACAAATACTGTTAGAGTTGGAGAGCTTATATTCCATCGTTGGGAGTGTCAAGATAGCCGTAAATAAATTCTTTATTAAATTTTGAGGGAGGATTAAAATCAGGGCTGTGCGCCATTATTTTGGCGTTCCGTTTTGGCGTTGTTTTTGGCAAATTTTGGCGTTATGATGTTTGGCGGATTTTAAGAATTTGAAAATTTGGCATTTGAGAGATTTGTCGTTTGAAATTGAAAAATTGGCGTTTTCAAAATTTTGGCGCACAGCCCTGATTCCTTCTACTAAAAATAAAATTTATTTAAAGCCATCTACGGTATGTTAGTAAAGAATTGTAGAGTTTTTGACGGTGGGAACGAAAATGTTACTTTGATTGACGAGAGAGGTTGTCCTACGAAAACTGGCGTGATTCAAAGTCCTCCGGTTTATAGGTGAATTGGAACAAATAAAAAACAAATACGGAACAAATAACGAATAAAAGACAAATAAGGCTGTTATACCCCCTTGACTGCCAGCCGGATTATGATCGGCTATAACTTTTTGATACTTTTTCCAATAAAAATGAGTTTTATATCATTCGAAAGCCCTCGATGAGCGCTATCTTTTTTGCTAACTGGATGGATCATGTCTGATCGTCCATTAAAAAGTTATAGCCCGATAGGTCCAGTTATTTGGTGTTTTTCACGTTTATTGGGTTATAACTTTGTAACGAGTGATCAGATCTGTTCCGTCCTACTAGGAAAAAGATAGCGCTCGTCGAGGGCTTTCGAAAGATATAAAATTCATTTTTATAGGATCAGGCGTCAAAAAGTTATAGCCGATCAAAGTCGTCTGTCACTCGATTTGTGGGGGTATAACAGAAATTCTTTCCCCTTATAGCGACGCTTTAAACATCGCCTATGCCCCAATTTTTGCTTTTCATTTTCCTGATCGAACTCAAATGAATTTTCGTTGCCAAATTCAATCTTGTAACAAAATGGATAATGAATGCAATGGATTGACTGTGAAATTTTTAATTTTTTGAAGGAAATTTTTTTCAATTTTAGCCCCCAAATTGTCCAAATTCTGTGAATTATCCTCCTCCACCCACTCCCTATCCAGCTTCTCAGTATCCCTATGGACAGCAACAACAGCCTCTAATACCTCAAAACCCCCCTCAAGGAGAGGCATATTCAAATTACTTGAATAATCCAACAATTGGTTCAACACCTCCATATTCCCTTCCTACCTACATTGGCGCTGGGGTCTCCCCAACTTGGCCTCCAAATGCTTTACGCCTTGGAAGTGTTCTTCAAGGAAACCCTTCACAAGTGCTTCAAGGTATTGGACGCCCGTGGCCTGCAAATATGCGCCGTAGAGTGGAAAAGCATGAAGGACAATCGCTTGAACACAAAATACTTTTGGCTACACAACAATTAATGAAGTATAGTTTTATGCAGTTAGACCTCTATATAAGATACACCCAATACTAGATACACTGCTATTTAGTGCACACCTCATTATATATTTTTGGTAGGGTGAAGGGAACATTCTTTGTAGGGTGAAGGGACACCCACATGGGCTGGAAGGAACATGTTCCTTTCCCACTACTTGTGGGCTGGAAGGAACATAACATGATGTTCCTTTCACACTACTTGTGGGCTGGAAGGAACATAACATGATGTTCCTTTCACACTACTTGTGGGCTGGAAGGAACATAACATGATGTTCCTTTCACACTACTTGTGGGCTGGAAGGAACATAACATGATGTTCCTTTCACACTACTTGTGGGCTGGAAGGAACATAAAATGATGTTCCTTTCACACTACTTGTGGGCTGGAAGGAACTCATATGATGCTCCTTTCACACTACTTGTGGGCTGGGAGGAGCATAACATGATGTTCCTTTCACACTACTTATGGGCTGGAAGGAACATAACATGATGTTCCTTTCACATGCATGGGCTGGAAGGAACATCTCATTATGTTCCTTCCACACTACTTGTGGACTGGATTAGATTAAAATATATTCAATTAAAATTAAGACAAAATAGCAGTGAAAGTTGGCCACCTAAATTGATGGTCCTTAACAAATTACAACCACAACATTCTCCCCAGATTAATACAGAAAATGCCAGGAGAAGTGCTAGACGTTTCTTTAATCCTGTACCCGCTGAGGCTATTGAACAAGTATTTTTTAAAGACTGGGCTTCAAAAAAATTTTTGAAAGGATGAGCTACGTTTGAGACAAAGACGAGCAGAAGAAAAGACTCAAGATGTTGTGGCTGTTTCTACAGTAACAAATGATGGATTACAGGGAATGGATTGGAGCTTTGGTAGGGATTTTTGGAGTTTAATGATGTTACTTTAAATACAGTGACAAAAGGGTACACCCGACGTAAGGGTACACCCGACAAAAGGATACACCTGACAAAAAGGTACATCCGACAAAAGGGTACATCCGACATAAGGGTACACCCGACAAAAGGGTACACCCGATAAAAGGGTACTTCCGACATAAGGGTACATTCGACAAAATGGTACTTACATCCGACTAAAGGATACACCTGACAGAAGGGTACACCCGACAAAAGGGTACATTCGACATAAGGGTACAAACGACAAAAGGGTTCAAACGATATAAGGGTACACCAGACAAAAGAGAACATCCGACATAAGGGTACAAACGATAAAAGGGTACAGTTGCCAAAAGGGTACATCCGACAGAAGGGTACATCCGACATAAGGGTACACCCGACAAAAGGGTACAAACGACATAAGGGTACAAACGATAAAAGGGATCAAACGACATAAAAGTACACTAGACCAAAGGGTACACCCGACATAAGGGTAGACCTGACATAAGGGTATAGCTGACAAAAGGGTACACTTGACACAACGACATAAGTACCATTAAAAATTCTAAAAAATTCAGAAAACGGCAAGGAACGAATCCAACAACGCAGAACCATGCCAACATATACTATGAAAGCTGACAAAACCTTTAGTTTAGAAAAAAATAATAATGAAAGTTTAAATTCCCCTAAAAACTCAACACAGCAACATCAACTACCTTCCCAATTAGCTCAAGTAATAATTAATTTTAATCAAAAAATCCCTATTTTCTCAAAGAATTATTGCTTAAATCGAAGCACTTTGGCTGCTTTAGTTGGAACTATAGGTCTTTTAAGCTCAATTTTGCTGGCTATTAGTTGTTGCTTACTGTGGGATTTTCTGTCCAGCCGGTAAATTTTTTTTAATTTTTCTAAAAAATTTTTCTTAAGTCAACGCTGCCGGAAAGGGTTGATAAATTGGAGGGATTCGAGTAACAAACTTGCCAATGGAAAAAATGGTAAGCCCAATCATTAATTGGCCTTCCAGACCATTAGTGTTTCACCGGAACTGAAATTTTGAACGGGAACCGGATCCAATTTGAGTTCCGGATTCCGGAACCGGAACTTTGCTAAGTTCCGGAACTGGAACCTTTCTTAGTTCCAGAACCGGAACAGGAACTTCCGGTGAAACTACAAACCATGTGTGAACTTCTTTGTAATACAAGAATGGTCCCTTCACTCTATCAGAAATGCTCCTTTCACACTACCCAGAATGTTCCCTTCACCCTATAAAAGATAAAAAGATCTCCTAAATAGAGGAGTCTCATAAATATGTCCATTTTTGTTTAAGATGTTAATAAATAGATGGTTAATAAATAGAACGATAGATAGATCTTGATAGAGCTCATTGAGCTGAGTTTAATGGCACCAGAATCAGTCTGTGGGAACATTTTCGAGTTTCAAGTGTTCAAAAATTGTTGAAAGAGTGGTTAAAAATGGTCATATTTTTAAAAAGCTAATAAAGCTAGGGGACTTTCTAGGATGAAATGGTGGCTTAGGGAATTAAGAAAGGCGAAAAGTATCTGACCTTAAATTGGTGATCTTTAACGAATATAAATAAAATCCTTAAATCTCTTGAGCTGGTAAATGCCTATGTCCCTGCTAAAATGTTTCCAATCTTGCTTATTTTGTAGTTTATTCTTCGCGCTATCAAATAGTATCATCAATATCCTAAATTGTCGAGCCTTTCAAAAGGTATAGGGTCTGCGACTGACTAAGGGCCTTGCGCCAAAATGTCATTACCCCTTGAGAGACATATCTCCTCACTACCCCCCTCCCATCCTTTCACCAAAATCCCTACCCATAATTTTCTCCTATTTTTAGGCTGTCTCAACTTCCTCTCCAAAAACAAAATTTCTGCTGTCCGCAATATCTCCCTCAAAAACCGCTACCAACTTTCCCCATCATTTTCTTCTCCAATTTCAATTGATCCGTTGAAACCTGAAGGAGGGCAGGAACAACCAAAATTGTCTAGTAAAAATTTTTTTTCAATTTTGAATGTTGTGACTTATAGGGGGTTTTTGTTGGCTGGACCGATTTCGACAAATGAGGTGTCATTCGAAAGAGCTCGCCGAGCTGAGTCGATCCCGCGGGGGAAGAAGTCGATCCGACAATCAGGGACCGAGTTACAGACCCCTGAAGTTTGAAAAAGAGAAGGGGGGAGTAAGCTCATTTTGGGATGAAAAATTCGAAAATGCAAATAATAGCTCATTCGACTCGGCTCGACGAGCTGAGTCGAATGACACCAAAATCAGCTTGATATCTTTATTCTGAGCCAAGATAAACAGGATCAAAATGGTCAACATAAACCTATGGAGCGTCGGCGAGGCGCTTGTGCGAAACAGACCTGGGCGAAACTCAAAATTTTTTTCTGACGAAACGAAACGAAACAAAATTTTTTAAAAATCGTTTCGTTAACGAAACGAAACGAAACAACCAAAATCTTACGAAACGAAACGAAACAAAACGAAACATTTTAATATTCAAAAAATTTTCAAAACTGCATTTATTTCGAAATTATTCGACCTCAAATACGTTATTAGTCGACTATGACTTATAAATGATTTAGTTATTGGTTTATTTACAACAATTGTGTCCCATAAGCCAGGCCCGTAGCAAGGAAAATTTTCGGGGAAGGGGGGGGGGGGGTCAATCATTTTCGAAGCCAAATTTTTGGCGACGCTTTTTTTTAAATAAAATTGAATATTTTTCAAGTAAAATTTTATTTTAAGCGCCGCAGACGAAAAATTTTAAAATTTTGAAAGGCCGTAGGCCAAAAAATTCACCATCTTGCTCCATTGCCTACCCAAATTGTCTCCATATCTCCATTTCGAGAGGAAGGCGATATAAGCTAGTGCTTCGCCGGAAGTTCCGGTTCCAGTATTTCCGCAACTCGCAATCCGCAATTTTTAAATTATGATGCGAGTCCGGTAATAGAATTTGTCGTCGATTAAGTAATATGTATATGTGGATTAGGGAGTGGAGTATAAACGGATTTGTAGTATATAAGTAATTGCTATCTTCCTTTTTCAGCGCCGCAGGCGAAAATTTTGACAATTTGGGAAAGCCAAGAAGCCGAAATTCTTTTTTTTTCAGCGCCGCAGGCGAAAATTTTTTAAATTTTCAATAAAAGATGGTAAATTTTATAGATTTTGGCCTTAGTTTAGGCTTAAAAAATTGTTTCGTTTCGTTGAAAAATCACAGGTGTTTCGTAACGAAACGAAACGAAACAAATTTAAAAGTGTTTCGTAACGAAACGAGACGAAACAGTAAAAATCATACGAAACATACGAAACAACGAAACGAAACGAAACGTTTCGCCCACGTCTGGTGCGAAACCCCGCGCTTCGCGCGGGGTTTCGCGGCACGCGCCTCGCGGGGAGTCTACGGGCGCTGGGTCTGGGTCAGTAACATAACCCTATTCCTATTTCCCTTACTCTGGACGTACTTGGGGCCTCCGTAGCAGCAAAAACCTCAACAATGACCATAGGTAAGGAGCTAATACAAACGATCATAACTTTGTCCAATCAAGTCGGATTTCGGTGATTTTGGTGTCATTCGACTCAGCTCGACGAGCCGAGTCGAATGAGCTATTATTTGCATTTTCGAATTTTTCATCCCAAAATGAGCTTACTCCCCCCTTCTCTTTTTCAAACTTCAGGGGTCTGTAACTCGGTCCCTGATTGTCGGATCGACTTCTTCCCCCGCGGGATCGACTCAGCTCGGCGAGCTCTTTCGAATGACACCTCAATTGTCGAAATCGGTCCAGCCAACAAAAACCCCCTATAAGTCACAATACCCTCAATTTTTTCCTCAGAATTAATTTTTAAGGTGATCCGCGTGAGGCACTTGCTCAAATACTTAATAGAAATCATAATAAATTAAACAATTAACAAGCTTTGGGGAGCAAATAAATACATAATATATAAAATATTGTATAGAAAATTTAGTAAATATACTGTATCTACCGTATATGCTCAAATAATTACCCTGAGCAATTATTGTTTCGACTAAGTAACAACCAGAACCTCGACGATTTTTGTGCAAAAACCAGATCCGACCCCAAAACCCCGAGGGGGTTCGAGCTTATCACCGGCAACCCCTGATCTGATCTGCATTATCACCGGCAAGCCCTGCTCTAACCTGCCTGATCCTCGGTAACCCTTGTATGATCCCCGACCCGAAGTCGGGTTGCTAACCAATACATTTTGAAAAATGGGCTGTTTCGGACCCCGAAGTGTCGGGTTTCTACCCTAGTTTCCTCCTTTCACCCAATGGGGGCAATTAATCTGTGGAGGGTAATTATTCGTGTTTTAAACTTTCAACGGGTATTTGGGGGAAGGTGATTAATAAAGAGGGGTTGGGTAATCATGTTAGAGAGAGTAATTAATCGAGCATATACGGTAGTTGACCGTCCTGTCTACCTAAAAATTATCTCCTTCATAATTTTGTACAGTAGCTTTATATATTGGCTCAACTAATGCTTAATATAAAATTTTTCGTTTTGTATCTTTATTTTAAAAAATTTATCTAAAAGTTTCGCTTAAAAGTCCCGAGATGGTCCGACAACTTTGAACCGGGAAACAATGGCTTAAATTGGTAAAGTCCAAATAAGCGATAATGCGTGGACGGATATGGACATATGAGACTAGGGTTGGTTGTCTGTCTGTTTACCTGTCTGTCTGTTTTACCTTTTCGGTTCGGTTTCGGATATCCGAAGAGTTTCCTGGAAAGACAACCCTATATGAGACACATGAGATTTGGATGATTTTTTATTTTTTTGTCTTAATTTTCGGCAAAATGATCTTGTCGGGCCTCAAAACGGAAAAACGTATTCGTCTAATCCTCTAAATTTTTTAAAATCTTACGGGATTCGATTTTAACAAAACTATACAAAAATGTACATATTTAAATTGCGTCAAGAGAATTTTAAAAATTTTTTTTATTAAATTTACACACGTTAAAATTAGAGGGTGTTTAATAAATTGCTTCAATTGTTTGTTTATTTAGCTGCTAAATATTAATTTTTAAAATTAAAAAAAAGTTTTCGAGTTTGTGTTGGGTAGAGGGCGTTTTGGCGCCGTGCCGTTTTGGCGCGAGACTCGAAACTGACACTTTGGCGAAACCCTAAATTCGCGAAAATTTTCTCAAATTTTTTTAACATCCTTGACTACCTCCTCCAGAAAATTTCAGAATTTTTCATCGAATATTTCTGAAGTTATAGTCGATAGACCTCGAAAAATTAGGCATTTTTCAGAAAATCAACATTTTTGGCCATAATTTCTGAAATTCTTGATCAAAAATTCTGAAATTTTTGGAGAACGTAGATAAAGGCATGAGAGTTATTATTGCAAAATTTTATCTTTTTTGATAACCAACTCACTGTTTAATAAGCTCGCGCCAAAACGGCACTGCGCCAAAACGTCTCACTCCCGTTTGTGTTGGCTTAATAGATTTTTTTAAATTTTTACATGTGATTTGAATTTTTATAAATTAAAAAAATTAATTTTCAAACATCCGATAAATATTTAAACAAGTTGAAAATGCTGTTGAAATCATTCTAGCCTAGTAGCGGCTTAAATTAAAATTTAAAAAATTTTAAAAAATGTTTAAAAATATATTAATATTCTTATTCTTCTCTAATTTATACTTATGTGAAGCTGATTATTGGCCTGAGGCTAGAAATAATATTACGGTAATTTTAACTCTTGGTATTAGCGTACTTAATCAAATAGAATACCATGGCATAAAATGCCATTCACACTACATTTCTGGCTACCCTATGTCCCGTCACACTGCACTATGTTCCTTTCAGACTACCCCATGTTCCCTTTCAGACTACCCTTTGTTCCTTTCAGACTACTCAATGTTCCTTTCAGACTACTCCGGGTCCCCTTCACACTACTCGATGTTCCCTTCAGACTACCCTGGGTCCCCTTCACACTACTCGATGTTCCCTTCAGACTACCCTGGATTCCCTTCACACGCCCCTATGTTCCTTTCAGTCTACCCTTTGTTCCCTTCACACTACGCTATGCACCCTTCACACTACTATACCCTTCATACTATCTCTTTAAATAATCTTCCAAAGTGGCCTAGTAGAGGGTGGCATTCGAATGAAGGGGACATTCTATTAGAGGAACTACTGTATTAGGAATTTATTTTAAAAATATTTCTTAACAGTTAAAAGCACCCAAAAAAGTTGGCGGAAAATTTGACTGTAAATATGATCGTTATATTCCTGATCCAGAAATCTTTGGCGATGGAAGTCAACGAGAACGCCAAAAACACGTGTTTATATTAAAGAATGGTGCTACTTTATCTAATTGTATAATTGGTGCAGCCCCTGGCACTCAAGGCTCTGCTGACGGAATTCAATGCATTGGAAATTGTAATATAACCAATGTCTGGTTTGAGGATGTTGGGGAAGATGCTATTACCTTCTATGGTAATTATTTAAAAAGCTGAGGGTAACTAAAGTCACGTGTTCCCTTCACACTACCACATGTTCCCTTCACACTACCACATGTTCCTTTCACACTACCCACTGTTCCCTTCACAATACCCTATGTTTCTTTTCACACAAACATATGTATGTCCCTTTCACACCAACATATGTTCCTTTCACACTACCCTATGTTCCCTTAATACTACTTTGGTCTCCTTACAATACCCTAAATTCTCTTCACGCTACTTCATGTTCTCCTCTTACTACTATAAATGTTCCCTTTGCACCCCCCTATGTTCTCTTCACACTACTACCCCTTGATGTATTAAATCAGTTTATTTAAAAATCATTTTTATCAAGGCACCTCTGGAGATCCTGTATACAATGTTAAAGGTGGTGGCGCAAGACATGCAGCGGACAAAGTATTTCAGTTTGATGGGAAAGGAACAGCAAATATTGAAGATTATTATGTAAATTTTTTTATTACTTTCTTGATTGGGTAGACGCCCGAAACGGCGCAAAGCCATAACTTGCTTGAAGATGCCCTATCTTACCAAATTTAGTATTAAACGATAAGGGCCAGAAATTTTCCCTATGCCCTATCTTACCAAATTTAGTATTAAACGATAAGGGCCAGAAATTTTCCAGCAAGTTGTGGCTTTGCTACCCTATGTTCCTTTCAGACTACTCTGGGTCCCCTTCACACTACCCAATGTTCCTTTCACACTACCCCGGATCCCCTTCATACTATCTCTTTAAATACCCTTTCAAAAATGCAAGGGTCTCGCGCCCAATTGGGTTATACCCCTTAATTGTTATTTAAAGGTAGAGGATTATGTCCGTCTTTTCCGCTGCTGTGGCAACTGCAAAACTGAATATGAACGTCATGTAAATATTCGAAATTTGACTGCGATTGATGGCATGCCTGGTCAATTTATTGTTGGCATAAATGAGGGGGACGTTGCCCATTTACACGATATAAAAATAGATACGGAAGGTGTCCATGCATGCAAACTATTTAAACCAAAGGCTGGCGGGGAGCCTAAATCCCTGGGGACTGGAATTAATGAATATTGTGATTATGATGAGGCTGAAATTAACTATATTCCTGCGAGGAGTACACAGAAGAAGAAGCAAAAGTGAGAGAAAGTGATTAAATTTTAAGAAGAAATGTTCTAGAGATTTATAAAAGTATATAAAAAATAATTCCGTGTGTTAATCTGATAAATTTCATTTTTGATAAATTCTGTATATCTATAGTTCTAATCTATAGTTATCTGTATCTGTAGTCTAAATCTGTAGTTATAGCCGATTAAATTCGGCCGGCACTCAGTTTGCGGGTGTATACCGGATAGAAGGGGTGGGCCGAGTCCCAAAAAATACGAGACACGAGATTCAATAAATACGAGATCTCTCAAAAAATACGAGATCCGAAAAAGTTCCAAAGCCCGACCCAACTTTCTCCCCTTTTTAAAATGACGCTTCCCTAGCCTCAGACTTTTTCCGACCCGAACCCAACCCAACTTGTTCCTCCTCCTGTGATTCACGGATTTGTAGTAAAACCCGGATCCGGGACGGATCCGGGTCCGGATTCGATCCGGATAGGAAAAATTTTAAAAATCCGGAAACCGGAATCAACGTTTCTCGATAAACCGATCGATCTCGATTCACGTGCGACTCTCTCAGTTTGGTTGGTGATTCTATTAGAAGATTTACGGCAAATATTATTAGATTTCAAAAAATTATACAAACTATAAATTTAATAAACTTTAATTTCCGTTGACACAGGCTTGGTATAAAATAATATAGAAAAATTTTTAAAAATTTATTAATGGGCAGAAAAAATCGAATTTTTTTTCTGACGCAATTTTGATTAAAAAAAAATTTTTGGGAGAAAGCGTGGAGAGAATATTTTTAAATTTTTTTGGAGAGTCCAAAAGGGCGCGGCCATAACGGCGCAAAGCCATAAGTTGCTGGAAAGTTTCTGGCCCTTATCAATTTTGGTACCAATCTCTATAGCTCGATGAGAGGAATCGTTTAATACAGAAAGAGTTTAGAAAAAGTTTAGCAACGGGCATGACCTGCGACCTCCTCCTAGTTATTGCTGGGTGGATTCGCTACCCCATACCAGGGGTCGACGGAACTGGTGAAGGTGCCGGAATTTGAAACTGTCGGTAATCAGAAATGGTTCTGAAGTCGGAACTCGGAAATCGGAAATCAGCCTAAATTTTCGTAAATCGGGAATCGAAATTCGGATCGACCCCAGCCCCATACATGTGCCCTACCACGAAGCTACGGGAGCAGCGTCTAATGCTTTCTCTTTTCTCCTTATGTTCGTTTAACTCCCGCCTAAGCGTTTTAAATGCTACTAGATGAGGATCTTACGATACTAAATTTGGTAGGAGTTACGGAAGCAAGTAATGGCCTTGCGTTAATATGGTTAGCGCGCCTAGTCGTATCCCTTAAAAATCAAAAATTAAATTTTCGAACCAAAATTAAATTTAAATTTTGTATAAAATTGTATCCAAAAAATAAAAAAAATAATAAATATAAGAGGAAAAAAAATTTTTTTTTAATTTTTTGGGAAAAAATTAAATAAAAAATTTATTTAAAAATTTTATTTATTTACTTAAATGGCTTTTTTATAATTTAAAAAAAATTTTCTAGAGAAAAAAAAATTTTTTTATAAAAAAAATTATAAAAATTAACATGTGAGGTTTATAAAATTAAGAAAAAAATCCTGAATAAACAAAAAAAAATTTTTTTAATATTTAATAAGTGAAGCAACCCTTGGAGCATTATTAATTAAATTTTAATTTCTCTCCTTTTTATTTTTAAAAAAATTATTTTAAATAAAAATATTTCTCGCTTCCGATTAATAGCGACTATAATTTAGTCTCTCCCTCAGAAAAAATAAATACGCAACCTTCATAGCAGGGATGGGATCTCTTCCCTTTCCATCAGAGGTGGGTCGGAACAGTCAGAGGTGTCGGAAATCGGAACTGTCGGAAATCGGAAATGGCTCAAAAGTCGGGACTCGGAAATCGGAAATCAAAATTTTTTTTCGGAAATCGGAATTCCGACCCACCTCTGCCTTCCATATTCCATCCTCTATTTTCCTCTATTTGAAATCCGGCAATATAGGGTTGGGCGGGTTACCCGGAACCCGATACACTAAACCAGGTCTTTTTCCGACCCGATACCCGACCCAAGAAATTTTTCGAAGCCCGACTCGAAACCCTACCCGACTTTTTTTCTCAACACGGCCCATACCTGAAACACACACTGGAACCCCCTATAAACACCCCTTTAGCCTTTTTGAGCTTACTTAAGAAGAAAAGTCATTTCCTGCCAGTATTTGGTAAAGTTAAATGATCCTGGGAAATTCCCAGATATCTGTCCAGGGACACGCCCAAGTAGGCGCGCGGCCAAGTAGGCGCAAAGCCAGAACTTGCTAGAAAATTTCTGGCCCTTATCAATTTTGGTATCAATCTCTTTAGCTCGACAAGAGGAATCGTTTAATACTAAATTTTGAAAGATTCGGAAATCTTGAAGCAAGTTATGGCTTTGCGCCTACTTGGCCGCGCGCCTACTTGGGCCGTACCCATCTGTCCACTATAGAAGCGAAGATTTCCGGATATCCAGTCTTTACCGAATATCCGACAACCATGGGATGTTTTTGTCTTTCATGTCTTTTCCGGATGCGAATACCATCCTTATGTCACTCCACCATCCTTATGTCATTCTAAATTTAAAAATTTTTAAGAGGTAAAAAAATGTTTTCAAGCAAAACTAGCTTCAATTTCCTTTTAATTTCTTCACTTGCATGTTTATGCAAGGCTGACTTCTGGCCTAAACCAAGGAATGATATTCCGGTAATTTTTAAAAATTAAAGAAAATATTTTTAAATAAACAGGTAACCGAAACAAAACAAATTACTGACTTTGACTGTAAATTTGATCGTTATATCCCCGATCCGAATAAGCTTGGAAACGGGAATCAGGACGAGCATCAAGGTTACGTCTTTGAAATAAAAGATGGTGGTTCTTTATCTAATTGTATAATTGGTGCACGGCCTGGGACTAAAGGCTCTGCTCATGGAGTTCTTTGTGATGGAAGTTGCGACATAAACAATTGTTGGTTTGAGGATGTTGGGGAAGATGCTCTTAATTTTAATGGTAATTATTTAAAAGGTTGTGAGAGTAATTTGAAGTCGCGGGTTACTTTCACACTACCTTAAGATATCCTAAGTTCACTTCACACTACCCTGGGTTCCTTTCAAACTACACTATGTTATCTTCAAACTGTCAAAAATGTTCCCTTCACACTATCGTATGTTCCCTTCATACTACCATATGTCCCTTTCACACCAACATATGTTCCTTTCACACTACCCTATGTTCCCTTAATACTACTTTGTCCTCCTCACAATACCCTAAGTTCTCTTCACGCTACCTTATATTCTCCACACACTACTAGAAAAGTTCTCTTTACACTTCCCTATGTCCCTTTCACCCTACTATCCCTTTTTGTAGTATAATCATATCAGCTTTCCCTATTTAGGAGGCTCTGATGGTTGTGTTTATAATGTCAATGGTGGTGGTGCTAAGAATGGGGAAGACAAAATTATGCAATTTGACGGAAAGGGGACACTGAATGTTAACAACTATTATGTAAGTTACATGTACCTATGTACCATTTAGGTAAGAGAGAAGGGCTGGCATCAAATCCCCTGCATCCGAGGGCAGGCATGATCCTGCGACCTCCTGCCAATTATTGATAGGTCCTTACGCTCACCACTTAAACTCGATTACTGTCTTGGCCTCATGTCTCGATTGGAGGGGCACCCACCGCGTAAAGGTGCCTCCTTTCTTACATGTATTTGAGTTCCTTTTTGGAAGCTCATCTTTCAATAGAAGGCCGTTAGATGTAAGAAAAGTCCCTCCAAGATGATACACCAAGGCCGGGACAGTAATCGAATTCAAGCATGACTCTCTATCCTCAAGCTCGGCATTTTAAGTCTCTCATATAGCTTAACAAACATTTCCTTTTAAGGTAGACAATTATGTCCGTTTTTGTCGCTCCTGCGGCAACTGTGGTAATCAACATCAGCGCCATATCGTGATTACTAATCTGACAGCAATTAAAGGCCAAGCTGGTCAATTCGTTTGTGGAGTAAATAGCAATTATAAGGATACTTGTACCTTGCATGATATAAAAATGGAGAAGGGTATTCACCCCTGCAAAGTCTTTACAGGCAATAATGACGGATCTGAGCCAAATTCGAATAACGACGAAGAGGACCACGGAGATGGGAAATATTGTATTTACAATAAGGGCGATATTACATATACTGGATCCAAACCAAAGCCGAAAAGCAAAAAGAGCGCAAAGAACTAAGGGAAGGATTTGGGATTGAAGATAAAAGCCTTGAAGTTAAAAATGTTTAAAGGGATAAATTAAATGTAGTATGGGTAGAATCTATTATTAATTGAAATACTAATTTAATTTTGTGATATTTCTTTTTATGTTAATCCTGTCCAGTAAATTTTTAAATTGGAAACACGATAAATTAAACAAATTTTTGAATTATGTAATTTTATAATATGAGAGACCGTTCTTGACCCTGGTAAGGACCTGGATTTTTTCTTACTAACAAGGGATCATCGTTTACTGTAACCTTTCGATAGAGGAACGCAAAACGCCATGACGCACAGCCCAGGTTCTCTTGTAAGAGCCAGGTTCTTGGCATTTTTCAGCGTCGTGAACTAAAGCTGGGTTATTCCTAGAAGGCCCTAAATTTTGTTCTGTCAATATACCGTCCGGTCTCTGTCAAGCAATTTAGTTGATCTATGATTTTAAAAATAACCATCTCTATTATGACCAAAGTAGAGACCGGAATTTCTTATTGAACGGTATTCCATACTAAAATACCGAAAAATACCGTCGTAGTACGGTACCGTCCGGTCTCTAGATCAAAGTAAACTTACTATGCTTCCCCCTATTCACCATGGCTGTGCGCCAAAATTTTTCCGTGGCGCCAAACGCCATTTTTTCAAATTTTTAAATCACGCCAAACTCAAAACGCCAAAGATCTGCCAAAAATGGACGCCATGACGCAAACGCCATGACGCACAGCTCTGGTAGAGCATATGCAGGTGGAGGCGAAAGCACCTAGCTATAACTAAAAGGAGGTCGCAGGTTCGAATCTTGCTGGTGGGACAAGCCATAGTAGAAAGTCCCATGGACACCTCAGGCACTCTCCTTTGTTAGCCCAAAATTCGACTTCGATTTGCCTTAAAGTAGACTTTTTAAAGTCAAACTTTTATTCGTTACTCACACATTAAAAATTCTACCCCTCCCTCCCCCCTTTTATTCTCGAGAAATAACGATCAAATTCTTCACACTTTTCTGTCACTGTCATTTACGCGCGCAAAATGTCCTTGAGCCTTTTTTATTTTTCTATACTTTCTTTTCTCAATCCACTTAAAATTCTTTCAAAATTGCTTATTTTACTGGTAATTCTTTAATCAACAACAAATTCCTCATAATTATTTGAGAAAATTTTTGAAATTTTTTTCGAGTTTTTATAAGGGCTAAAAAATTTTCCAAAATATTATTCCAAGATTTAAGAGACAAACGCCACTAATTTTAGGAAGATAATTAGGTATTTTATTTTGCGCCAAATTTAACCAAATTTTGGAACCTATCCAAATTTTTAATTTATTTTCTAAAAATAAAGTTAAGGAATCTGCGCTATAAATGGATAAATAAATTATAAAGAAATCGGCTTTTCTAACACACAAATGCTACATTTATTAAATTAGGTCTTCTCCTCCAAAATAAATTGCAAAGCGGATCGAGCGGATAAAAGTGGATCAACGCAATTATAATTTTTGACTGTTTCCTTTTTTTATTTAATTAATTGCGGCACGAGATTTTTTTTAATTTTTTAAGGAAATAATTAGGGCAAGAGTTTAGAAGAAGGGTGATTTTAATAGTAAATTTTTCGGTACTAATTTAGTTTCCCCCCCCCCAGTCAGTTTTTTCGAAAAATATGTAAAAATGGTCAGTCTGAACAACAATTGTAGAACCCATCGAGCTGAGTCGAATGACACCAAAATCAACAAAATCCGACTTGATTTGACCGAAATACAGACCCCTGAAAATTGAACAACCATGGGGGTGATTTTTCGAAATAAAAAAAGTTTACCCAAATGATAGCTCATTCGAAAGCACTCGTCGAGCTGAGTCGAATGAGACCAAAATCAACGAAATCGGACTTGATTTTACAAAGTTATGACATTATTTAGACTTACCGGAGTCAACGACTTATGTCATAACTTTGACAAATCAAGTCGGATTTTGTTGATTTTGGTGTCATTCGACTCAGCTCGATGGGTTCTACAATTGTTGTTCAGACTGACCATTTTTACATATTTTTCGAAAAAACTGACTGGGGGGGAACTAAATTAGTACCAATTTTTCTAGGTGTTTAATGATCCTAAAAACTGTTATGTATCTTTTAAAGATAAGCAGGCATTAGATCTGCGCCGCATTCGAGCCAAACTTTTTTATACCCTTCCAATTTTTAATGGTTCATTTGTTGCTATTAATAAAATTAGCAAAAAATTTTCTAACAAGTTTTCCCTTTTCTCCTTTCATTTTTAAATATCACTAAACACACTAAAAAATTATTTTTTATATTTTCAATAAAACAAGCAATTTATTATCTCAAAAACTATTAAAGATTGTCTTATAGGCGTGTTCCCCTCACCCTACCCAAACCCCCGGTGTGCGCAATTTTTGGCGTTTTGGGCCATAAGGGCGCAGGGCCATTTTGGCGCCCTAACTAGAAACTGACACTTAGGCGAAACCGAAATTTATGAAAATTTTCTCAAATTTCTTTAACATCCTTGACTACCTTCTCCAGAAATTTCAGAATTTTTCATCGAATATTTCTAGGTTATAGTCGATGGATCGCGAAAAATTAGGCATTTTTCGGAAAATCAGCATTTTTGGCCATAATTTCTGAAATTCCTGCTCAAAAATTCTGAAATTTTTGGAGAACTTAGATAAAGGTACGAGGGTTGTTATTGCATAATTTTATATTTTTTGATAAGCAACTCACTGTTTTATAAGCTCGCGCCCAAATGGCCCCGCGCCCAAATGCCCCAGTCACCCACCCAAACCTTTGCGTCCCCAATTTTTGGCGTTTCCTTATTTTCCTTCAAAAATTTTTTTATTGTGCACGCTCCCTTCCCCGTCACTTTCGCTTATCTTTCCGTTTATATCTAAAGAATTTTAGTAGTAGTAAAAATCGTGTAACGGCATTTTCTCCCAAAAAAGGAAGAAATACTTAAACTTCTCCTTCTCTTTTTAATATTCTCCTCAACTGCAATTTAAAAATTTTGTCTTGCTCCGTTTTGTTTCGAAATTTCTCACAAATTTTATGTATTTGTGTTGCTTCTTTTTCCAATTTTTTAAATTAAAAATTACTAGAGGTCCAATAATTGTACTAAAGTTAGCGAGACTCCCTGAGACTCTCCTTTCTGACCAAGACTCCTTCCCCGGACCTAGACTCCTTCCTTACTTATCCCAAGGATTCCAGGGCTTCCTGACTTATCACGAGATATCCTGAGCTGCTTACTTATCCCGAGATATCCTTGACTTCCTAACTTATCCCAAGATATCCTGGGCCTCCTGGCATATTACGAGATACCCTGAACTTCCTGACTTATCCCAAGATATCTTGAGCCTCCCATCTTCTCCCAAGGTATGTCTTCTCCCGAGAGAACGCATATCTTCTCCAGCCTTCTCCCGAGATCTGTTTACTTATCCCGATATATCCTTAGCTTCTTACTCGTCTCAGATATCCTGAGCTCCCTAACTTATCCTGCGATTGAGCTTATCCAAACTTGCTTCTAAAGCTCTTAACAATCCAACGCACAATCTTTTGCCTAATTTCTAAGCCTGATTTCAACCCCTTATTGACAGCTGTCGACCTTCCAGACAGCCTCCCTCCCTTTAGAGCAAATTTAAATAGACGTTATTCTTGTTTTGCCCAATTTCTTTCTTATTCTCACAAAAATATTTTCTTGTAATAAATATCATATAAACGCTCAACGCTTTTGTATTCAATGTTTTTGGTTTAAAAATATTTTTAGTGCAAATAAATGCACATTTTAGCGCTCAGTTTCCTTTAAAAAGGGGGAAGAATCTTTTTTCTCGGCGGTTCAATGGCCGAGGAAGTGAGTCTCCCTTCCTGTATTTATTTACAATTTATTCTTTCCCCTCCTCATTCCCCCCTCAATTTTTGGTCCGGCAGGTGCGTGTCTGTCTGTACGACCGACCCCTCCTACCACCGCTACTTCCTTTCTGTCCTAATCGACGGCCAATTTGCATAAGGCTATGTTTACTAACCAGGTATACCTTTTTGCCTTTTAATGAATCATTGATTCAAATAACCGCCAAATTTCTTCTAAATTTTTACTAAAAATCGTTAAAACTTGGATTTTTTCAAAAAATTTTTGGTATTTTTTGATATCCCGTACTTATTGCGTCCCCCCCCCCCAGCCCGCGATTTAGTTGAAGTACGAAATGTTCAGACATTTTTTCCTTGCATAAGTTTAAAAAATTTCCTTGTCGTCACATTCATTCACACCTCCCAATCCAGGCCATTTTTTTGTTTTTGATTGCCTGTCTCAAACTTTTGCCCTATTAATGAAGCCACAGGGAACTTGACAAGTACCGGATATCCCTCTTAACCTCATAATAAGAGTTAAAGTTTTCGAGTCAGGCCGACGGTCGAGGCATTTTTGGGCTTGTTTATACCAAGTCGGGCTGTCACTTTCGGGCATAACTTTATCGAGTAGGGCCGTACGAGTCATTTCCGGGCAAAATACTTAGGCCCGACTCGATCTTTCGGTCCGAGTCAGTCCATTTTGGCAACCCTATTCATAATGGTCAGTTTCTCAGGGTACATAATGGTCAACTTCATAGCTTCCTAAATTCAACTCAATTTCCATGTGGCATATACAACTGAGAAACATTAATAAGGAAAAGGAAGTCTGACCGTTATGAGCATCTTAAAGAAAATCCCGAGACTCTAACCAGGGACGTGCGCAATTTTTGCGTTGAGTTTTGGCATTGCGTTTTGCGTTGATTTTTGGCGTTGCGTTGCGTTTTTTGAAATTCTCTTGCGCCCACCCCTGCCTCTAGCTAGAGTGTTGGATCAGGGGTGAGCGCATTACGTCTTGCGTTTTTTGCGTTTTGCGTTGATTTTTTGCCTTGCGTTGCGTTTTGCGTTCACGATTGCCTCTTGCGCTCACCCCAGGGTGGGATATCCAAAAAGTACCACCATTTTTTATTAATACCCCACAAATTACAGTACATTTTAAGGGCTTGATCGAGAGAAAAAAGAACTAATAAACCTTGAATTACTAATTTATTCCTCCCTTAAAAAATTTTTTTATTATCTTCCTCCCCCTCCCCTCTACAATTCTCATCATTTTCTTCATTCTATTCCTTTTTCCAATTTCAATTATAATGTAAATTCTAACACGTATAAATCTGCACTTTTTTAACCATTTTTTTATTTTTTTTTCCAATTTTTCCTTCCAATTTATGTACTAAAGTATTAATAAATATACCTAGATGATTGGTAAAAGTATTAGAAATTTTTTCTTTTTTCTTTTCATTTCTTCCCGGATGAAAAAATAAATAAAAAGGAAAATAGCCGCCGTCCATCGCGCTTTCTCATACACACATTCCAGCAGTTGGAAGCTGCCAACCTCCCTCCTCTCCCAAAAATTCTAACGAGGCAAGGAAGCAACAACTCTCCCTCTTTTTTTGTTTTCTGGTCACCGGGTGTCCATCGGTCGATTTTAGCTTTTGTGGGACGCTGGTATTTTCTTATTTGAGTGAATCACAAATTTTGAGATCTCAAAAATTTTGCGGATTCGAGTTGCGGACTTTTTAAAATTTTTGCGGACTAAATTTGCGGACTTTGAAAATTTTGCGGACTTTTTGAAAATTTGCGGACCTAAGCCTTTTGCGGATTAGATTTGCGGACTTTTTGAAGCCTTGCGGATTGAATTTGCGGACCTTTTAAAAATTGCGGATTAAATTTGCGGACTTGTCGTCAAAAAAACTCTCGCACCTTTCCATCCACATATTTGAGCACCTGATTAAAGACGCATTGAAAGCAGGTTTTCCTCAAAGGAATTCACAAAGCTTAAGTAAAAAATAAAAAACGTAGGGAATTACGGATGGTTAGCGCGTTAAGCCTCGCAGTCCCTTTCACTCACTGGCAAAATTTTTTTCTTTCAGATCGTCCGATTACATTTTTAAACCATCTTAATGCTACCAAAAACATAAAATTGTAACTATTAAAAACCATCGTTTTCAAATATCTTCAAAATCAAATACTAACTATTGGTAGGGAGGCTGTCTGTCTGTGGGCCACTTGATGGGGATTATGTCTAACAAATAAGTGATACCCCTCCATCCCTCAATTGTAGTGTGAAAAGTACAAATGTTCCTTCCAGCCCAGTTCCTTACAGCCCAGAAAAATCCCTGGCCCAGTTGTAGTGTGAAAGGTACATAGATGAATGTTCCTTCCAGCCCACAAGTAAAAAAAGTGTTCCTTCCAGCCCACAAGTAGTGTGGAAGGTACATAGATTAATGTTCCTTCCAGCCCAGTTGTAGGGTGAAAGGTACATAGAGAAAAATCCCTGGCCCAGTTGTAGTGTGAAAGGTACATAAAGAAATGTTCCTTCCAGCCGACAAGTAGAGTGGAGGGACCCAATTTAGGATACCTCTCATTTTAAGACACAACTTTTCAGCTCTCAAGGGTCGAGCTTATATTGAGGCTGATTGTTTAAAATAACCACACTCGCTTTAAAAATCATCTTTCCATCGTTTATTATTGAAATGGAGAATTTTTAAAATTTTGACGCCTACTTTTTCCTGCGCCGAAATATTCCTCAACCTTGGAGGAAATAGTGACAGCTTTCTCCCCTTGCCCCAACATTTTCGGCGCAGCTAGGATTTGGCGCAGAGTAAAAATACTTGTCTGTCGTTCTATCTTTTAATTTTTCAACAGCTTCTGCCCATCAAAATCATTACATATTATTTAAAAAAATATTTTTTTTAAATATTCATACATTTTTATTTTGCATTTTTACAAACTTTCCTCTCTTCTTTTTGAATTTTCACTTCAAAATTTGACAATATATATTTTTAAGTCAAGTGTGGGTGGCGCAAAAGCATGTAAAAACACAATGAATCTTCCCTCACTTTTACAAAAAGCAAATAACTTCTTCGCTCAAAAAGCACGGAGACACACATTCCCCTCCTTCCATTTTTAACACAAATTTTTCTATAGTGGGCCTTTTGTTACACAAATTATAAAACATGTTAAATTAGTATTTAAGGGTCATCAACGACGAGACCGGAGAAATCAGAAAAAATCAGAAATATTTTTTGAAATAATAACTCGAGAAAAAACAACCATTTATAAATTTTATTGGATAACCTCTGATATAATGAATATAACTGGGATATAATCCATTATATCCTGTCCATTTAGCCTAATTTTATGTGTCCATATCAAATAGGAGTCCATTTCACCGAGATTTTTGGGTGTCCATAACAAAGAGGGGTTCATTTTGCCGGGTATTTGAGTGTCTGTAACAAAGGTGTCCGTTTTGTCGAGATTTTGAGTGTCCATACCAAAATGGGTACATTTTCCTAGACTCATGTATGTCCATAACAAAGAAGCGATAATTTGCCGAAACTTTTGAATGTCTGTAACAAAGAGGTGTCCATTTTACCGAGACTCATGGTATCCATATCGAAGGAGGTCTTATCGAGATTTCGGATGTCCATATCAAAGAGGGGTCCATTATACCGAGCTTTTTGCATGTCCCTAACAAAGAAGGGTTCATTTTACCGGGTATTTTAGTGTCCGTAACAAAGAGGTTTCCAATTTATCGTGACTCCTTATGTCCCTAAGAAAGAGGGGTTCATTTTACCGAGACTCTTGAGCGTCTATAACAAAGAAGGGTCCAATTTATCGAGCATTTCGGATTTCCATAACAAATAGAGGTCCTTTTACCGAGCCTTTTGTATGTCCATATTTTAGAGGTTTTTCCCCAAATTCATCTCCAATAACCCTGATCCCTCTGATTTCATTTTAGAAAAAATTTCAGGTCAGACGACCTTCCTCCATATTTTTTAAATCAGATAATATTCTAACGCTTTTTAATCCTTGATCAATGATCAGCAAATAAACACAACCCTTTACACATTTAAATATCTTGTTTTTTGACGCTTTTTGTTCATAAAAATATTTAAATTATATTTTTAAAAATGTTGCTTTTTTAGAATATTTTCAAGTAAAATGAATGCTCAAAATAATAATTCCTCAATTCTTTTAAAAGCTTCACCAATACAACTTAAAAGAGAAATAGCTAAACAACAATGCCCCTTTTTAAGTTCAGAAACGGATAATGACAAAGATGGGAAACAATTTATTTCAAAGGATGAGAGTGATATGCTAAGGGATTCGGTATAAATATACCATAAATGTCCTAATAGTAGCCATGGGCATTTATTTTTCAATGGGTCTCATAGGGGGTAACTCTAATTTCATTGTTAGTCAAAGTAGCTAAGCGTCAATTATATCGAGTGTTTATAATAGTGGGAGTTTTGAGAATGATATTAAAACGCGAAATAATTAATTAATATTTCACCAGAGCTGTGCGCCAAATTTTTGGCATGGAGCGCCAAACCCATCGCGCACAGCCCTGTACCTCACCATATGATAGGTTCCTCGAGGCCTAAAATACCACTCATGAGGGTTATCTTAGATAGGAGGTTTTCCACCCTCTGTAGTTTTCCCTTCCTACATTAAGGCTAACCAAATTTTCAAACCTCCATAAGGAGATATCCTTAGGGATTAATAAAGTCTCTTATAAATGGGGTGTGCCTTAGATAGAAGGTTGGTTGGCCCATAGATAGAAGGTTGGTTGGCCCTCCAGAAGGAAGACATTCTTGGGTTTAAGAAAATGTCTCTTATAAACGGGTGTATCTTAAATAGAACGTATTGCTTATCCAGCTTCTCCACCCTCCCCTTCCATAGGCCAACTAACTTTAAAAAACATCTTAAAATGGTAGCTAATAATCTCCCTTTTCCACAGATCCTCCAAATAAACAGACCACGAATCAATCGACCTCCTTGGGAGATTATTGAACATTCAACAATAGCCCAACCAGTCCCCAACAACAACAAAGAAAGTTCATTCAAAAAGGAAGACGAGGAAGACTCCTCCAAAACTGGAACAACTTTTCTTGTTCGCTCCTCCAATTCCTCAACTAGTGGGTGTTCCTCTAACCCCCAATCAGGCTCTTGTTCCCCTATTGTGTTCAACAGTGGGAATTTTACAACAAAGACAACAACCAGAAATTTTACTTTTACACGTGAAGGATTCGAGAATGGATTTAATGAGTATCCCGAGGAAAATAAAATTAATATTCCTGAACTAGTAGAGAAACAACAAGGTGTTGAGGAACTAAAGAGAAAAAAGGAATGGGCATTTGCAACAAATGAAGTGTCGTCTTCTAATGTTCCCACTAAAATTGTAAATTTTGGTTGAAAATTAGTTCAAAATCCGCAGTTCAGTTCCGACTCAGTTCAGCTCCGGCACCTATAGCCTATGGAGGGGTGGCCACTACTTCATGTTTTTGGTACCGTTGGATAGAGAATTAAATACTCTACAAGCTACAAAAAAATCTAAGCCCTAGACCTATTGATAAAAAAGTTATGACTGATAAAGTGGCCGGTACACCTCAACTCAGTCCTGACTCAGTTCAGTCACTACCTTATAACTCATGAAGGTATGGTCACTTTTCTGTGTTTTTGGTACCCTTGGATAGAGAATTAGATACTCTACAAGCTACAAAAAGATCAAAACCCTCGACTGATTGGTAAAAAAGTTATGATCGATTAAATGCCAAAAAACACGTTATTTTGAAGAAGTTAGTTTTTAAATCACAACTTTTTTATCAATTAGTCAAGAACTTTGATTTTCTGGGGTATCGTAGCTTATTTAATTCTCTATCCATTGGTACCAAGAACTTTAAGAAGTGCCAATCCTTCCATGAGTTATAGGGTCGGAACTGAGGTGAGGTAACTAAGCTGAGCTGGGTAAACAGGGACTGAGCTGAGGGACCCTTAATTTTTTGCTTGAATAATAAAAAACTTTTGTTTCCCCTAAATTAAAGATATCTGCTTCCCTGATTCAAAATGCTTTGCTAAAAAGTGGAGCCACCAACTCTATGATTAATACCAAACAACCCCAAAAACTCCCCCAATCCTCCCCTACAATTGCCACAACCTCTGCCACAACCTCCCACTCCACTACTTCCTCCACTTCTTCAAACTCTTCCTCCTATTCCCGTTCACCAATTTATTCCAAAAATTCTCCTCTTAAACGAAAGGAATTCTCGGAATCTCGCCGCAAAATTCTTCAAGATCAAAAAAACGAGGAGGAACAACAAAAAATCTTGGAAAAGGCAAAAGAGGCCATGCGTTGGCAGCAACAAAGGGCCGTTGATACAGTGGAGGAAGTGAGTCAGTTGGGGCAAGCTGCCTTGGAACAAATGGCTATATTGGGTGAACTTTCTAGTGTTTAAGATTAATCTTAAAAAATATTTTTCAGAAGAATTGGAATTTGAAGATTTCGAGAGGAAAACAAAAATTAGTGACAGACTTTGTACCAAAAATGTCCCTTCTTCCTCCTATGTTTCCCTGCCAACATCACTAGCAACCTCATCAACTGCCTCTAGTACTCGGCAAGAATCCGAAATAAATAATGGGGCTACAGCTAGAAAATCTCTCAATACTGGGGTAATTTAACTGTTGTCATTATAACCACCAAAACATTTTTTAGGAAAACCAACTAAACAAACAAAGCCAAAACCATTACTCCCCAAAACGGCAAAGTTTATTCAATGAACACAAACAACAACAACATCCTTCCCCTCAAAACAAACTTGAACAAACAACTTGCCCTTCCCAACAATTTTCTAAACAAAAGTCGCCTGCTCCAATACTTGACAAAAACAAATTGTTTGAAAATAACAATAAAACAAACACAACAACAAACAACAAAACAAACACCCCACCATTCAATTCAACAACAAAGAACTCAACACCAACAAACTTAACAACAATAAACATAACAAACAATAAAACAAACACGACAAACAACACCTCAACAAACTTAACAACAAACAAAAACACAACAAATAACTCAACAACAACAAACAAAACAAACACAACAACAAACTCAACAACAAACAAAACAAACACGACAACAAACAAAACAAACACAACAACAAACTCAACAACAAACAAAACAAACACGACAACAAACAAAACAAACACAACAACAAACTCAACAACAAAAACAAACACAACAACAAACAAAACAAACATTATAACGAACAAAACAAACTCAACAATAAACATAACAAACAACCCACCAACAAACAAAACATCAACAAACTCATCCCAACATTCTCTAAAATCATTAGCAACATCAATTATTAGATATGATGATGAAACAAGAGAAAAAGAAAGAGAACAAAGAGAAAAACAAAACATAAATACAACAACACCCCAAACATCTCCCGGAACACTATTTTCTGCTCAATCTCCCTCAGGTTTATTGGAATGCAAAACATGTGGGAAAGCAATTACTAATGTTGTATGTAATTAATTTTTTCAAACATTAATAAAAACATAGGTTTTACAAGCATTGGGCGCATCATTTCACCCAGCCTGTTTTCGCTGTCAAAAATGTTCGCGCTGTTTGGATGGAATTCCTTTTACAGTTGAACAGAATGGTGAAGGTGTTATTTGCATGGATGATTATGAACGCTATTTTGTTACTCATTGTCGCGCTTGCAAAAAGGCTATTAATGCTGTGAATGTAAGCGAAAAAACCAAAAAATTTTTCAAAATTTTTTGGAAATTTTTTAAATTTTTTTAAAATTTTTTTGAAAAATTTTTTTTAATCGAAAATATTTTTTTCCAATTTTCTAGGAATTTGGCAAAATTGTAAGAATCGTTGTTGAGGATCGGGAGTATCATATTCAATGTTATTGTTGTGAGGTTCTCCCTTTTAAAATTAGCTAGTGTTTTAAATTTTCCTTTTATTTAAAGGGTTGTGGAATGCAATTAAGCAATGAACCCCAAAACAAATGTTATCCCATTGGAGAACATTTACTTTGCCGGAGATGCCACACTTTATGGAGACGAATGGGTGCCTTGGAAACTGATGCAGCCGTTTCAGACTTGTAGAAAATAATGGAAGATTTAAAGAAAATATATTCAGTAAGAGGTTGCACGTATTATACTCCAAAAAATTTTGAGCAACCTCACTAAATGCCATTTATATACCATTTTATTATACTCATTATTTTAATAGAACTTTGCTAAATAAAAAAATTTTTCCAAAAAAATTGAAATTGAAAAGATATTATTAACTAAATTTAAATAATAAAAAATAAATAAAAGTCGTGAATATATGGGTGTAGGCCAGAAAGTAAATAAGTTGACACGAAAAGTAAATAAGTTGACAAGAATTTTCACTAATTGTCCTTAGAATACATATTCATTTGCGCTATAATAGCATTAAGAATCTGGAGTTTGTCGAATTGTTGTGGTTGAATATTGCTAACGGAGAAATAGCAATATTCAATGTTCAAGAAGTTGTGATGGGAATTGTTGGACTAACAGATGGATGTTGGCTCTAAAATAAAGATTTCAAAATAAAGTCCGAAAAAGACGTTTTTTACGGGATTCCTACAATTATTCAGGAATAGAAATGCTATTAAAATTTGAATTTCCCCGTCGTTTGGTATTGAATTACGTATAAAAAGGGAATTTCAAATTGATCGATCAATTTGTGAATAAAGACATTGGATATTCCAACCCTAGTTTTAAATTCAAAACTTAGAATATTAAAAATAAATATACTGGCTGTTGAGGAAAAAGCCGCTGCTCGATCAACTAGAATCGCAAGTCTATCTTTTCATCCTGAGATTAAGTACGACCAGTACAACGATAAGGAAGCAAAACATCCCAATGACGACACCAAGACCACGATGGTCATGTTAGACAAAACCTCCATAGCAGAGGTCTTGGCCGTTCGTTCAACTAGATCTAAATCAAACGTCTATTTAAAATCAAATTAAAAGGCAGAATTGTAAACATACTTTTGTGGTGCTATTGACTAATGCTTGAGGCGCAGGTAGGTTCTGTAAACGAAATTAAATGGTTTCTTTGATTTGGATTCAATTTTTTAGTAATATGACGAATTTGTAATGCCTCATCAATATCCTGATAAAAGATTTCTCTATTAAGATAAAATTTTGAGCTAAACTTTTATGTTTGAGAAAAATATTTTATAAATTAACGAGATCTCAATAATTTATGAAAGATGAATCTTTTATTGGCTCTTAGTATCGCCAGCATCTATAAGGGGCATTAATGGCACGTTCATTGTTGGAGCGATTGTTTCAAAATTTATGTAAAAGGTTTATTACAAAATATTCAAAGGGTTGTTTGGAGTGATTGGGACCTCAGGTTGTTGCTGCAATGCAATTTGTTGCTGGAATTGTAATTGTGGAAGTGTTGGATTTGTTGGAAGGGCATAAGAAACTGGTTGATGGAAATTTACCTAAAATGAAAATTATGTAATAATGCTTTAGCAGTAAAGAGATGAGTTTTTTAAAGGATTCATATTGGGCTCCATATTATTTGGCGTTAAATTAAGTATAAAAAATAGAATTTTAAATTGATCGCCCAACTTATGACTAAAGGGGTTAACCCCAATATATCGATACTCTCACATCGCTCCCATATATCGTCTACCCCCATATATCGAAGGCGAGAAAACTTGTTCCTGACGGGACAAGTTCCTGACGGTTTTCAAGGTTGTTCCAATAACCGGAAATGTGTGGTTCCGATCGGAGAAATTATTCCAACAAATGGGAAAGTTGTTCCAATACGGAGAATAACCTTCCCGTTGTTGGAACATATATATAGGGGTATTTGATATAAGGCGAATCGATATGAGTCGACAGGATGAGTTGCCCGTTGCGTCTAAGATTTAAGTTTAAAATCGAGAACATTAATCAACGAACTGGTTGTTGCTGAAGCCTCATCTGGCATAATTGACATTGCTGACGCAATCTCATTTCGAACGATCGAATTCCTTGTTCGCAACTTCGTTCAAATGACCAGCAAAAGTATCGAAATATCAAAGTAATTACAATGATAAAAGTACAAGCTAGTGTTAGCATTATCACACTTGCCCGCGTTGAATATTCTGAAGGTGTCATGGAAGACGTTCTGGAAATGACTAAAATTAAATTTAAGCATAACCATAGCAAGTTGAAAAGATATTTAGACTAGTAAAGATACTAGAGAATATTTAAAAGGCTTCTTTGTTAATAAATTTTATCTTTTAATGCTTTACAAAAATTCAAATGTTTTTTAATAAAAAGAGAAAAAAACATTTATTTTGACAAGAACTTTTTTTAATTTTGACGAGAATAAAATAGAATAAATTTTACAAAAATATTTTCGATGGCAAAGTGAGCAAAAATATAATTAAGAGGAAGAATCGATGAGTTAAAATATTTAAAAAATTATTAAAATTATTTACAAAAAATTTAAATAAAATATGGAGAAATGCTTCAAAGGGCAGCTTTCGTTAATAGCAATGTACTATAGTAATGTATGGAACAAATGATGCCAGAAATCTGTTAAAATTCGCTACTAACAAAGCTAAAAGTAAATATAAAATTGAGATTTTAAGAAATAAAAACTTAAAGAATTACATTCATGGAAGCAGGCCAACGTACCGCAGAGCTATAACTTCGACCAAAATTATCGGATCTGGAACGCCCTGACATGGTTCGACGGCTGGATTAACCCATACCAGGGCATTTCAGATCCGATAATTTTGAACCAGAGGTGAGCTGGATATGGTGAAGGTGCCGGAAATCGGAACTGTCGGAAATCGGAAATCAGCCTAAATTTTCGGAAATCGGAGGGAAAAAACGTCGGAAATCGGAATTCCGACCCATCTCTGTTTTGAACGAAGTTATAGCCCGGCGGGACATTGGACTCAAAGTAAGTTAGGGTGTATCTATAAGTAGAGGTGAGGAAAACCTATTTTTGTACCTTTTAAAAAAACTAAAATCAAAACCCTCCTAAACTCTCTCTCATAATCTCATTCATTCTCCACTTTCTTTTTTTGTTTCCTTATAACTTAAACGGCCAACTAAAGGATGAGACGATTCCAAATCATCGCCTTTTGTTATTGTTGATTCAATATTATTTTGGTTATCATTCCCCATTAATTGAAGCCTTTGAATTATCATTCGATAACAATTTAGTTCTAACCAATGTGGAGGTAATGAAGTTAAAAATGCAGGTAAAAGCACCTTTAAAAAAATGATTTTAATACTTTTGGAAAGGTACACCCCCAGTTCAGTCCCGACACAATTCAGTCCCGATCAGTGTTTTTTTCCAAACCACTAAAATGGGGCGAAGCCACTCAAAAATAGGAGAAAAAATAGGGCAAAAAGATCAAAAATAGGGAAAATGCCCTATAAATAGGGTAAAAGACAATTGGTCCCTAGCTCCATAACTTATCAATGGGCTGATATTTTCTAATGTTCTCGGTACCATTGGACAGAAAATTAAATACTCTACAGGATACCAAAAAATCAAAATTTTCGATTGATTGATAAAAAAGTTATGATCGATAAAGATAAAGCGAAAAATCACATTTTTCTGATTTTTAGACCATAACTTTTTTATCATTTGATCAAAAATTCTGATTTTTAAGTTTGTTGTAGAGCTTTTAATTCTCTATCCAATGGTACCAAAAACATAAATAAGTGACCATCCCTTCAAGAGTTATTTAGTCGGGATCAGGGATGGGCGCAAGAGACAATCTCAAAAAACGCAAGACGCAACGCAAGGCCAAAAATTAACGCAATGCGCCCACCCCTGGTCGAGACTGAACTGAGCCGGACTGAAGTGAACTACCCCGTTTAAAAAAACGAACCAGTCCATGAAAAAGGCCCCAAATGACAACAAGAGAAATTGTTTTGACAAAAACCAAGGGAATATAATTCTAGAAAAAAATTTCAAAATAAATTTTTAAAAAAATAAAATGAACCTGCAAAAATACGAGTGGAAAAACACAGATAACTGTGCTAAGACCAGCTTGAGACATTGGCCAAGCAATTGAGCGAATGGTATTTTCAAGTTTGTCGATTGATTTACTTAATCTTTTTTCCACAAGTTGGCCTTCTTTAACTTCTCGTTTGTGTGAAAGCTACAAAAATTTTATTTGAAATCGAAAAAATTTTGGCTCTTGTCCAGATTATGCGCCCACTCAACCTTTAAGCGTCGAATGAAAAGTTTATGCGTCCATTTACATTTTTATGAGGCCCATAGCCAGGATTTTTTTCGGAGGACTTCCTAATCCCTCGCTACGGGCCAGGTCCAATCTTTAGCGATAAGTGCCCAGTCCTGGTATTGTGAGCGTGTATCGCAAATCCGGGTGACTAGAGCTTTTCATTCCCGTAGATTTCATGATACTAAAGTGCAGAAGCTTTCAAGGGCCAGTGGTCGACTTTGGAAGGGGGCTAACATAGGGTGTCCCAAACCCTCCCTGGTTACGCTCTTGGAAGCGTGTACTTATCGCTATTGATTGGACTCATAAAGAGGTCGATAAGACGCAAAGTCCGGACAAGAGCCAAAATTTTTTCAAAGTTAAACCTGAAAATGATAAGACACATGTGCTGTAAAATCTACACTCATTCCAATTGACATAAGTACTGCACAAAGGGTTACCTTTAAAAAATCATTTTAAAATTTTTCAAAAAAAAAAATAAAAGATAAACCGGGTCCAAATTTAAATTCCACCAACTTAAATAACCAATAACACCAATTGAAATTGATCCAATTGCAAAAGATGCCGTGGCCACAGAAAGAGGATTTTGTATGAAGATTAAGCAGACTAAAGCCATACAACAAAGAGTTAAAAATGTTGTCTAAAAAATATTTTTTAAAAAATTTTCAAACCCCTAGAAGGCTTCAAGGGCGTAGCTAGGGAGGCCCCTGACTGTGTAGTGCCCAATAATGCATCCCCCCTCATGTCAGTAATCCCCCAGGAAATGGGGGAAATATTTAAAAAACTGTGAGGGAATGGCAAAAAAAGAAATTTTTCCGCCTACAACCCCAAAAAGGCTCAAAATTTTCGCCTGCGCCGCTGAAAACGCAAGAAATTATTCGAGCTTCTTAGCCTTCCAAAATGAAAACATTTTAGCCTACGTCATTGAAAAAATAAAAATAGAACAAAAAAATTTACGTTCGCAACGCCAAAGTAAACGGCAAAATTTTTTGGCGTACATCGCATAGAAATCGACCCCCTCCCTCTGGCTTCGCCCTAGAAAGCTTAAAAAAAATTTTTTTACAAACCTGAAGTGTTAAAGACTTGAGGCTTAACATTTGATCAACAAACATTGAATTAACTTCCCAAACCGTCACGTTTAAATCTGGATAGTTTTCGGCAACTCTTCGCCATTCCTGCATTAAATTGATGCGCTCTTCCCAACTAACAGTGTTGTGATAAGTTACGGAAAACCAAAATTTTGAAATTGGAACTTGGTATTCTTGTCCAGTTCTTGAGAAATTAAAAAGAAAATTTATAAAAACATAAAAATAAAAGGGGACACGCTCGAATAGTCGCGCGGCCATAAGGTCGCCAAGCCTTAAATTGCTTTAAGATTTCCGAATCTTACCAAATTTAGTATTAAACGATTCCTCTCATCGAGCTAAAGAGATTGGTACCAAATTTGATAAGGGCCAGAAATTTTTTAGCAAGTTATGGCTTAGCGCCGTTATGGCCGCGCGACTATTCGGGCTGTACCCAAAATAAGGCACAACTCAACTGAGTCCCGGACCCTATAACATATCAAGGGATGGTCACTTCTTCATATTCTTGATACCGTTGGATAGAGCATTAAATACGCTACAATTAACCAAAAAATCAAAACTCTCGACTACTTGATAAAAAAGTTATGATCGATAAAGTGCCGAAAAATCGGATTTTTTTGAAAAAAGTTTGTTTTTAAATCATAACTTTTTAATCAATCAATCAAGAATTTTGATTTTTTGGTATCATGTAGTCCATTTAATGCTCTATCCATTGGTGCCAAGAACATTAAAAAATATCTACCCCTTCCTGAGTTATAGGGTCAAGACCAAAAGTGGGTCGGAACAGACAGAGGTGTCGGAAATTCGGAAGAGCCGAAATCGGAACTCTGAAATCAACATTTTTTCGGAAATCGGAAGTAAAAAACGTCGGAAATCGGAAGTTGGAAATCGGAATTCAGACCCATCTCTGGCCGTGACTCAGTTGAACTGATACAAAAAAACAAACATTGGCCTTTTAATTTTTGAAGAAAAACGAAGAAAAGGAATGTAATGCTTGTAAAATGGAGAACTAAGAAATTGTTCTAGACGGGAATACTGAAAATTAAAATTAATTAAAATTTAAATAAAATAAAAATAAACGTCAAATCCAGTTTCACTACTTGACAAAGAATCGATATGCATTTCTGATGAAGTATTGCTATTATCAAAAAAGTCAAAATCATAGAGGGCAGCCATTTTACAATATTCTATATAATCTCTGAGCCATAAAATGGTGAATTGTTTACCTATAAATGTTAGGAAAATCAATTAGGAAAATAAAAAGGGCCATCAACGGGAGACGGGAGATGTATCAAAATCCGAAATACCAAATCCGCAAGCATTTCCAGGATCCCGTAACGAGATTGAATTTGAAAAAATCGAACGGGAGGGATCCCGCGGGATTAATCCCGGAGTCCCGGTAATCCCGTTCGTCGCTAAAAACCCTGGATTTCGGTACGGGATCCCGTAAATCCCGCCCGGGATCCCTCACGTGCCTATCTCTAATATGTAGGTATATCAAAATCAAAAATACCACCCCGAAAAGCTTCCAAAATACCAAGCAGAAGAAAACAAAAAAAACATAATAGGAGGCTTCTTGCCAAAATCCCCTCTCCCTCTCCAAAATGTGGAAAAAGAAATAATTTGGGGAGGGGAAAACGAAAAAAATTTTGGGAATTAAAAAGTGGCCCTCCACCTCCGAAACGAGGGCCTATTTTTCCACCTGGCCCTTCACCCCCAAAAATTTTTCCTGGCTACGACCAGATTGCAACATCAACAGAAAAAAATATTCATTAAACCTTTGCAAAATTTTAGCCCTTCAAACTCCTCCAACATTGTATTGAATCTATCAAATTGCCCCTTCAAACGAATATCAATTGGGTTATTGACCAAAATCGTTAGAGGATAATATTCTGTCCAGACCTAAAATTTCACATAAAAAATTTCTAAAAAATTTTGGCACTTGTGTAGTTTATCCCCCATAAGCCCCGCCCCCTTGTCCTTTTTTCCTCTTCTTTATAAAAAAATGTTTATTAAAATATTAACCAAAATGGTCATTTTATAGGAGGAAGAGCGATAGAAAAGGCTGAAAGAAAAAGAGGCGGGGCTTATGGGGGGTAAACTACACAAGTACCAAAATTTTCAAAAAAACCATATGAGAAATTAATTTGTGTGGCTCAAGAATTGGACTGCTCCTTGGCAGAATTTTTTCACTAAAATTAAAAAAGAAAAAAATTTTTTACTTTAAAAATTAATTTACGTATCCAATTTAGCCTGAATATTAAGTGTCCCAGCCAAAGCAAAATACCAATAAATAAGTACACCAAATAAAAGTAAAAAACCAAAAATTCTATTTGATATTATTTTACAATAAAATTTTAAAATCCAATTAAATAATAAATCAGTCTAAAAAAATTTTTTTATTTTTTAAAAAATTTTTGGTAACAGTGCCGTCTGTGGACATTTTATTATTCCTCAATTCCTTTTTTCTTGACCGACTTGATGTAAGTCACGAGCGATACTCCATACAAGGGATGGGCCGAAGAAAGCCTGATCGGGTTTTCGAAATTTTTTTCTGATCTGGTTTCGGGTCGAAAAAAGTTCGGGTTTCGGATCCTAGCCCGTTCCTAACAAGTACCCAACTATGCTTTTTAGAACCCATAGTCCTGTAGTGTATACCAAAACTCGTGGTTAGTAGATCCCTCTATTCCCTTAAAGATTTTAGGGGAATAAGTTAGAATATTACAAAAAGTCGTGGCACACACAGCCAAAGTTATCATAGCTTCTAAATGCAAAACCTGGGTACGTATCAACATAAAATTTGTGACTTAAAATAATTTGACTAAAAAAGAAAATAAGGGAGAAGTAGAAATGTCACCCACAAACAACACTATTATCCTATTTATTTTTAAAAAAACCTCTTGTCTAATTTTATCCAAAAATGCAAATGTGTTATTCCCAGAATTGTCCATTCTTTCTTCAAAAATACTTGCAAAGTAAATAAGTGGGGCAAAAAGCATTAACTAAAGGATAAAAAATTTAAGCAGGAAAATCAGAAAAGAATAAACCGTGTAAATATAAGCAAAACCAAGTGCAATAGCAGTGGCCAAACAAAAAAGTGAAATTTCTTGAAAAATTTTTGAAATAAAAAAAAATGAGTGAGAGCGTATCCGTGGGGCTGATGGGGACTGACCTCCCACGAACAGGGAAAAATGAAAAAATTTTGGGAGGAGAATAAAAAAAAACAGAATTTTGGCCCGCTAGCTACGCCCTTGAGTAGGAAAGAGAAAAGATCCTCGAAAAACAAGGATTTTTCGGTTCCGAATATCCACAGATTTCCCAAGAATTGACAACCCTATTAATAAACATAAAAAAACCTGGCGTCGGTGTCAATGCTCCAATCAAAAACGTAACAACATTTGTAAGAGTAGTAATTGTTATTGATGGACCAACTTCTTCAAAAATAATACCCAATCTTTCAGGAATTGGCAAATGCTTCCGAGCTGTTCTATTCCATGAATGAGCCATCAGAAAAGCATCATTAACTCCAATCCCGCAAATTCTGAAAAAAGAAATTTTGAGAACTAAAAATGAATACTTGTGTAGTTTACACCCCATAAGCCCCGCCTCTTTTTCTTTCAGCCTTTTTTACGCTCTTCCTCCTATAAAATGACTATTTTGGTTATTATTTTAGAAAACACTATCTTATAAAGAAGAGGAAAAGGAAAAGGGGCGGTGCTTATGGGGTGTAAACTACACAAGTACCATAAAAATGTTTAAAATTACAAGAATGGCATGATAAGAATAACAGAATTTGTACGGTAACCAGCGAGAGTACATGCTCCAAATGTTGAGGTTATAGCGAGTACTGGACAGAGGGAAACGCTTTAATTGAAGAAAAAAATATTTTAGTTCAGGTTCTTTGAAAATCCAACCCTAAAGCTAATAGAGGTTTGGCTCTATCCATTACACCATAAAAGAAAGCACCAATAAGTAGAGTATAAATAACAAATGCAAACATAAAGAGAAAACCTGTTAATGTGAAAAGTTTAAAATTTTAAAGAGAAAATCATGGCTCTTGCCCAGATTACACGTACAAATGCACCTTTACACCGGGGTTGGGGACGTCGGTTAATCTTTGCCTATGGGCTCAAATAGAGGGGAATAAGAGTATTTGAGCCGCTACAGGCAAAAATTAACCGGTCGTATCCACTTGCACCTTTACACGTTTGATGAAAAGTTTATGCGTCCAATCGGTGGCGATAAGCACCCGGTTCTGCGTGTTAGAACCCATGGTCCGATAATTTGCGTGTGCACCATAACTCTGGGTGAGCAGAACTTTCTATTCCCCAATTCCAGGGGGATCAAGTTCAGGCGGCTAAAAAAAAGGTCTATTTCAGTGGTGTCCCCATGGCGCCCTTGCAATTCCCATAGATTTTTTGGTACTAAAATGCAGAGCTGGGTATGTATCGCCATTGTATGGAATCATAAACTTCTCATTGGACGTGAACGTGAAAAAGGTGCGATTTGACGCATAACCTGGACAAGACCCAAAACAATTTAAAAAAAAATTAAAATACCCATAACAAAATAGGGGACAGTCTTTTCCGCCTCTTTAGCCATTTCATAATCCACAATTTCTGATCCAAGTACCAACATTTCAATTAATGAATTATTAAACTGATTTTGACTGAATTCATAAACACGCATCTCCCACCTTGCCATTTTTTCTTCATCTTTAGGATGGGAAATGTCTGCTCTAAAGGTCATCATTATTGCCTAAATTTAATTTTTTTTAATTTTTAAAGGTCCAGTTACAGTCTTCGACGTTCATACCAAAATTCGTACTTGCCTCTACTTGACGCGAAAAAAGAGTACAAGTCCAGATATAATGAAGGTATGGATTACAAGCAAAAACGAAAGTTCCCAGCACTGATGGACCAAGATATTGGCCGCGTATTAGGAATAGGGCTGTCGGCCTGGTTCTGTCCGAAAGATCGAATCGCGGCTTCGATTTCTGGCCAGAAACTCGATTGGCCCGGTTCGATAAAAATAAGTCACGAAAAAATGCCTCGAACGTCGACCCGATTCGAAAACGGCACTCCTAATTAGATCCTACTTTTCGCATTTAAAGCTCGAGAAAATCGTTTCTTTTCATGATCCTATTTCACATCAAGTACAAGCAAGCACGAGTTTTGCTATGAGTATCGAATCATTGTTCAATAAAACCTCGATATGTTCAATATTGGTAAATTTTGAAAGCTGAGAAACCTCAGGATCTTCTTGATTGCGAGTTTCATTATTATTGCGAAGTCTAACACCTTTAAAAATTAAAATTTTAACGAAAAAAGAACCAAAAGAAACCATAAAAATTTCTTTCCAAGTGCAAATCAAAGCCATTTACCCTCGAAATTGGATAAGTGAGGTTAAGAGAATTGCTCGGCCGTTTTCCAGCATGAAGGCGCGTTAGTTGTGAATTAAGTGACTCCTATAAATAAATGTTTAAAATAAATTTTAAGCCAAAACCAAACATAGAAATAATTGATAGGCACATTTGCATCACAAAAAGGGCCGCAAATGTTGGAATAGTAGATAGGCTTAAATAAATTCTTTTATAATTAAGTGAGGAACAAGCCAACGTAACGCGAACCCAATGTACTTCGTTCAAAATTTTCGGATCCGTGACGCCCTGATATGGTTTGATTCAACTTATCCAGGTGTATCAAAGCATACAAGGGCTTCCCGGATTCAAAAACTTTTAATGAAGACATAGCTTGGCGGTACATTGGGCTCGCAGTACGTTGAGGTGTACCCTTTAAAAGTGTCATAAAAATAGATAAACCTCTCCATCCAAATCGGCAGAAATATTTAGATGCAATAAAGAATGCAAATTGACTGAAGCGTTTAACCAGCGCAATCTGTGCATACTGCCACCATCCCGAGCTCTAAGCAGCACCGTTGTTAGAAGAGGATCGCCTAAATTTCAAGTTAAAAATGAAATTAATGGAGCTAATAAAAAACCTGTAGACCCCAGAAATTCTTTTAGAACATCGGTCTCATAACGAGACATTGAAGTTGTAGGTGTGTAACCATCTCTAACACGATCTTTTATTTCTAACCAGTAAATCCCAACTAAAATTGATTTAAAATTAATCTAAAAATAATACTAGAATCTACCAGAAAGCGAAGAAAGAATCAAAGAAGCAATTAGAAATGCCAGGGGGTAAACGCCGATTGAGTGACCAAGAAGTTTAAAGCCATTTTCAAGATTGAACTGCTCCCAAAAATTGAGAAATTTGACGAGTTTGGGGCCTGCAAATAAAAAAAATTTTAAATCAGATGACAGGCCAAGGGCGTAACCAGACTAGAGAGCCAAAGACAAAGGGCGTAACCCCAAGCCCCCTAACACGCCCTAGCGACAGACTCGAATTTTTGGTACTTTTGGATACCCCCCCCCCCAGTTCAAGTCTGTTATTCTTTACTTCTTCAAGCCTTCATTCTCCCTCAAGCACTATAGACGAAATGTAAGTGCAACCGTAAAAAAGATTAATGTTATCCCTTGACCAGATATAGTCGAAATAGGGAAAGGATATCTTATACAAGGCCCGTAGCCAGGGGGGTTGGAGGGGAATTCCCCCTCCTAAAACTTTACTGGTTACGAGCCTAAATGATACTCGAACTAGAGGAGGGCGAGATATAAAGAAGTACCGAATTTCTCGCAAATATAAACAATACCTTCTGGACTCCCAATTTCTGGAGGAGTATCAGTTTGATCACTGGAACCTTCCAACAATTTGGTATGCTGAACCTCCTGCTGAAATTATTTTCAAATTAAAATAAATTAAAAGAAAAATTGAAACCTTCGCCTCCGCCATATTTCTATTTCTCAGTCCTTTGACATTAACGAAGTTTAACCATCATAAGAACAGCACATATTTCAGGAATTATTCTAAAAACAAGTTTAACCTTGCCTTCTTGAAAATAATAAAATTAAAATGAATTAAAATAAACCTCTCAGAGGTCAGAAAAAAATCTTTTGAATTTCGGGTACACTCCAACGTACCGCAAGCCACACGTACCGCCGAGCTATAACTTCGTCCAAAATTGTCGAATCCGGATGCCCTGGTGTGATTCGATTCAGACCTTCGAGGACATCGAACCATAACTCGGCGTCCTGGATCGGGAAAAAAATTTTTTTATTTTTCCGATAAGTTTGAACAAAGTTATAGCTCTGCGGTAAGTTGGTCTCGCGGTACGTTGGCCTGCTCCCTAAATTTTAAAAACGGATGAGCAAAAAAACTTTTATTAAATAAAAATTCAAAGAAATACTTCAAAATAAAAATAATTTTGACTTTGATTGAAATCTTCATTCCTTCCTCTCAAGCATTTTCGCAGCTCGATTGGCACTTGCAAACGTACAATTAACAAATCCATTCCATTTCTTGACTAACAACAATTTAGCATCAGAAAAGGAGGGTATCTAAAATGAACAATGAGGAAGAGTTTTATGTTAGAAGTAGAGACCGGGGCTGAATCCGGCAGGACGGAGTCGGGTCCCAAATCCGGTTTTTTGCGATCTCCGGATTTTTTCCGGACCGGATTAATCCGGAAAAATCAGGCCGGATCCTATCCGGCTCAAATTGCAGATCCGGATCCGGAGAAATCGATTTTACCAGTCACTAGTTAATTTTTTTATGTTAGAAAGTTTACAGAGAAAATAGAGGTCAGAATTTTACTAGATCCCGTCTGAAATCCCGGGTTTAAGCGACCAACCTCTAGTATCGAAAAATGTATGGGACAAAACGTCCAATTTTCAAAAAAAACAAACCTCTTCAAAATAAACAATAGTTCCAGGAATAACATCAGATTTTAAACGAGAATACAATGAAGCGCCTTTCTCCGCATTCGTCGACCTTTAAAAATTAGGTATTAAACTAGGGTAGCAACCCGACCCTTCGGGGGCAGGTGTGTCGGGGATCGAGGTTTGCCGGGGAAAGCATGTCGGGGTTCGGGGGTCGGGGTTGGTTTTTGGGTCGGGGTTCGAGGTCGGGGTTGGTTGGTTTTTTAAAGTCATACCAAACTCCGCTGTCAACTGAAAGTTTTATTGGAAGAATAATTATAGCTGCACGTGTAGATTGTCTAAATTAGAAAATTTTCTCTGAAGAAAGAAAAATACCTACTTGATTAAAGACCGCCAAAAATGCATTTGTGTTGGAAATTGGAAATAAATGTTAAATATTTTAAATCTAAAAAGGCCAAAATTATTTGCTTTATGCGGCACGGCGCAAAGCCATAACTAGTTGAAAAGTTTCTGGACCTTAACAAATTTGGTACCTTTGTCTTTAGCTCGATGAGAGGAATCGTTTAATACTAAATTTGGTAAGGTTCGGGCAACTTGAAGCAAGTTATGGCTTTGCGCCTAATTGGCCGCGCGCCTACTCGGGACGTGTCCGGTTAACTCATCTATTCGTTAACTCATCTACACGGCCAAAAACGTTCAACTCATCTAAACGGCTAAAATTCCTTAACTCATCTACACGTCCAAAAAGGGTCAACTCATCTAATCGTTAACTCATCTATTCGTTAACTCATCTACACGGCCAAAAAGGGTCAACTCATCCAATCCTTTGGAACGAGACTATTGAGTACCAGTCGTTTGAGTCTCTCGCCGTCTGAGTCTCTGGCCGTTTGAGTCTCTGGTAAGTAGGGTCCATGGCCGTTTGAGTCTCTGGTAAGTAGGGTCCATGGCCAGTTGAGTCCATGGCCAGTTGAGTCCATGACCAGTTGAGTCCATGGCCAGTTGAGTCCATGGCCAGTTGAGTCCCTGGTCAGTTGAGTCCCGGCCGTTTGAGTGGTTGATTACCGCCGGTTGAGTCTTGGGCCGGTTGAGACTCAACTGACCAGGGACTCAACCGGCTAGGGACTCAACCGGCCGATATTTCAAGGATTGGATGAGTTGAGCGTTTTTGGCCGTGTAGATGAGTTAACGAATAGATGAGTTAACGATTAGATGAGTTGACCCTTTTTGGCCGTGTAGATGAGTTAACGAATAGATGAGTTAACGATTAGATGAGTTAACCCTTTTTGGCCGTGTAGATGAGTTAACGAATAGATGAGTTAACGATTAGATGAGTTGTATAGGAGCCACTCGGGACGCACCCATTCATCCACAAAGTTAGAGAAATTAAAGGAAATATTAGAGTAGTTAAAGAAAAATATAAATATGTGTTTATGGTCTGTTCAGTGCTAATATGTTAAGAGTGGGGTACAGCCCAAGTAGGCGCGCGGCCAAAACGGCGTAAAGCCATAACTTGCTCCAAGATTTTTGAATCTTAACGCATTTTGTATTAAACGATTCCCCTCGTCGAGTTGATAAGGAATAGATATTTTCAAGCAAGTTAAGATTTTGCGCCGTTATGGCTGCGCGCCTACCTGGGCGTGTCCCCTATAATAGCGAAATAACAAAAAGTGATTTTTCGAAGCAACACATTTAAATTTTTAAAAAATTTGAATAAAAAATTTTATATCTTTAAAAATAAATGCAATAATGTACATATGGAACAATTTTACATTTTCGGATTTAAAAAAGCGAAATATGGTAAAAGGGATTAATCACAAATATTAAAATTAGGCAAGGATTGTATTTACATATTTACAAAATATAAGTTGATCAACTCTATTAAAAGGTCTAATTGGGGGATACTTAATGTTAGGGGACGACCCGGAAAACCGTCACACTGAGGACTATTGATATCATCACCCTATCCCATAGGCATCCCCATTAATCCCTCTTAATCCCTCCAAATCTCCTGATATCCGCGATATCCCTTAAAATCTTCCTATATACTCCTTTAATCCCTCCAGATCCCTCATGACCTCCTTAATCCCTCCCAAATCCCTCATCATCCCCTTTAATCCCTCCAGATCCTTCATGACCTCCTTAATCCTGCCAAATCCCTCATTATCCCCTTTAATCCCTCCAGATCCCTCATGACCTCCTTAATCCTGCCAAATCCCTCATTATCCCCTTTAATCCCTCCAGATCCCTCATGACCTCCTTAATCCCTCCCAAATCCCTCATCATCCCCTTTAATCCCTCCAGATCCTTCATGACCTCCTTAATGCTACGCTTACATAAAAATCGCGCCCGACACGCGACAGTCGCTAGGCGACATGTCGCCGGCGACAATCGCTAGTTGTGTGCTTACATAAAATCGGCGATTTCCGCAAAAGCGACTGTCGCAAAGCGACAAAACGCTATTTTTATGTAAGCACAAAGCAGCGACGTCGCTAGGCGACATGTCGCCTAGCGACGTCGCAAATCGCGCGCGATTTTTATGTAAGCACAAAATTATTAGATTTTTCTATCTTTTTCTTCTATATTTTCTTTATTTATTTATCTCTATTTTTCACGTTGGTGAAAGTAAGAGTACTGTAATGTATAGGACAGTTCGTTGCCACTATTTTATTGTGGCTTTTATATTGTGGGTTTTTTAAATTTTTCCATTGATATTAGAGTTAGGAACGGGTCCGGACCTGTTTCCGGGTCCCTTTTCCCGTTTTTTGAACGGGGTTTCACGGTTTCCCGGACCCGGTCACCGGGAAACCGTACTTTGATATTAAATTTTTGAAGGAAAAGGAATATTTATAATTTCCACTATTTTCTTTAATTGGTCGATGGTTGAGTGGTTATGTTGACTGACTTCACTCATCTAGTTATCTTGATAGGGATTGGGTTCGGATAGGGATTGGTAGGAAGTGGGACTGAGAAAATTTTCTTTTCAAAAATAAATATCTTTAAACTTTGATTTTGATTTTAAATTTGCAAATTTATTTTTTTAATGTTTTAAACCAGGCATGGTCATCGATACGGATAATATCAGGAGATCGAAGGTATCCGGGCTATGGACAGATATGGTCCGCGGATATGGACCCTCTTAATCCCTTAAATGCCTTGATTTTCCCCAAAATTTTTTGTCCATAACTTTATGGGACGAGCCCTGCTCATCAAGAAATGGTCACTTTTTCGTGTTTTTGGTATCATTTGATAGAGAATCAAAAGCTTTACAATATAAAAAATTCAGAATTTTTGGCCGATTGATAAAAAGTTATGATAAAAATACTCGATAGCATACTGAAAATCTCAAAAATATCGAAAAAAAAGAATATTTTTTTCAAAAAGTATACCTTTTTCAAAATCAATTTTGACCCATAAGATTTAACTTTAAAAATATAAAATTTATATTGATCGATAGAGAATAAACTGAACTTTCAGAATCTTTTTAAATTTTGAAAATCGGATCAGAATTGATCGAGAAATAGCATGTCGCAAAAAAGTGTCGCCAAAAATTCAAACATGTTTGAATCAAAAAAAGTGTCGCCGGCGACATGTCGCCGGCGGAAATCGCATTTTATGTAAGCACACGAAAAAGCGACAAAATCGCGCGCGACATGTCGCCGGCGGAAGTCGCGGTTTATGTAAGCACTCAAAAAAGCGACAAAGTCGCGCGCGACAAGTCGCCGGCGGAAGTCGCTTTTTATGTAAGCACGCAAAAAAAGCGACAAAATCGCCGGCGACTTTTCTCTCCTCTTTTTCCATTATCTTTTCTGTCGCGTGTCGCGCGCGATTTTTATGTAAGCGTAGCATAATCCTGCCAAATCCCTTATTATCCCCTTTGATCCCTCCAGATCCCCACGGTTAAACGTTTAAAGATATAAAAAATCGTGTTGATCATAAAGAGGCCTTCAGGAGGTGGACTCAATTTTAGAGTTGAACTTTTCAAAATGAGAAAAAAATATACAAAATATATACCAAGATATAAAAATATTTTTAAAATCATGTTGATAAGGCTGTCTCGTCAGTTACACAAAGCAATAATTTTTGTGCTGATCTTGTAATTTCAACTAGAATTTTAAAAAATATAAAGGACTTAAAGGGTTTTTATTTGTTCATATGCCTCCGAAAGAGCTCGAAAAACTGAATCGAATGAGGTGAGTAGGGTTGGGAGCCCGATCTGGTCCGGTCCGAAAGATCATGTCGGGCATCAAATTTTGACCCGATTAAAGACTCGGTCGAGCCGGCCCGATAAAAATGAGGCCCGAAAAAAATGACTAGAACGTCGACCCGACTCAAAAACCCCATCCCTGGAGGTGAGGATGAAACCGATCCAGCATCCCGGGACCGAGTTATTGCCCAAAGGTATGCGATACAGAAACATAAGCTTTTTCGGTAATATTGAACCTGACAGACCCCATTTTTCCTCCCCAAGCTTTTTCCTAGATACATATCTAAAGAATGGTCAGACTTTTCCTTTCTTTCATGCCAATTGCCTTAAGTTGTTCTTCCATTTTTTAATTGAGAAAATGAGTCTTCTCACAACTCTCATACATAAATACCAAAAATAGAAAGGCAATTGGGATGGAAAAAATCTGACCATCTTACAAAAATATGGGGGAAAAATTGGGGAGGAAAAAATGAGGTTTCCAAAATAAATCCCCTAAAAATCCCACAAAATAAAAAATCAAAACTAACTCCAAGGTCTATAAAAAAGTTGAGGTTTGCAATGCCATCTAACAAACAAAAAGTAGAATGGAATTCCTGAAGCTATAATACCAATGGCCACTATCAATTCGGTTGGTTGAATGAGTAAAGGCACAAACAAAATATACAGACATATTAAAAAGAAGATTACTGGGACAAACAGTGGGAACTGAAAATAAATTATTGGGGATATTCTAAAAAAATTTTCAGTCAAAAAATTCTAAGAAATTAGGTTCCTTTGTGTTAAATCCCCGCATTTTATTTTTTTCGCCTTACTTTTTCCTTTCTCAAAAAAAGCCCGCATGGGTGAAAGTAACACTGTTAAAGAATTATGAAGACCTATGGCGAGAGATAACCCATTTCTGCTTTATAGAAGCATGACTCCGGTATTGTGAGTGTATACATGACTCCGAGTGAATAATATGAGAATAGGTGGACCTATTGCAAAAAGTAGTGGTCACATACCCAACCTTGGCATTGGTTCTAACTGCAGAAACTAACCATGTGTACTCTTCAGAAGAAGGAAAAAAGGGAGAAAAAAAACTTTTTCTAACCAGAAAAATTTTTTATTTTGAGAAGGTAAAAAGAAAGGAGAAAAATAAATTTGCGGTGATATATTTAGCACACGGATACTAAAAAAATTTTCAGTAAAAAATTTTTTCCCTCCTATTAAAAAAATATTAAACCTGAATAATATTTTCATTGCTTTCCAATTGATCACTTTCTGTCTCCTTTTTCTTTGATCTAGCATCTTGAAGTCTTAGTCTAATTAATCCAGCAACAGCACAAGTAATTACAGAAGACTCAGCAAATGCCAAATAATTTATTAAAACATCTTTAAAATTTTTTTTTCAAAAAAAAATTTCGAAAAAACTCACAAACATCAGCAAAAGCAAGCATAGCAATTGAAGAAGCACCCAAAAATATAAGTGAAGGTGTTGGTGTTAAACAGTCTATATTAATCATTGCTAATAATTCTGGTAAAAGTCCATCACGAGCACCAGCAAAAAACATTCGGGAAGAAGTGAAAATTATCTTTAAGAAAATTTTTTTAGTGGCACATGATAAAAAGTCATCGCCAGCTCCCCTTAAGGCTTTAATGTACATTAGCTTGTCTTTGTAACATCTACCCATTTTATAAGGATGGGATTTCGTAGTAGAGGCCAGGGATGCCACGGGTTACCCGAAATCCGAGCCAAAAAATTTTACAAACCCAAACACAACATTTTTCCTCATAATCCCTCTGACCCGAAACCGGAATTTTTTATACCCGAAAACCAAACCCACATATGACATTTTCCTCTTTATATCCCTCCCGACCCGAACCCCAAACCTTTTCCCGGCGCGAAATCCGATCCGAAGAAAATTTTGAAGACCCGCCCCGACTTTGTTCTCAACCCGTGAGATCCCTGTTACTAAGGGAATTTAGCAAAAGTCAGGAAAAAATGAGGGAAAGACCGCGAGAAAGTCCGGGGATCCTCTACAAAATCCCCGGACATCGTTCTTGTTTTAAAAAATAAAAAAATTAACCCCATTAAGGCTTCCAACACACGAACATGCAACAAAGAAAGGAACAAGTACAGCTAAAGGGCCTAATACACGTGCTGCAAAAGTAACCGCCACAGCATCAGATTCCAAAATTTCATGGGGAGATAAAGCAGAAAAATAGGCCATATTAACGAGAATATACTAAAATTTAAAAAAATATTTTACTTTTTAATTTTTCAAAGCTTACAATTAAAGTAACAGTTGGAAGAGAAATATAAATTGCTCGAGGCAAATTTCTAAAAAACAAAAAATATTTTAAAAACCCTGAAAAAATTTTTGTTGCTGGTCTAGTTTATGCTTCCAATGAACTTTTATGCGTCCAATCAACAAAAAATTGTATTTTTGTTGGTGTTGGAAAGTTGGGGTATGGTTCCAAAACATTTCTTCATGTTTCATAGATTTCGGGGGATAGGGTAAGAAATGGTCTTAGAGCCAGTGGGCGTAGGTCCCGAACATGGAAAAATGTTTTGGACCCATACCCCAACTATGCAACCCCAAGAAAAATTCAATTTTTTGTTGATTGGACGCATAAAAGTTTGATTGGACGCATAAAAGTTCATTGGCGCATAACTAGACCAGCGCCAAATTTTTACTTGTGCGGTTCTCGAATTTCTTCTGTCACAAAATTAAGATAATTCCATCCAGAAAAGCTAAACACCCCAGAATAGAAAGCTAATGCCAAGTGAACTGGAGAAAAATTGGAATCTTCAAGTAGGGTTTCTTGGTTAAGTGTTTCTGATTTTCCTAAAAAATTCTTTAATTTGTCTAAAACAACGGCAATTAACCTAAAATAACGTTTACCAAACCAGCAACAACAATTAAAGCTAAAGCAACAATTTTTGTAATAGTTGACCAATCCTGAGTTCGAGTAGACCACCTTACGTTGGCACAATTGACAAAGGTTAGAAGGACTTTAAAAAGAAATTTTTTCAAATCTTGTTGAAAAAAATCAAGGGCGTAGCCAGGAGGGATGGGGCCCACCCCAACCCCCGAAATGGAGGAAAATGAAAGAAATTTGGGAGGAGAATGATAAAAAAAAAAGTGATAAAAGCTTCTAAAATTATCAGGATTTTCGTCTGTGTACGTACAAAAAATTCGCTTTGAAACACCAAAGTAGCTTCGGAACGCCAAATGGCGCACCCCCTATTTAGACCCCCTGAAATCGACCTCCTGACTAATCCCTCAAAAAATTTTAAACCTATAATAGCAGCTGCAATTATTCTAACTGGAGTCTCAGGCACTGGACAGGCAGGGAAAAATGGTTTGAGAACATATTGAGCAAAAGTTAAGGCAATAACAGCATTTGACGTTGGATTTACTATGAGAAGTGCAATCCAAAGGAAGAGAAAAGCAGGCAAAGGGCCAAACGCCTTTTGGAAAAAAAATTTTTTTAATTTTTTAAAAATCTTTAAAAAACCTCAGAAATATAAACATAATCTCCACCACTTTTTGGTATCCTTGTGCCCAATTCTGCGTAGCAAAGAGCACCAAGCATTGAAAAAAGTCCGCAGCCTGTCCATAAGGCAATTGAAAGGAGTGGACTGCCGGCATGGATTAAAACACCTTTTGGGCTGATAAAAATGCCAGAACCGATAATAACACCAATTATGATTGCGCAGCCGTTGAAGAGGCCTAAAAACGAAAAAAATTTTTTAAAAAACCCCAACAAATACGGATAAGGATAATTCAGTTTCGCCGATTCAGTATTTAGGGGTTGGAGACGTTTTGGCGCCGTGCCGCAAGCTCGCGCCACGTCCAAGCGCCAAAACGCTCCAGTCCCGTTTAAGGCCATACTTTGAGCCGTAACTTTCTTATGTTAGGTTTCCTCCTATCCAAATAATTCTCGTATCATTCGAAAGGACTCTGCTACAACTTTATAATAATGAACTTATCTGATCTGAACAATCAAAAAGTTAAAGCCAAATAAAGATAGAAAATCACGATTGACCTCACATCCTCGGCCGTAACTTTTTGCAGAATAATCTGATCAAATCAACTCTGCTAGGTAAAATTATCCCCACTTTTAGAGCTTTCGATTGATATAATAATTATTTAAATCGGTTAAGAATTAAAGAAGTTATGGCCCAAAATATGCCCCCAAATATCCACCCAAAAAATTTTAACCTAATTTCGGTCTCAAACGAATTTGTTGTCTTTCTTGTGAAATTCCTCCATTCGAATTTTTCTTTCCAAATCCGTTTGTTTGAGGAGTTAATGCTTCTTTCTCTGACGGCACAGAAATTCTTTCTTTGGGGCCATTGCCAGGCATTTTAATTTATTTCTAAAATTGAAAATTTTCAAAAAATTTTAGAAAATGATAGGGGGTCATCCTCTTTGAAGGCTTATTGACCCTGGATACCTACAACTTTTGAAAGGAACATCGAGGGATTAAGGGGTTAAAAATACCCAGCTCTCTGGAGATACATAAGTACCCAATTCTGTGTCTTAAAACCAATGGTCCGGTATTATGATTGTGTACTTTAACTCTGGGCGAGTAGAGATCTCAGTTCTCTTCAATCAACCCAAATCCCTCCAAATCCCTCAATGTTCCCTTTTAATATCCCCGTAATCCCTCCAAATCCCTCAATTTTCCCTTTTGATATTCTCTTTAAATTGTATATCTTCAGGGTCAGTAATTCTTCAGGGGTGGACTCATCGAGAGTATTTTTAAAAAATCTATACTTTAAAATAAATTAAAGAAAAAACCAGGTTTTTCAAGGTTAAAATTGTTAAAACACACACAATTTATATCAGTTTATTTGATAAAAAGATCTCGCCTAATTAAACTAATTGATTATTAAATTTTACGGAAATGAGAGTAAAACGTAAGATATAAAAGGACAAATTTTTTTAAAAGTTGTCCATAGATGTTTGTGTAAATAAAAATTAAAATAGGGGCACGTGGGTGTGTTAAAAAACAAAAAATAAAAATAGAAAGTACATTGTTATTATTAGGATAATTAATAACTAGGGGTGGGAAAAACATGCAAATTTGTGTTTTGTATGAGGATATCCGGGCAGTGAACAAAAATTTCGCGTGGCGCGCCAAATAGGTTAAAAATGGACACCAAATGCCAAACGCCATGATGCACAGCCCTGGCGGATTAGACCTAATAATAGAAGCTTTTAAAAATTGGTTGTAGGTCTTCGGGGTTAATTTTTGAGGCCAACTTCAGGCTCAGCTTTAGGAACCGATTTTTAATACATATTTTTTGCATACTTCGGCCCCCTCGTGCATATTTGCATATCGGTGCATATTTTGAGAAATTTTGCATATTTTGGGCTTTTTCTGTGCTTGGGCTTTTTATGCGCATATTTAGCGAATTTGCGGATATATTTTTCCCAGACCTATTAATAACACATTAGAATAAATATTAATTTTTTAGCCTAGAAATCATTAAAGAGAGGAAATCCCCCCACACCACGCGGTGGCCGAATGATATTTCATTTTCCCAAATTTCCAGTCAATTTCCCACACATAAAAGTCTGTCACGAGAAATTAGTCGATTAAGCAGTGGTGGCAAAAAAAAAAGTAAATTTTATAAAAGATGGGGAGAATCGAAAGTTGAAGAAAAAAAAGGTTTTTCAGAAAAAAGTAGGGGGTTTCTGGTCTTTTCTCGCAATCATTTCCCCCATTAATTTTAAGTTTAATCGCACTTTTTTAAAGATCGATTTGTTGCGGAAAAGAGAAATAAATCTAAAGACACAAAATTTATTAGTTTTAAATTAGGATGGGAAAATTTTGAAACAAAATAAAAATTTGGTACTTTTCCATTATATGTCCCTCATGTTTTTTGAGCGAGGACTTTGTTCAGAATCACCGAATCACGTTGATTTTAGTGTCATTCGACTCATAACGTCGAGCCCTTTTGAATAAGCTGTCATTTGGAATATATCAAATTTTTGACCTCTTAAATTAGGGTATGCCCCCCTGTACACATCTGACCATTATGAACTCCTAACTTGGTTTATAATTAAGGTCGGAGCTTAATTTTGGTGTCAATCGACCTATATCTCAGTCAGAGGCACTTATCAAAGAAATTAATATAACTCGTAAGACTTTGGAACCGGCCACCGGTTAAAGACAGCCAAAGAATTACGTTGATTTTGGTATCATTCAACTCATGACGAGCCTTTCTAATAAGTTGTAATTGTCACTGGCCATTGGCTAAAGTAACGTGATTTTCAGTAATGCCTTAGATCGAGATATAGGTCCCCGAAGATTGAGACCCTTATTTGTTAGGTGGGAGCCGACGAGACTAATCTAAAGATACATAATTAACAAGACTTTGAAACCAGCCACTGGCTAAAGTACAGCCAAAGAATTTGCGGGCGTATAACAGAGAAGTACCAAATTTAAAAAATAGTAAAAATTAAAAAAAGATGCCACTATAAGAAGATTATAAAATAAATAACATTTTTGCACATTTAAAGCGGATTAACTTTTTTTAGATGATAAAAAACGTAAAAAAACTGGTGATTTTAAAGAAACTGGTGAAAAATAGGCAGAAAAAACAATTTAAAAAAAGCTTTCAAATTATAAAAATAATTATAGGTATTTTTATTTTTTATCCAAGAAAATAAGGAAATCTCGCAAGGGTACTTTATGGATATATCACCCCCCCTCCTATTTTGAGTCTCAGAATTTTCCTTAAACGTAGAAAATGGTCACAGATTATTTTCTTCTCCATGTCAATCATTTTTCTTTCTTCAAGCAAATGTATAAACGAAATGACTGAAATGTAAGTACAAAATATGTGAAAAGGCAAAATAAACAAGCAAAATACTTGAAGAAGAAAAAAATGATTGACATGGAGAAGAAAATAATATCTGACCATTTTCTACGTTTAAGGAAAACTCTGAGACTCAAAATAGGAGGGGGGGTGACATATCCATAAAGTACCCTCGCAAGAATAAAATAAAAAATATTAAAAAAATATATAAGCCTGATGCAATAAAATTGGCATAGGAAATCAGCAGACAATAAGTATAATTTTTAATTTGCTCATCATTAATAGATCATATGTTTTTTTAAACATTAGAGATTGAAATTTAAAAAAAAAATTATTAATAAAATAATTTTTATAGAAGTGAAAGGGGTAAAAGGGGAAGGGAAGGGAGGGGGTGAAAGGGAAGGTGAAAGTGGGTACACCCCACCTACCGCGAGCCCAACCTACCGCCGAGGCTATAACTTCGTTCAAAATTGTCGAATCTGAGACAACTTAGTATGGCTGGATTCAGCTCGTCGAGGCGTATCGAACCATACCAAGGCGTTCCGGATTCGACAATTCTGAACAAAGTTATAGCCTCGGCAGTAGGTTGGGCTCGCGGTAGATTGGCCTGTTCCCTGTGAAAGTGGAGAGGAAAAATAGGCAGAAAAAAATAAATAATAAAATTTTATATAATTTTGTGTTATGGAAAAACGATTATTGGTCGCCTTTCTGCAAAAATAAAATTTATAATAATAAAATTGTAGTATAATTCAAGTTTGTGAAGATGGAAAACTTAATTGCAACCAAAAAATAAAAAGGAACCAATAATTAAAAACGCAAAGGGAATTCAAAAATTTGAAGGGAAAAAAGGAAATAAAATTTTATTTATTTTTATTACAAAAGAGGAAAAAATACAGAAAAGACAAGTAGACTGTACAAATATTTGAAACAACTATTCAAACCCAAATCTATATCCCTCAGACGGGGCCCAAAAAGACGCGCGGCCATAACTTGCTGGAAAATTTCTGGTCCTTATCAATTCTGGTGTGCCAACTTTTTAGCTCGATGAGGATCGTTTAATACTAAATTTGGTAAGATTCAGAAATCTTGAAGCAAGTTATGACTTTGCGCCGTTATGGCCGAGCGCCCTATAAGGCTGTACCCTCCTCAGACAGGAAATAAAGACTGTCTAGAATAGCTCTCAACAAAAAAGGAAAATCTTTCAAAATTTTCTAGTTTGTACAAAATTTTTTTGGATTCCTGCCATAGAGAAGAAAGACTTTATTGGAAGCTAGCCAACTGGCGTCAACTCTCCTTATTTTTCTTTTGAAATTTGGCAAATGAGAAAAAGGAAAAGAGCTGCATTAGAAATGCAGCTGGCAGAAAAATAAGAGAAAAATAAAAAATAGAAGGAAAGCAAAAAGTGTTTTGAAAGCCTAAGCGGATTTAAACTTTAGCGGAAGAAATCCGCAAGTTGAAAAAAAGGAGTGGCAGAATGAGAAACAAAAGATGTGTTTTTATGTATGGCCAACAACGCAGACAACAGCGTGAGTAAGCGTATGGCCAACGACACCACTTTTTTTAGTTTAATCTTAGCCTAAGTACACAAGTCCATTAAATGCACTGTTCGGGGATAAGCCAAGATGATACGTAGTTAAAGGAATATCGCCTACAACGATACGAGATAACTACCAGGTATGCCCCCGCACCTTAAAAAGTAGAAGTGGAAGGCGTAACGCCTAAGGGTAGAAAAGCGATATTCCAGGAAACAGAAGAGGAAAAATCTGCGGAAGCAGAAAACAGCCCCAGAGGGCATACCAGTCCGAGCGGGAATACGACGGTCAAAAGGGCATACATGAAGCAGAGGGCATAACTGTAAGAACCCTTTGTCCCTACAAAGAACCCCCATTATCCTTTGGGCTCCGATTGCCGTCTTTATTGAGCAGCAAAAATTAAAATAATTATTAACGATCATTAAGAGCGATGGATTTCTGTTATGGTTTCAATTTAAAATAAGAACCCATAAAAATTTGAATAAAAATAAATGGCAGCTGCTTACTAAATGCTGCTTTAATGCCTTATTTTATGTATTTTTCTATAAATAAAGGCCATTCTTGGCAGTTAGCCATTGTGTAAATAAAGGAAGAAAGGGAAGGAACGTCATGTGAGGAGGCTGGAAATTGAGAGAATTATTGATAGAGAATTGGGAAAATAAAATTCTGCGCATAGAAAGATTTGAAAAAAGAAAGGACAAAAAAATTTTAAAAATAACAATGAGATCCCAACAAAAATAATTTTAAAAATATCCAGCAAAAATTTCATGACGCTATTAATAACTCTCCAATGTAAGGGCGTGGCAGAATTTTTTTGTCTGACAGCTGACGGTTTTTTCTGACGCGGGATAAAAATAGATGTGGAAGAGGCGACAAAAAAAGAAAGAGATGTGGTGCTAAAAACAACAAAAAAATTTTTGCTAAAGTGCGAACAAAACAGAAAAAATTTGGGGGAAGAAAGTATATAGGTAAATATTTTTGGAAGAAAAAAAAGTGTAAAGGAATGTTGGAATGATTAGAAAATAGACAAAAAATAACTCGGGAAAAAAAATGAATCAAACTATCAAAAGGAAAGGAAATGGATATTATGAGATAAATTCCATGGATTCCAAAAGATGGAAAAGACCAAAATATAACGTAAAAATATTATAGTTTTTGATAAATTGAAGAAGAAAATTAGAAAGGATAGGAGGACTTTGATCTCACAAATAGTAGGGTTGTTGGCTCAGAACCGATGAACAACTTCGGTTCAGATATCCAAAAATTTATGTTCGACTCAGGGCCGGATATCCAATCCAAAAACCGACAACTCTACTCACAAATTTTAAAAACAACCAGGGTCATTGAAACAGAAAACTAGAAAGGAAAAAAACAGAAAACTAGAAAGACTTTAATCACACAAATAGTAGGGGCCGGCTCGGAATCTTTGGTTCGGTTATCCAGACAATCATGGTCGGCTTGGATTCAGATACGCGATCAAAGAACCTACAACTCTACTCAGAAATGAAAATAATAACCAGGGTCACTAAAATGTGTCCTTATGAAGCCAGACATTATCACTCCTATATCTTCCTACCCCTTATGGGTACAGCCCAAATCGGAGCGCGGCCATGACGGCACAGTTATAACATGCTGGAAAATGTTTGGTCCTTAATTCAAACTCCCTAGCTCGATGTGAGGAATCGTTTAATACTATTAATTGGGACATCCTTAAGTTATGGCTTTGCTTAGTTATGGCCGCGCTCCGTTTTGGGCGTGTTCTCTTATAACAAATATTTAAACAAAAAATCATACCAAACCTTGTGTTTCCATCACATTTTTGATCTTTAACAGCTTATTTTAATTTTTCAGCCAATGCATCACATCACAAAATTGATCAACCGTTATCTGATGTACTTTACACATTTTATACAAGTTAGTGTCTGTAAAAAAAAATATAAAAAGAATTAAAAATTAAAAAAAGTAACGGGGAAAGCCGTGTTAAGGGCAACCCAGAAAACCGCAAAAAAGAAAGCTTAAAGGATCTTTTTTTATAAATATTTTATCGAACTTAAAAACAAAAATTTTAACATGAAAATTTTAAAATACCCACAAATTGAGTGCCAGCCAAATTTGATCGGCTATAGCTTTTTGACACTTGATCCAATATGACTGAATCTTATATCATTCGAAAGTCCTCGATAAGCTGTATTTTTTCCCTATTTGTTGGATTAGGTCTGACCCCTCTTTAAAAAGTTATAACCCGATAAATGTGAAAAATACCTAATAACAGGACTTATCAGGATATAATTTTTAATGAGTGATCAGACTTGATCTAGCCAATTGAAATAAAGATTTTCCTCATCGAGAGCTTTCGAATCAGGCCTGTAGCCAGGGTATAGATTTCCGGTAACAGGTAAGCCGTGTTAAAGAAAAATTTGGCTAGTGGATTTGCAAGCAAGCCCATGAAATTTATTCCGATCAAAGTCGTCTGGCACTCAATTTGTAAGCGTATAACGAATAAGTACCAAAAAAATTTATCACCTAAATCCAACAATAGTTTTAACATCTTCTAATGTTTTGGTAACAATCTGTCTAGCTCGTTTTCCTCCATTCTCTAAAACTTCCCAAAGAGTGCTTTCATCACTTAATAATTGGTGGTATGTTCCACGTATTGGTTCCAAATGCTCGCTAAAATTTAAGAATTTTTCTATTTCATTTTTAAATAAAAACATACTTTATGATGGAGGCCAGTCGAAGTTTAAACGAGAGTGTATTCAATCCACTACAGTCTTCGACAACCTGTTCTGTACTAATCCCTGCGAATTCTCCATACAGCGTTATCTTAAAGACAAGTTGGAGGATGTAATTTGTAGAAAATCAAGTCGCTAACAAGGGAAACATCCCAAACTGCGAGTCTAAATTTTATACATTTTTTGGTATCAAGCGATGAAGCATCATCGATTTACTATAGAGAATCTTCGGTTTTTTGGCTAAGAATATAAAGGTAAAAAGTTATGGGGCTTCAGAGTTCACGAAAATGGGGGAGAAAAGGAACGAAAGTAAACCCGATACGAAGAAAATTCTAAATCCAACCTAAATCCGACCAGACATCTCCCCGAACCCGAACCCTAAGAAAGCTTTGAAAACCCGACCCGACTTTTTCATCACCCGGCCCATCCCTGATTAGTACCAAAAAAGTAAAAAATTTTTATTCACAGTTCGGGAAGTTCCCTTGCAAGTCCAATGCCTAAAGTAAAAAAATTAAAACCAAATTGCTGACAGCAGGCCTCTTTTCAGGATCAAAAGTAATTTCTGGATTGAAGTCACTCAGCGCTGATTTTATTTTCTCGATAACCACTTCATTAGAATCCATAAGACTGATAAAAGATTTAATTTTAGGATCCGACTTGCTCATTTTAATCATTGGATCACACAAACTTTTGATTTTTGGGCAAGAAGTATGCACCTGAAAAACAAAAATTTTAGTTAATACTTAAGCTTTGGTAAAACTTGCTTTGAGGGCTTAGGCTCGTATGCTCGATAAATACGTCATTCAAAAGAGCCCTCATGTCAGAACTGAGTCAAATGACACTAAAATTAGCCCGCAGTTTCATTGTCAACTATAGGCCTAGACACCGAAAAAGCTAATTTTGGCTGTAGTGTAGTGTACCGGTGGTAAAAGTTCTGGATGTAACATATGTCATTCGATTCGTCTTGACGAGCTGAGTCGAATGGTACCACTCCCTACTTTAGGAAATAATTCTGGACCGAGTTATAGGTCCCGAAAAATTGAAAAACCAAAGGGGGGAGTAAGCTCAATTTTGGGGTGAAAAATTCGAATATGCAAATAATAGCTCATTCGAAAGAGCTCGTCGAGCTGAGTCGAATGACACCAAAATCAACGAAATCTGACTTGATTTGACAAAGTTATGAGCATTTGTTTTAGCTCCTTACCTTTGGTCTACGTGCAGGTTTTTGCTGTTACTGGAGCCCCAAGTACATTCAGAGCAAGGGAGATGGGAGTAGGTTTATGTTACGAACCCAGACCCATCGCCCGTAGACTCCCCGCGAGGCGCGTGCCGCAAAACCCCGCGCGAAGCGCGGGGTTTTGCACAAGCGCCTCGCCGACGCCCCATAGGTTTATGTTGATTGTTTTTCTGTTGTAACTTTATCCAAACTCTTTCAATCATGATGATTCTGGTATCATTCGACTCAGCTCGACGAGCTCTTTCGAATGAGCTATTACATGCTTTTTCGAATTTTTGACCCTAAAATCGAGCTTACTCCCCCCTATGGTTTTTCAATTTTTCGGGACCTATAACTCGGCCCAGAATCATTTCCTAAAGTTGAGAGTTGTACCGTTCGACTCAGCTCGTCGAGACGAATCGAATGACATATGTCACGTCCCGAACTTTTACCACCGGTACACTACACTATATCCCTAATTTTTAGGCAAAAATTTTTTTCCTCCCCAAGTTTTTTTCCTATAATTTGTACAGAATGGACAGACTTTTTTAACTGTTTGAGGCAAAATACATACTAACAATAAAGCAATTGTGATCGAAGAAGGAAAAGTCTTCCAATTTCGTACAAATCATAGGACTTGTGGAGGAAAAAAGGGGTCTGGAAACGGCACTATTACCGAAAAATCCGTTAATATACAATATCGCCCACATCGGAGTCTGTGCCTCAAAGCAAGTTTTCCCTAAAATTTAACCCGTTCCGGAATCGAGAAATATTCTGTGCCAGTTTTACTGTTGAAAGACCGCGTTATCTCTTTAAGCAACTCCAAATGCTGTGTTTGATCACTCCCAACAAGAACATGAGAAGAATGGTAACCTAGCACATCGGCTGCTTGCAAAAGAGGATATGTGGCTAGCCCGACTGGGACAGCCTTCAAACTAAATAAACTGTTAAAAAGTAAAAATAAGTAAAAAATAACCTTTTTGATTTGTCTTTAAATTGACTGAGGCCAGTAAGTGAAGGCTAAAAAATTAAAGTTACGTGGGAAAATAGGTAAAGGTGGCTTTTACTGGCCCCGAGAAAAAAATAAGGAAAAAGGGCTCTTTCAAAATTTTTAAATTTTCTCAGTAGATAATCGAGTTTGAACTCATTTTCGGACTTATTGTTAGTCAGTAGTGCTCGAGATTTTTGAAAAGTCTGGGCCGGATCCTGGGTTTGATTTATTAACCTGGGCCAGATCCCGGCCTGTAGTAGTTCAGGAAAAACCCAGGCCCAGGAAAAACCCAAGAAGGTCAAAAATTGCCTGGGCTTGGACTCTGGGTACAGGAAAAACACAGACCTTGGTCCTGACCCAGCTCAATCACTATTAGTCGGCACACTCGGTTACCCACTGGCAAACCTCAGAAACTTCAAAAGAGCACATTTCCTCATTTTTTCTCGAGACCAGTAAAAGCCACCTTTACCAAAAAATATTAAAAAACCAAAGTAGTCGCAGTTCCCAATATCCACATTAATTCGGTAAGTTCAGGCACTCTGCTTTGTTGAACTATTATCGTTCTGAAAGGATCAACACCAGCAGAAAGAAGAATAGCCAATGTTTGACAAATATGCTCCCTAAGCTTAAAATAAATTTGAAATTATAAAATTGAAAAATCGGTAATATTGAAGTTTATAGACCCCTTTTTGAGAAGAAAACTTCCTGCAGTTTGACAAAATGTCTGAGGAAAGTTTTTCCCTTAAGATGTACATAATGGTCAGATTTTTTTCCATCCTTTATCATTGTCTATCATTTGAATAAATGGTTGGGAAATAGAGTGAAAGGTACTTATGAAGATGGAGGTGCCCTTTCTGCGGACTTTTTTTGCGGACTTTTCTTCCCTTCTTTTAAATGTTTTACTTGTAGCAACTAACTGTCAACGCCACTCCCCCATTATTCTTCTTACCTAAGATTGTACATAAAGGTCAGATTTTCTTCTTCCTCTATTTGCCCTGTGGCAAATTCAAACAAGAGACATTGATGAAGAGAAGATTAATTTTATAGTCATACACTTATTTTTTGCCTTCGAAAACAATTTAAACAAAAAAAAGAATTAAATAAAATTGATTTGGTGTATAACATTATGAATTTGTGTGTAAAAACATTACATTCTTACTTCTATTTTAAAATATTGAACAACTGAGAAAATAAATTGAACTCAGTATTGAACAACTCAATTAATTTTAATCTTCTCTTTATCAACAATATCTCTTATTTGAATATGCCAAGCTCAAACAGAGGAAAGAAGGAAATCTGACCATTTTGTACAATCTTAGGTAATAAAAATAATGGGGGGGGGGGGGGGACAAGGTTTGAAATTACCCGCATTTCTGTTCCACAATAACATATTCTTATTCTATGAAGTATTCCGAGATCAGTGATCCATTGTCGAAATTCATCATCGGGTAATTGAAAATTTAGTTAAAGTCAAATTTTTTATTGATTGTAACATTTTTACGCTTATATATTCAAATTAATCGTGAACACATATTTTTCAAATTGGCATAAAAAATAATCCTTTGACAGTTAATTGCTACGAGCAAAACTTGCTGAAAGCAAAACAACCAAAACATTTAGAAGCGAAGAAAAGTCCGCAAAAAAAAGTCCGCAGAAAGGGCACCTCCATCTTCATAAGTACCGAGTGAAATTGAGAGAGGAATATAGAATTGACCCTTATGTGCATCCAAGGCGTAACAATTGGTTTGCTTTCAGGGAGGGCTAAAATTGGGTGTGCGCCAAAAATATGGCGTTCGAACAAAAATTTTTTTCTACGAAATTTTTCAGCGCAGCCGGTGAAATTTTGAGAATTTTGGACCCCGGCCCCCCGGATACGCCCTTGTGTACATCTAAAGGGAAAACTGAAAAAGGTGGATCAGACCTCAATATTACCAGAGAATCTAAAGAAAATAAAACCTTTTTTGATGGCACAAAACCCGTAGAAATAGCATGCAAGTCAGCAATTTTTAATATCCGGCGATCGTAATCTTCACTCTAAACAAAACGTAAAGAAAAAATAATTTAGATAACGAGTACTTCCTGCAATTTGACAAAATGTCTGAGGAAACCCTGAAAAATTTTGAATAATGAATAATAAAAAATAAATAAACCAAATAATTTCCAATGTGCATTGTTCCAGTTGGTTGTATGCCTGACATTAAAACTTTTGTAGCCATTAATAAAATTAAGAAGAAATTCCAAAATTAAAATTTTCCTACAAGAGTTACATGATTTTAAAAACCCAATTTGACCATTTTGTAACATATCTCTCTACTTGCCCTTTTCACACTGACATTTTGTCGAGGGTCACTTTGTCGGGTTGCAGCCCAAAACAGTGCGCGGCCATAACGGCGCAAAGCCATAACTTGCTGGAAAATATCTGGCCCTTATCAATTTTGGTAACAATCTCTTTAGCTCGATGAGAGGAATTGTTTAATACTAAATTTGGTCAGATTTGGACAGCTTGAAGCAAGTTATGCCTTCCGCCGTTATGGCCGCGCGGCGTTTTGGGCGTGTCCCACTTTGTCGTGACAAAATGGCCCGACAAATTGTCCCGCGTAAAACTGGTCGCTACAAAGTGTCACGCGACAAAGTTGGCCATACCCTTTCAGTGCACCCAATTCAGAGCCATTTTTCCTCTCTAATTCACGAAAAATGATAATTTCCTTTTCCGTTTACCCCCCTGAAATTTTTTCCTACTGAAAATTTTTTTATTTTAGTGACGTCTAAATATCTTGCCTATTCTCACTCAGTCTACATTTTAATTCTCTTCATTTGGCTAATAGTGGATTCTACAATGGTAAAAGAGGAATCAAGCTCTGAAATTGTTACCTGGAATGGATTTAAGGTTTTTTTTTTGTTAAAATTTCTGATAATACTTTTGCTGATCTCCTCCCCATTATTTCTATTTCCCTGACCATTTTGAGCTTTTTTTGCTCTATAATTAATCACTCGAAGGAGCTCTTTAAGCTGTCATGAGTCTAATGCTACCAAGATCGGTAAGTGGATTTGGGATTCTGACTGAATTATGGGGCCGAAACCTCGCTGGAAGAGCTGTGCTGTTCCAAGGGGTTTTAAACTAGAGTTGCGCCCCGACCTCGTTCCTCGAAGGATTTTTTTCAGATTTTCCCCGACCCGTTCCCCACCACGAAACAATTCGAAAACCCCGTACCCCGCTACAACGTTTACCCGACACACACACACCCAAGTGTTCAGGGCCCAACCCTAATTTAAACATGTTCATATTTTTTATTTAAAGATTTCGTTGATTTTAGTGTCATTCGAACTCGTTATCAGCTCGAAGAGCTCTTTCGAATGATTTACAATTTCCCATAAAAGAGAAAATTAGAAAAAATTGAAAGTAAAAATAGGGGAGTAGTATCAGCTAAAGTATTACCGACTATTCCTTTCCAAAATTAATTTTTTTCAGCCATACAAACCGGCTAAAATTGACGTGTTTTTGGCTAAAGTGTTTCCGGCAAACATTAGCGAAACTACATTTCTTGGTCTTGTAACGGTATTTGCTATAGGAATGGGTATTCGTGGACGAATGAAACGATAATTGATAAATATGTATTGTTTTTGTAGGAATAACGATAAATTGATTTTACGATTTTAGAACCTTTTATTTGACCATTTTGGCTATTTTTCTATGCAAATTTATCTGAATTATTCGTCTATTTCTTTAATTTTTACAGATTTTTTTCTTTCATTTTTTAATTGAAATGGGTGATGGGAAGAAATCTGGTGGAGGTAGAAAACAAAGGCCATCATACAAGGATCGTCAAGGAATTTCTTATCAACAAGGAGAGGACCCTCCATTTCTGGCACAAATGAAGCAAAAATTAGGATATAAAGAATACACTGTTGATGACAAGGTTTCTTTAAAATAATTCCTGTTTTTAGTTTGGGCAGTTTCTAGAGATCGGCCTGGATCTGGATCCTGAATGTGAATCTGGTCGAGGTCCTCGGTAACAGTCCTTTACGAACCCTACCTTTTTCCTCCCTTAATAGTATAGAATGTTCGAGTTTTCCCTTCCTCATCCTAGTCTTCCCCGTATATATAGGAAAAAATTTGGGGGGGGGGGGGGGGGGAAGTATGGTCTGTGAACGTCAACTATTACCAGATCTCATTCTTTTTAGCTGGGTAAAACTAATTTTGGTTCCCCCATTTTTTCTTCTCCAAGTATATTCCTTTTTGTGTAAGGAAAGGTCAGATTTCTTCCTTCCCTAATTCCCCGGGCGACTTTTCACCCTCTTCTTTGAACTAGTCAGAAGTCACTATTCAAAATAAATTCCATTTTATAGTTTACCAAAGAGGACGAAGAAAAATCAGAGCACTCTGGGGATGATGAGGATGACATTCGGAACGTTCCCGCTGAGAGAAGACCACAGATTGTTGTGCTAGAACCAGGAAAGGACCTGACTACTGAACAACTTCAAAAAGAAATTGATAAAAAGCGGGAGGAAGACGATAGTAAGAATTTTTTATTTTTGATTCTGACATTTGTACCAGAGCTGGGCAAAATTTTTCGTTTCGTGTCCCTTCTTTTCAAGCTGTAAGGGAAATATGGGACAAACCCGAATGATCGCGCGGCCATAAGGTCGCAAAGCCATAACTTGCTTTAAGATTTCCGAATCTTTCCAAATTTAGTATTAAACGATTCCTCTCATCGAGGAACCAAAAATTCTTTAGCAAGTTATGGCTTGGCGACCTTATGGCCGCGCAACCTTATTCGGGCTGTACCCGGGAAATATGAATGGCTTTCCTCTTCCTTTCCTTCCTACCTATAGGGGTATATTTTTGTCCAGAAAACGAAATTTTCGTCCACAAAAAGACCTCTGATGTGTACCGCTGACATTTTCAATGGCTGCATTTAAGCTACTTGCCATAAATTATGGTGCAAATGTTAGCGGCCAAATATAGGCAACCCAAATTCCCAAAGTTGACCCGAAATTTTAAAATTTTCTCGTTTTTAGAACAAAAAATTCTCCAAGGCAAAATTACATTTCGAAAACCAGAAAAACGTTCATTGGATTCTAGTGAAAGTAAAGAAGAAATTGACAAAAAGAAGTCGATGAAAGAACAATCTTCTAGGGAACCAGTACATAAACGTTTACTTTCATTTGGAAATGAAGACGAGGAAGAATAAAAAATTTTTATTCTTTATTTGAAAATAAAAAATATCTTCTCATATTGAGAAGAATGTAAAAACGTGTCAAAAATACTTTTAAATATGTCAAAGTGAAATGCAATGGAAAGAATATATGAGCGAGTCAAATACTGAAATATTTACGAAATCAACGATATCCTCAACTTGGTACACCCCATTAGAGATCGAGCTGGACCTGGACCAAGGCCTTGGGGTACTAATTTAGTTTCCCCCCCCCCCAGCCAGTTTTTTCGAAAATTATGTAAAAATGGTCAGTCTGAACAGCAATTGTAGAACCCATCGAGCTGTGTCGAATGACACCAAAATCAACAAAATCAGACTCGATTTGACCGAAATACAGACCCCTAAACCACAGGGGCACAAAATCATAAAGACGAAAATCTATACAAATGATAGCTCATTCGAAAGAGCTCGTCGAGCTGAGTCGAATGAGACCAAAATCAACGAAATCCGACTTGATTTGACAAAGATATGACATAAATCGTCGACTCCGGTAGGTCTAAATAATGTCATAACTTCGTCAAATCTTGTCCGATTTCGTTGATTTTGCTGTCATTCGACTCAGCTCGACAAGCTCTTTCGAATGAGCTATCATTTGGGTAAACTTTTTTTATTTCGAAAAATCACCCCCATGGTTGTTCAATTTTCAGGGGTCTGTATTTCGGTCAAATCGAGTCGGATTTTGTTGATTTTGGTGTCATTCGACACAGCTCGATGGGTTCTACAATTGCTGTTCAGACTGACCATTTTTACATAATTTTCGAAAAAATTGACTGGGGGGGGGGGGGGGAAACTAAATAAGTACCGGCCTTGGTTTTTCCTGTACCCAGAAGCCCAGGCATTTTTTGACCTTCCTGGGTTTTTCCTGGACTAGAGGCCCAAGATCCAGTCCAGGTCAAGAGATCACACTCCAGTCTAGGAACAGGTCCAGGCTTTTCAAAAATACCGATCTCTACACCCCATGTACCGCGAGACCAATGTTTTGAACGAAGTTATAGCTCGGCGGTACATTGGTCTTCTCCCTTCTCAAATATCGTTGATTTCCTCTTGGAATGTTAAAATTTAAAATTTGATCCAGCCTTCTTACTAATTTCCTCCACTGCTGCCATTCTCACAATTAGTGCTGCTTTTTAAAGCAATTTTATCATCTTCAACTGGTTGGCGTCTACTAGCATTACTTGTTTTGTAATTATATTCAGGGATGAACAATCTTCTAGTTCCGTGTACAACATCAAAGCGACCTCGGGTTCCCTAAAGAATAATTCCAGAGTTAGGGTTTACAGGTAGAGGAGAGGATTATACTAATGGGACCCAGTATTTATGAGAAGCTCGATGTCCTAACTTCATACCCTTCAGGCCCTGGTTTGGTGGAGGATATGGAGATGATCGAGACGGGGCGCCGGCGACACCTAGTGCGCGGGACAGCTCCCATCGGCATCTTCTCAGGCTGATGACGGGAGCGAGTGGTGTCCCCCAAACCTGTAAACCTTAACTCCAGCATAATAATAAATTTTTCAACCTTTTTGCTACGCTTATAGAAGATCGTTCCAAATGTTATCACAGAAAGAAATGCAATTCCCATTATCGCCAATGTTGTAAGATAAACTTCACTGTTTTTAGAACCAAATTTAGAGACCCCAAGATCCTGTTCTAGTTCCTTCTCTTTTGAAACCCGAAGCTGTTCAGCACTTGAATGTGTTAGGATTTCACAATTATTGAAATTATCTGGCGTCCGGAAGTACGGGCAGCCCTAAAGTAAAAAACCTTTTAGTCAATTATTTAAAATCTAACCAATGATGGACAGAAATAAGCATCCTGTGAAAGCACAGCCTTAGAGAAGTTATAATTTGGTCCACTAATGAGACGATTCCAAAGCCATTTTGCAGCATAATTGTGTCCCCGCCGATTTAAGAGTGGCTAAAAATTGTAAAAAATTTGATGTTTGAATAGAATAAGGTTGTCAGTTTGGTTCCACTTTAGCAGGTGGCCGGCTTAAAAGCCCTTGGAAATATATATCATTCGATTCGTCTCGGCGAGCTAAATCGAACGGTACCACTCTCCACCACGTGAAATACCTGTGAACCGAGATATAGACTCCTGAAACTTGAGAAACCAAAGGGAGTAGAGGATAGAATGTTATACATTTCAAAGGGCTTTCGAATCAGCCAACAGCTAAAGTATATCCGTCGGTTTCATCAGATTCTTCTGTTAACCGAAACCGACAAATCGAACCGAAAATATTCGGTTTGAAATCTAAGACCCTATGCTTGAAATAAAATAAACCTTATTCGGTATAAATAGTGAATATGGATATCGAGAGTGTAGAGTCAGAAATGGAAGTGTCAATGCGCTAAATGTTTTCCTTTTAACGTTTTGAACATGAGATTGAACTGTAGCAAAAGAGTTAGCCCATTTAGTACTTAAAGATTGCATAAATCCATCAGGTTGTTGTCGAGAACAAGGACATCGAGTTTTCATTAGGTTCTCCTGTTGTTGAAATGAAGAGCTAATATGTATCGGTCCGACGAGAACAATAAAAGCCTTGGGGATTCCACGGTTGAGAATGTCCATTGCTTTGATAAGCGCTCCAGTATCAGGTCCGGTACAATTATTACAAATCTTGAAAAATTTAAAACGTTTCTAACAAGGAAAGGTTGCGAGGTGTCCGACCTAAAAACAGTCAAGACCGGGCTCATTCGATAGAGAATCTGCCCTTTCTAGCAAGGATTTTGTGCCGTTTTTTATCTGGCCAAGATATTGCCCTCCAAAGCCACAAAATTCCTTGCTAGAAAGGACAGATTCTCTATCAAATGAGCCCGGTCCCGACCGCTTTTAGGTCGGACACCTCGCAACCTCCCTTGTAAGTTTATAAAAACCTCTTCCGTTCCAATTGTAATTATCACCAAAGTCCAGGTATTTCGAGTATCGACATCCTTTAATTGCTTTATCCTCCTCACTAGTTCTGTAGCTTGTGAAGGCATAAATTTACTTCCAGCTTCAGCCATAGCAACATTTAATTGATTTTCAGGTAATTGATCACGAAGGCCCATTCCGTGTGAAACACCAAGCAGGTGATTGGAAGGGACAAACTCACGGAGAATATTTGGAACGGTGACTAATCCATCAATAGTAGCGTCTCCTCCAATGGGGAAAGCGGCACCACGGAATTCAATATCCGCCCTAAAATGGAGAATATTATAATATTTTTATTTACGTTCAAAACCTGTACTAATGTTGCCCCTCCCCCCAAGTCAGTTTTTTCTTGATGTACAAAATGGTCAGTCATCTCTTTGCATATAAGGTAGAGTGAATGAATGAATGATGCCACAGGGAAATTTTGTTAAAATTTTGTCATAAGAGAAAACTGACGAGGGGAGGGAAACGACATTAGCACCTTTCAAAACCTCGGCCAGAGGCCAATCCCAGTCGCCAAGGAGTCCCCCATAGCTGAAATTATACCAATATCTTCTGGGGAAAGATTTGAAGTTGATGTACCCGTTACTAAATCTGTAAAAGATTTTGAAATTACAGAAAATTAGCAAAATTAACCTGCTTTAATTTTTGGGCATGAAAAAGTTTTTCGATTGTTAAATACAGAATTAATTATAGAGACAATATCATCAGGCCTCTGCTGCTCAGAATCGATGAGCTTGACAGGAGAAAGCATTGTATTGAGCAAATCCTCATTCCTGTTTTTCTAATTTTAAAATAAAGCAAAAAAGAGGGTCGGTTTGACACTCCCAATCGAGAATAGGTAGACTGGGGCGAATCGGAGCGACGAAAATGACCCTTTGAAGAATTTTTTCCAAATCCAGCGTTACACCTCGATCATTCAAGTTACCTATAACTTATGAAGGGGTGGGTAATTTTTACTGTTCTTGGTACCACTGGATTGAGAATTAAATAAACTACAAGCACCCAAAAAATCAAAACTCTTGAATGATTAATAGAAAAGTTATGATTGATAAACTGCCGAAAAATAACATTTTTTGAGAAAGTTAGTTTTTAAATCATAACTTTTTTATCAATCAATCGGAAATTTTTATCTTTTGGTAGCATGTAGTCCATTTAATGCTCTAGCCATTGGTACCAAGAACATGAAGAAGTGCCCCTTCGAATGTTGTGACTTATAGTGGGTTTTTTTGGCTGGACCGATTTTGACAAATGAGGTGTCATTCGAAAGAGCTTCGAAAACTGAATCGAACTAGATATGGGGGAAGTCGGTCCGACAATCAGGGGCCGAGTTACAGACCCCTGAAGTTTGAAAAAGAGAAGGGGGGAGTAAGCTCATTTTGCGGTGAAAAATTCGAAAATGCAAATAATAGCTCATTCGACTCAGCTCGACGAGCTGAGTCGAATGACACCAAAATCACCTCGATATCTTGATTCTGAGCCAAGATAAAGTGGTTCAAAATGGTCAACGTAAACCTATGGGGCGTTGGCGAGGCGCTTGTGCAAAACCCCGCGCTTCGCGCGGGGTTTTGCGGCACGCGCCTCGCGGGGAGTCTACGGGCGCTGGGTCTGGGTCAGTAACATAAACCTATTCCTATCTCGCTTGTTCTGGACGTATTTGGGGCCTCCGTAGCAGCAAAAATATCCACAGATCCCATAGGTAAGGAGCTAAAACAAACGGTCATAACTTTGTCTAATCAAGTCAGATTTCGGTGATTTTGGTGTCATTCGACTCAGCTCGTCGAGCTGAGTCGAATGAGCTATTATTTGCATTTTCGAATTTTTCACCGCAAAATGAGCTTACTCCCCCCTTCTCTTTTTCAAACTTCAGGGGTCTGTAACTCGGCCCCTGATTGTCGGACCGACTTCCCCCATATCTAGTTCGACTCAGTTTTCGAAGCTCTTTCGAATGACACCTCATTTGTCGAAATCGGTCCAGCCAAAAAAACCCACTATAAGTCACAATACCCGCCCCTTCCTTCATAAATTATAGCGTCAGGACTGAACTGAGGTGGTACTGACTGCCCCTCAAATTCAAAATAAAATTAAAAAAAACCTTTCATTAAAGTCCTCCTCTTCCATCTCATTTAAATTTTCCAAAGAAGAGTCTGAAGAACTCTCACTCGATTTGCCAGTAAAATTTGAATGCTTTTGTGTCTCTAAATAAAAAATCAATTTTTATTACAAAAAATTTTTTAATCCACGTTTACGTCCATTAAAGTTGTTTTGTTTATTTTTGTTGTTTGTTTGAGCTAAAATAACATTGGGTTTTGTGCTAGCGACAACATCCCTCAATGTGCTAATTGTTTGGAGATGAGAAGACAAAGTTGTTGATATTCCAGTATTTAATGTTGCTGTTGTAATTATTAAAAATAAAAAGGCAAATTGAACTAGCGACAAGTGAATTTCTGTGAGCATTATATCTGTGTGCATCTAGAAGAAAATAATTTTAGGCAAAAATTTTAAGAAGTTACTAACTTAAAGCTCTAGAAAAAACATTTCAGGCCCGCAGGCTCTGTTTAAAATTTTGACATATGCCCAATTAGACGCGCGCCATAACGGCGCAAAGCCAAAACTTGCAGGAAAATTTCTGGCCCTTATCAATTTTGGTACCAATCTCTTTAGCTCATTAAGAGGAATCGTTTAATACTAAATTTGGTAAGATTCGGTAATGTTGAAGCAAGTTATGGCTTTGCGCCGTTTTGGCTTCGCGCCTACTTGGGCTGTAACCTAATGGCAAATTTGCAGAAATTGGCGTTTTGAAGTTAGGCATTTTGTTCTTTTTAAATTTGAAATTTTTCTGGCGTTTTGAAATTAATTTTTAATTATTTTTCGCGGAAATTTAAAATACAGAATTTTTAGAATCCGGGATCTGAACTTTTTATTCTCGTTCTAATTGAATTTTCTACTTTTGAATTGTTTTGCTAATACCAAAAAAGGATTCCATTTAAATCATTTTTAGGAAATATTCATTTTTCTTCAAAAATTTGCGTTTTATTAAATTCCAGGCGAGTGACAAAACACCGTCTGACCAAAATACCGTCGGACGTTTGAGTAGAAAACACCCTCCGCTTTCACAGATAAATTCGATTTACGTCGATATTATGTTATCTTAATATCTTTGACCTTAAGGCTATTGGTTTTGATTAGTTCTATAACTTGTAAGCCTAAAAATTTTATTTTAAAAATTTTTGCTATAAGCGAAATGGACGGTATTTTATACTCTAATGGGTGGACGGTATTTTGGTCGGTCGGTGATTTGCCCTGACACGGAAATTTCACCTTAACTTTTTATAAACTTTTTAAACTCGAATATTATTTATCCAGCATATCTTAGACGTTGTCAAAACTTCCCACTTCCTCAACTCTATTAAATTAAGATAGCCCCTCATACTCCACATTTTAAATAGTCTTCTCTCACAGTCAGCAAAGGCATTATTTTTGTGTAATTTTAACCCAAAGTTAGTATTTAACTTTAATATTTTTTAGTGATCTTTTGGAGTTTTTTAGCTGTAACATCTCGTCTTCATGGTTTACATTCTCAACCATTGTCGGACGATGTTGTTGTTTCGCTTCTCCCCTGTTCTCCTCCTTTTTTCATTCAATCCACTACTTTTTCATTTTTTTTCTTTTCAATCTTTTTCAACCAAAAGACCAACAATAATTAAAGTATTGCACTGCATCCAAAACGGCCACGCTAAAACTTTAATTTTATTTGCTAGAGAAAAATTTATATCCAAACTATATTTTTTCAATAAAAAAAACTAGCAAACGACTGGTTGGAAATTGACAATCCACGCGCAATATGTGTAGTTTATATTTTTAGAGTAACGTTATTAAATTACCTTATTATTTCATAAGTAAACGGGTCCACCCTGAAGACCACCTAGATCATGTCCTCGCCCCTTAAGACCTACACCATATAGACCTATTGGCTCTGAAGACCTACAACTTTTGGGAGGGACTATCAAAAGGGAGTTTAATCTTAAGAGATTTGGTGGAATTAAGGGGATGTCAATGGATTTGGTGTGGATCACCCAGAGTTAAGCTAACCCAGGTACTCTGGTGAGTACTCACCCAGGTACTCTGTTGAGTCTCACAATACCGCACCATAGGTTCTAAATACAAAACTGGGAACTTACTTCCATAGAGCTGGGTGCTTACCTCCCCTCCCCTTTTAATCCCTCGATTTTCCCTTTCAAAATTTGTAGGTCTTCCACGTCAATAGGACTTTGTGGAGGTCTCCAGGGTGAGGTATTCTGGCGTGTCTTCAGGGTTGACCTCAAGTAAGCATTAAATGTTTCTTCAAACAATTTTTTCTTAATAGGAGCATTACTTCCCCCCCCCCCCCCCCCCGTTTTATTTTTTCTTAAACAGTTTTCAGTCTGCTCTAATTTTGGCACTTCCCCTTTCATTTCCATCATCTCATCTTCATACGCGCATAGTTTTTTTTAAAAGTCTTGCCATTTATATTGAGTCCATGTGTTTGTTATAGTGTGGTAATTCGATAATGTGAGTGAATGGTAAGTAGCAAAAAAATATTTTAGTATGTATTAAGACTAAATTTATTTTTTCACTTGTTTGCCCTACTCCAATAAGTTGGAGTTTTTACAACGGTCAATTTCCTTATTTTTTTCTTTACTGTTTTTCGTCCGCTTTTGAATTTTGCTTTTTTTCTCTATTTTCAATTTCGAATCTACCTTTAGCCCTTTCTGGGAATATTTTGTAACACACATTGCTCCGACCTCAGGATCTGTTACCTCGGGACCCGAGGTTAAAAAATTCTCTCTAAAAATAGGTCCATGACTGAAAAGACGGGACTGAGGCGTTCCCTACCCGCAGAATTAGCCAACGCATAATTTAAGGAGATAAAGCATCGCCTGTTTATGATTTCTCAATCGTGGCAGACGACAATCATGATTTAGTGTGTTTAATCACTTTATTAAATTTTTTCATAAAACTTTGTCACCACATGCCTTCCTTGTGATTTAGGGACCGGTGGTCTTGATAATGTCGGCCATTGCTGCTTGATGGCTTGACGAAAATCAATATTGATTACTCACTTTTTGGCTGGAAGGAGAGCGGTTGGTTTTGAGGGGTTGGAGGATAAGGAGGAAAAGGCGAATGTAGAAGAGGTGGTTGGAGGGGTCGGACTTTTCTCAATAACAAACAGCACATACAAACGCAGTCCCTGCAAAGGACAAATGGGAATGTGAATTATGGATGGAAGGGGAAATGGATGATGATGGTGAATAGCAAAAAGCCAACTATGCGCTTTTTACACTTTTTAATGAAAAATAAGCATTTAGTAACTTCATAAAATTATGCCATTCAAGTATTACAGCAGTCGAGACGGACCCCCACAGCAGTCGAGACGGACCCCCATTGATCAAACGCCTCGTACTTGGAGTGTAAATTGCTGCCAGCTGCTGTTCCACGTTCTCAACAAGATCAAGTAGTTGCTGATTTTTGACTACAAATTTCGCTTACAGAGCTGATTCCCTAAAGGGTTAAGTTTAAAATGAGATGCTTCATTGTGCCTACTCTGGCCATTTTTTCAACACACAAACAAAATTTATTTTGTCATTTTCTGGCAATACATACTATACCTTTTTTAAAAATCTAAGTAACGGCAGCAAAACATTAATGCTTGTTTTTCTTTGCCGACTCCTTACATATTCATATTATGTTTGTTGGATGCTTTGGACTCTATACAATTAGGAGACTTCGCAATTTGATAATCAATAATTTTTTTTTATTTCGGTCCTCACTTTATGTACTATATTTGCTCTTACACACCCGCATTAGTTGTCGCCATTGTAGTCCTACTCAGCTTGCGTTCTTTTTTTACTTCTTATCCCCAATTCTCCAATCCAAATTCCGAATAATTTTTCCATTTTCCCCTTGCCAGCTCTTCTATCTTCACCATATCCTTCCACCACTTTTTTTAAATGCTATGCGTGTGTGCATCATCTACTATGACCAGCAACCCATTTTCAAACCATTGTCATCAAATTCAAAGTATATCCGCATAATCCCCTTGACGTCAAAATTGACGGACTGTTAGATTGATAACAAATTTTCTGATAACTTTTTGTACTGATTCTTGGTCTTATAGACTAAAACGGACAAAAATAGAACACTTCCTTTTTTGTTTTGTAAATTTTAAATGTTCCACTTCTCTATTAAATTAAAATTGACAGTAAGTTGCTGTTTTTTGCTATGTTGTCATAGAAATAGTGCTTGCAAGCGTGTGCTTTTCAGGTCCAATCCAAAATTTTTAAAATTTCAAAACTGAATTATAGCAATCTTTGCTTCTTTAATAGGGGACAAGTAGGCGCGCGGCCATAACGGCGCAAAGCCATAACTTGCTGGGAAATTTCTGGCCCTTATCAATTTTGGTACCAATCTCCTTAGCTCGATGAGAGGAATCGTTTAATTCTAAATTTGGCAAGATTCGGAAACCTTGGAGCAAGTTATGGCTTTGCGCCGTTATGGCCGCGCGCCTACTTGGGCTACCCCTGTAATATGTAGTAATCTTTATTTTCTTAAGACAATTTGAGAGCCATTATTGAGCTCAATTCATAATAAACCTCATTTTCTATATTCTTACAAACCTTTTGGTTCTTCAAAAGCTAAATTGAGTAGCGACAACTTTACAGAATAAGACAAAAATATATTTGTTACAACGGATCAGGAAACGATCACAATCAGCGCCCCTGCTGATAAGAGTGCAATAAAATCCCAGAGTGACCCGATCTCATCTGTATTTGAGGTAAATGATAATTTTACTAGATTTTGACCGATCCCGATAATTATAGGAGGAAAAGCAGCTTCCAAATTGTTCTACCAACGAATCAGCAACAAATATTCAGGAGACCTCCCCGCTTAGACGTTCATCGCGTGTTGAATCATTAAAGGTCCAGAAAAGAGAGAAAGGTAGACTAAGCGGTTTTGTGTTTTATTTCAGTTATAAATTATTGTTTTTAGATATCCTCGCCGAAACTAAGCAAACTCTGACGGAATCTACCAAAGAATCGACAAAAATGGTAGGGTCTTGTTTTATTTTAAAAATTACCTATCTATTGGGGTTTATTAAATTTCCAGAATAATTCCGGGAAACAGCCCGGTAATTCCAAGGCCTTGGAATTACCAACACCAGCCTTGGAATTACCAACAGCCCGTAGCCACGATTTTTTTCTGGGGAGGGGCAAGAGGGGAGAATTTTTCTGCGTTCGCCTTCGGCCTCCTGCCTACGGGCCTGCCAGGAAACTCGAATGATTCCTCCCTTAGTTCTCTGTTTTATTTCAATTCCTAGCCAATAGAGATAGGTATTTTTGAGAAGCCTAGGCCTGTTCCTGTTCTGGGTTTGATTTATTGACCTGGGCCTGTAGTCCAGGAAAAACCCAGGCCCAGGAAAATCCCAGGAAGGGCAAAAAATGCCTGGGCATGGACTCTGGGTAAAGGAAAAGCTCAGGCCTTGGTTCAGGCTTAGGCAGATCTCTACAAGCCATCAATTTACGATTTTTAAAAATTAATTTTAATTTAGGTTCAGGAGTCTGCAGCTATGGATGTTGAAGTTGCTTCTCCATTTATTGGTGTTGATCAAAATCAAGAGCAAAGAGTTTCTTCGTTAAAGCGAAAATTGAAAAGAAAATTGTCTTGTGGCCAATCGCTTGATCAGTATGATTGCAAATTTGGGGTAATTAAGGAAAAATTCAAGATTTAATTTCTAAAATCGTTTACAGATCCGTTTAGACGCTCAAGGTGATGTGGTGCTAATGTCAGATGAAAGCGAAATTTCCTCACTGGATGAGGCTGATGTCGGACGGCTACGGGAACATTATGAGAACGTAGGGCCCTTTCAAAAATTTTATATCTAAAAATTTTTAGGTCCAAAAACACGAAGTTTCTGAGGAGGTTCAACTTCAACGAGATCAACAAATCCGGGAATTGGAGGCTGTTCTTCGAATTGAGGAAGCAAAGTTGCTTATGATGAAGAAACTAAGGCATAGTCAGCTACATCATGACGAGAAAATGCTGGTTTGTTTGTTAATTTATTAAAACTTATTGGAGATCGGCCTGGATCTGGGTCAAAACCTTGATTTTCCCCTGATCCATAGTCAAGATCAATGTGTTTTTCAGAGTTCCTTGATTTCCCCTGACTTGATTTTTCCTTAACTCGTCCTTATATAGCTTTCAACTCATTTTCTCCCTTTTGCAGGACGGTGGTGGAAATGCTGCCAGTGTTCGTCGACTAGCTCCCTTGCAAAATTCTTCAGGTCAAGCTTATAAACCAAAAGTTGCTGTTGCTCCAAATCAACACAAAAAAGACACAAACTCTTCCAACAACCAAAAACCAACTGCAAAGCTGAATGGTGCTACAGCTCCTCAACATATGTCTGGTGACAAGAAGGGAGGGAATGGAGGTTTTCTCAAAATTATTTTTAAATGAATTTTTTTTTAGCTGCTAAAAACTCGGTCGATGCAACTGGAGGCATGCAAGGCCTTGCTAATGTTGCTGTTGGCGGGATTCAGCTTTCTACCTTACCACCTCAGCATTTATCGGTTATTTTTCATTTTATTATTTTTAAAATGTCAGCTTTCATGTTCAGGTTATTCAACAGTTGTATGAGCGTCTTTCGCAAAATCCACAGCAAATGGCCGGTATGATCAAGACGCTTCCACCACAGACGGGACAAGCTTTGACGGAACTTTTACGCCAGTATGCAGTTGCACAAACTACCAGTGCTGCGTCTCAACAAACACAAAAATCCTCTCAACAACAAAAACAGCAACATTCGACTACGGCTGCTCCGACTTCCCAATCACATGATGTTGAAAATTAACAATTTTATGACCTTTTTTATAATTATTTTTAAGGCACGCGAACTCACTCAACAAAGTATTTCCAAAGCGCGTCAACAATTACGTCGAGAATTAGATCAATTGATCGCCAAATTGCCTGTGCCTAAGGCTCCTCTTCCAGATTTATCATTTATTCCAAATGGAGGAAGCAACCAGCCAGAATTTGTTTACCTTTTAGGCTTGGATTTGACAGTTCAAAGAGTGCTTAAAGACAGGCAGATGTTCAAGTTTGTTTAATTTTTTAAAATTTAATATAGCTATTTTGATAGAAAATCTGATGTTCCACCTTATCGATGTGAAGAATGTGACACCGATTTTACACCGTCTTGGAAGGCTATTTGCGGAGATAATGAGGTAATTTTTAATAAACTTCTTTTGGCTCTACTCCAGTTTATGAGTCCTATCAAAGAATAATTGGATTTTTCTTGATGTTGCAAAGTAGGGGTAAGGGTCCAAAACATTTCTTCATGTTCGGACCACCAACCTGACAACACCAAGAAAAATCCAGTTATTTTTTGATTGGACTCATAAACTGTGGTAGAGCCCTTCTTTATACCTAAACTTTTAGGAATACCATTTGTATTGTGAACGCTGTGTAAGACTAGCACAGAAACGAAAAGTTTGCCTTGATTATAAGGCATTGCTCAACCGTGCGTTTCAACAAATTAAGGAGCGTGAAAAGGTTTATTTTATAATTTTGAGGAAAATAGTTTCTTTTAATTTCAGGAATTTGAGAGACACGTTGCTTCAGGAAAGTATAATGTGGATCCAGTATTGCCTTTACCCACCGCAACTGTTCCTACTAGTGCCGCTTCTGCTCAAAAGTCTACAACGGATAGTAAATTATCAAAATCGCAGCAACAGAATAACAACGGTTTGTTTAAATTTGCTATAAGTGTCTGGGTAATGCTAAAATTTAATTTAAGCTTCGGTCACTTCTGCTTCTTTAACTCATCAAAAGGATGGTGTTGCCCCACCAATCCAACATTTAACTTCTACCCAACAACCAACGGCATTAAATTTGAGTATGGCTGCTGCCCCAGCGAATGTTCCAAATACTTTGGCTAATCCTGCTAAGGTTATTTTTTAAATTTCTTCTTATTTTCAAGTCCGTTTCTCATTGTTAGACTGTTCAGAATCATGCAAAAACAGGAGTTTCAACCTCATGCAATTCCGGCGCTTCTACCAGTTCTTCAAAACGCGGTGTTGCCAACACTCGTACTGCTAGTACAATGAGCAATGCTGGAAATAATACAGCTGCAATGGCATCGAATGCCGCAGCTGCCGCTTCAAATCCTTTGGCTGCTGTACTTCAACAAAATCCACTTATGCAGCAGGTTGTTTAAAATTAACGGATTTTTTAATCTCTTCTTTTTTAGCATTTAGCGGCGATGGCAGCTTCACCTATTTTCAGGCAGTTGGGAAATTTGGCTTCAAATCCAGTAATGCTAGCGGCGCTTACTCAAAATCCTATGCTTGTACAGGTTTACTTTTAATTTTACACAAAAATTCCTCACTTTGTTTAAGCAATTATTTGCTGCAATGACCGCGCAGCATCAACAACATCAACAGCAGCAGCAACAACAACAACGTGCTCAACCAACAATTGCCTCAACGCCCATTAATGTTCCATCTGGAGCAGCACACGCTTTAGCACAGATTGCACAAAAGTCAAGTCAGCAACTTCAACAACAGACTCAGCAACAGCATCACCGAGCTTCAACGGTAACCACTTCATCGACTGCCCCACATTCTTCTTCACATCATTCTGCATCAAACGTGGCTGCGTCCGCTGCTTCTAACCAACAGCAGCAACAACAATTGGTAAGGATACCAAATGACCTATGAAATCAACTGATATGCCTCTTAATCTCCTTATATTCCACATAATCCTCCGATATTCCGTCAAATCCTCCTCTAAATGCACTTAATCCCTCAATATCCCTTTAAATACCATGATATCCTGTAAATACCCGTATATCCCACTTAATCTCCTGATATTCCTCAAAATAAAAAATCAAGAAGCTCAGGCCTGGATCCAGACAAAAATGATCCTTGATTTTTCCTTTACTCAAGGTCAAGAATCTAGTCAATTTCTTTGCTTAAAATCAAGGGGCAAGGTTTTTTTAAATTTTCTGATCTCTAATAGTTAATTAGCTAAAATAATTCCTAAATATATTTACAGGCCTCTCTGGCAGCAGCCATGAATTTACAGAACCTCAGTCAAAATCCACAATTGCTTACTCAATTAACTGCAAATCCACAATTTCGACAAATGATGCAAGCGTATATTCAACAAGCAAAAGGAGGACCTTCAACATCTAGTGGCAGTGGGAAAAAATAAAAACTACAATTATTGTTGTGAGTTTTTTTCTGTTTTAAGACATCAAAAATTTTTATTTTTTAGTTAATGTTCGGGTTTCTTTTTATGCAATGTATGTACTCAAATCTATAGAGAACAAGGACTATTTTTTGTTTTATTCTGGTCGTCCACTATTTGTTTTGGTTTTTGTTGAGGTGTGCCTGATTTTATATATAGACGATATTTGTGTATTATTTTTATAAATATTCAATCTCAGGGTTGGACTTTTCGTTCATATGTTTGGGATAGAAATGATGTTCAACCCTGTCATCATCTAGTTTTATATTTAATCGAACAATCGTAGTATGTTTATGACCGTTTTATTTTCTGATTCCATAAATGGGGGGTCAATCCTGAAGACTGCAAACTAAGACCCAAAACCTTTTGAAAAGGAATGTCGAGGGATTGGGAGGATTAAGGGGATATCGATGGATTGGCAGGAAAGATTAAGGGGATATATCGATGGATGGTGTGATTGAAGTGGATATATGTAGATATCTACTCACCTAGAGATAAGGTACACAATCCAAAGGTTCTATGACACAAATGGGTACTCATTCTCCAAAGAGCTGGGTATTTATCCTGCTTAAGTATATATTATATTATTTGGGTATTTATCCTCCCTTTCAAAAGAGAGGGAGTATAGAGGGATTTCATTGTCGATAGGTCTTCAGGGTCTATATGTCTTCAGGGATGGACTCCCATAATATATCTTCCATAATTCGTTTATATATTTTCGTTGTGTGACCTTCGTAATTTTTTCCGTGCTTTGTTTCAAATTAAAACCTATTTTTAAAAATGCTTGGAAATTTTTATTTAATTTTTCTATCGTAAAATCCTCAAAAATTTTCTATAATTTCCAAGTATATATCACTTAATCTTCATTGGTTTTAATAAATTATTTTCTTACATATATTTTCCTAGAATATTGCCTCTGTGCTTCTCCGCATCACCTCGTTTTTCTCGCTTTTCCCTAAGACATTTTTTCAAAATAGACCCAATTTATTTTTTTTATGTTTTCTTGGTTTTGAGTTGCGAATAATATTCGCTTTTCACTGTTTTTTACTTCGTTGGAATAAACTGTCAATTTATAATTTGTATTGATAAAAATGGGTTTTGAATCATTTGTCTATTATTAATGTTGAAAAGCGGAAAACTTTCAGGACTTCACAAAAATGCTACAAGACGAGATTCACTTAGCAATCCTGTAATGCTACCGCAAGACAAAAACTAAGTGGATCTCCAATCCATACTTCTTTTTACGTCTCAACGTCTGAGGAATTTTCTGTAATTTCCTAAAGATAATGCCTGAGGAATGAGGAGTTACTAGCAAAGGTGCCTTCCAGCTCTTGGTGAACCTCCAGCACCCTCGTCCGAAACGTTCAAGATTAGCAGAACTCATCAATCATACTCCAAGTCGAAACACCAGAAAGAAATGTCGCTGAAACGATGATGAAAGCTAGAAGTAGAGTCCCAACCCACACTCTCCACTGCTGGTGAGATAAGCACCACTCATGGGGCATTTAAGTTTTCATAATTCAAAGCAAAAAACACCCACCTTTCCGTATAAAATATATGGCAAAGAACCACTAACATTAAAAAATCAAATTTCAAGTCTACAATTTATTTAAACAAAATCGCATCTCTTTTTATGTGTGTAAATAAGTTTTTTTATCGAAATCATAAAGAGAATAAACGAGAAAGTTGATATTTGGGGGAGTCTGTTACATAATTAAATTTTTTTATTTTGTGGAGTGTGTATCGGGATTATCTCCTTCCTTCATCCGTTGCTTCATTTGCCTTGTCGCGAACGATAGACCTCCATATCAGCCTCATACCGCTTCTTGTCATCAGCAGCCTTAAAAATTTAAATTATTTTTGGAAAAGTTAAATTTCCCCTCAAAACCCCCAAAATTTTCCAATAATATTAAATACCTTCTTCTCCCAAACGGATTTCTCGGAAGCAGACAACTTGCCCCATTCCACACCAGCAGCCTTTGCGACATCAGCGACACTTATAAAAAACAAATTATAAAAATTTTATTAAAAAAATAAAAGCGAACCTCATCCCCGGCTTCTTGATGCGCTCTCTGTTCTCTTGCATCCAAATGAAGTAAGCGGATTGAGCGCGCTTCGGCATGTTGGGATCCTTGGTCTTTTTCGATGCTTTCGGCATTTTCACTTTTTATTAGCTTTTGAAGAAAATTAAAGTTTACTTGCTAAAAAATAAGAAAAATTATTTCAAAAATTGACAAATTTAAATCAACAAAAAAATATTTTAATGCCTTAAACGAAGCTTTTGAAAAAAAATTTTATATAGGAAAGAAGTAAAAGTTAAGGTGGTGAAGAAAAATGTGAAGGGAGAAAATGGTTGGGAGACCGCTGCTGCCGTCGTTGTTTGGGGAGAAAATAAGGGGGGAGTTGGTTGGCTGTGGAGAAGAAAATAAAAGGTTCGTTGGCTGGGCTTTGGCTGAATGAGAGGAGCATGACTATAGGGGCACCACACATTATTGCTTGGGCTACCGCTAAGAGAGAAACATTTGAGAAAGGGGTTATTTCAGTCAGAAGTTGTTTAATTCTTAAGAGGATAAAAATCAAAGAAATCAAATCAAACTTTTAACAGATAAAAAAGAAACGAAAATTAAAATGTTAAAAAAGTAGATATTATATCTGAAGGGAGTTCTAACAATCCGAATTTAAGACTAGAATGGGACCTTCACCAATAAAAAGATAAAAAATGAATGGGAAGTCAGTACTGCTATTGCCGCCCGGGGTATCTGTTGACTACGCTGTGTTTGCTTGGGCAGCCGTTAAATAGAAATAATAACGTTGACGCGCAGCGACAACGAAGATAAACTACTACATATGAAGAGAAGATTTGAGAAGAAAAATTGGGGAGAAAAAATTGGGGAGAAATGGTTACCATTGACGTTAGTCTATAGCAATTGAGAAAGAAAAGGGAGAATGCAAGCGACAACGAATTTTAGATTATTGGTAATGGGAATTGGGAAAGCTTAAGTAATAGCGAGAAAAATAAAACGACAACACACACAGCGATCGCTAAAATAATAAGCACTGTGGAAAATTTGCTCTCTGTCTGTCTTGTTTACGAAATAGCGCATTATAAACATTATGACAGAACTTTGATTAATTATGGCGAGGTTTTGAAATAGGGACAATTGAGTACCAAATTAGCTCTGATTCTTCCCCACCAAAGAAGTTATCGGATCTTTTGAGATTTCAGAGGATTTTGATCGCTTATCTGAAACGCAGCGGTACATGGGGTTTGCTTTAAAAGTACTTCGCCTTATTTTTTCCCTCAAATTTCCGTCACGACTCTATAAAATATTTGATGGACAAGCTCTGATGTCGTTGGTTTTATTTAGAGGACTCGCTTAAATAAAAATGTGAAGAAAATAAAAGGGGCCCATTCCCCTTTATATTCAACAACAAACTAACATAAGCAGCAAGGAAGGAAGGACACCAACAACCCTACAATGTTGACGACGCGACCACTAGTAAGGTCGATATGAAAAAGGGGCGCTTGGTTGGGAAGGACGTCGGAGTCTTGTTTCGTACCCAGACTCTCTCCTATTATCTATCCACTGCAACTGTTTATAAATAAAGAGCGAGTACTGAGAAAACGAAAGGATAGTCAAAATAGAAAGCGAGTCGTGAAGGAAAATGGGGGTTTAAAAAATAGTTTTGAGATATGCCAAAGATTTGGTTGACATGTTTTGAAATGAAAAATATGAGGGGAAAATATTTTAAATTAAAAACAAAAAAACATAACAAAATCTAAGACAAATTTTGAGACAATTTGTGAAAACAGATAAATAAAGCACGTTCTCAATTCTTATTAGCAGCTTTCTCCTCTTCCTTCTTTTTGTTTCCACTCTTTTTTTCATCTGTTTCCATCTCTTTATTCCATGATTCGAGACCTTAATTTGGAAATTTTTAAAGTCTTTTAAGACAAAATTTAACCTTTTGGCAGAGAAGTGTCTTCGTCCATTCCACCAGTACCAGCTACAAATTCTTCATAAGTATGTTTTTCAGGGAATGGACGTGGGCCTAACAACCTAAAAAATATTTGAAAAATAGTTGTAAACTTTGAAAAAAAATTTACTCGATCATATCCTCACGTGCAATCACTTCCTTTTCTAAAAGTCTGAGCGCAACCTTGAAAATTTTTAAAAATTCGTTTACTAATTCTGACTCAAACCTTTTCAATTAAATCAACTTTGGACATTAGCAAATCGCGTGTACGTCTCAATGCATTTCCAACCATATCACGCACTTCTTGGTCAATAAGTTGAGCAGTTGCTTCGGAGTATGGCTTGTCAAAGGCCATCTCTCCAGGCTGAGGCGTGTCAAAGGAAATTGGGCCAACCTTCTCGCTCATTCCAAATTTGACAATCTACAAAACTAAATTTAACTACGTAAAGAATGGAATTACTTTAATATAGAAGTGAAAATTATTTGAAGAACGAACCTGCGCATATGCGATTTGAGTGACTTTTTGCAAATCATCTTGTGCACCAGTAGTTATTCTTCCAAAAAAGATTTCTTCGGATACGCGCCCTCCCAATGTCATACAAATACGGTCTAGCAGTTGCTCTTTAGAATAAAGATATTGATCTTTTGGCATATATTGAGCATATCCAAGTCCTTTGCCACGCGGAATTATTGAGACTTTTAATAACGGATCAGCAAATTCCAAAAACCATCCAGCAACTGCATGTCCAGCTGTTAAAATTATTTTTGAAAAATGCCCGTGAGAAATCACTAGAAAAATACCTTCATGGTAGGCGACTGTCTTTTTCTCGTCAGGTTGCAGCACTTGACTTTTCTTTTCCATTCCAGCAACAACTCTTTCAATGGCCTTTTCAAAATCCTTTGCAGTCACTTCATCATGAGCATCACGAGCAGCGATTAATGCAGCCTCATTACAAACGTTTGCAACATCAGCTCCTAATCAGAATCAACTAGTAAAGCCTTTTAAAAAAATAAACCTGAGAATCCGGGTGTATGAGCAGCTAGTTTTCTTGATAATTCCACTTTATCCAGACTAGTCTTTATCGGTTTTAAATGAACACGGAAAATAGAAGCTCTCCCTTTGATATCCGGGACAGGAATAAAAATTTGTCTGTCAAAGCGTCCAGGCCGCATAAGTGCTGGATCTAACACATCTGATCGATTTGTTGCTGCGATTACTACAACATTGGCCTCTTCAGTTGAGAACCCTAAAATAACCGACTCATAATTCAGAAAATAATGTGAATTATACCATCCATCTCCACGAGTAATTGATTGAGAGTATTTTCCTGTTCAGAATGTCCCCCAATAGAAGAGCGACCACCTCGTTTTTTCCCAATAGCATCAATCTCATCAATAAAAAGAATGCAAGGTGATTTCTTTCGTGCCATTTCGAACATATCCCTCACACGTCCAGGGCCAACACCAACAAACATCTCAAGGAATTCTGAGCCAGAAACAGTGATGAAAGGTACATTTGCCTCTCCTGCAGTTGCTTTGGCAAGCAAAGTCTTGCCAGTTCCTGGTGGACCAGTCAGAAGAGCACCCTAAATTTAAAAAATTTTCAATAATAACTAAAAATTATCAAAAAATCTAACCTTTGGAATTTTTGCACCAAGCGCCCGATATTGTTGAGGATTCTTCAAAAAATTTACAAATTCCATAATTTCAATTTTTGCTTCTTCGCAACCAGCCACGTCTTTAAATGTTGTTTTTATATCTTCTTTGTTAATAACTCTAGCAGTTGATTGTGAGAAGCCAAAAAGATTTCCCATCGGTCCAGGCATACCTCCTCGTCCCTTTTTGCCTTTAATTTTAAAAATAATTTAAAATTGTCAGTTTCAAACCTGTCATTCCACTTCGAAAAAAACTGCGGAAAATAAAAAGAGGAATCGCAATCATTATAATAAAATTCAAAACAGAAGGTATGACGTGCCCCCTAAATTTTTAAAGAATAAAATCAGATAAACTTTGACAAAAATCAAACCAATCAACTTCAGTTTTGTACAAAACAGAAATTTGCTGTTCGGGAGGAAGTCCATAATGTTGTTGAGCTGCGGCCAAACTCCGCTCAAAACTTTCTACGCTTCCAATATTGAAGAAATAAGTGTACTGGAAATGATTTATAACGAGAAATTGCCTAAAAAAAATACCTGAGCAGAATGCTTAGGCACAACTTGAACCCATCTAGAGTCATAAACTATTAGACGTAGTACATTGTCTTGTGATAAAAAGTCAGAACAAAATTCCTTCCACGAGATCTCCTTATATGATATTTGTGAAAAGAGAACATTTAGGCCGATGATGACACCAGCAACAATAGCGATCTTTTGCCAATTTGGAATATTTCCACTGCTCCATCCTGCGCTGCTTGTTCCATCTTGTCCCGACTTTTTATCAGACTGTTGTTCCTCGCTGCTTTTATCGGTTGCTCTAAGAAGAAAAGGTCTAACAACATCTCCACAGCTACTAAATCTAAAATAAAACTAGGTAATTCCGAGCCTGGTCCTCTTTCTTTTCCTTTCCTTAAGATTGTACAGAATGGTCAGATTCTCACCTTACTCAATTTTCAAATATTCCCCTGTGGCATATTCAAACAAAAGAGTAAAAATATTTTAGAATTTATGGAAGTTGAGGAAGGTGAAAATCTGACCATTATGTACAATCTTAAGGAAGGAAAAAGGGGGGAGAAAACAGGCTCAGAATTGGCTAAAACTAGCAAGTTGTAAAATATTATAATAAAAAACCTCAGAAAATTATTTCCTCCTTGTCTGGTGATAACAGAAAATGTTGCAAAATCTTTCGTAAATAAATATCCTCTAAATTTTAGAACGCCTCGTACTCGCAAGAGCAATGAAAATTTCATCAAAATCTAAAAATTTAATAAAAAATTATTGCCGAAATTAATTAAAGAAAACGGGCAAAGCGAAAAACAACACCTAACAATAAGTGTGGCCAAATGAGAAGAAACCGACTTAAATGCCCCCCCCTACTCAAATGGCTGTTCAGTGGCGATTCAAATCCGTGGCATTTTATTTCAGTGGCGATGTTTGAAATTCCAAATCGAAATTTAAAAATTTCTGGCATTCTGTTTATTATTGATTGATTAGAAAATAGTGTGGTGAGAGAAAAAGTTTAAGTTTTCGTTTTAGGAGAAAGCCACTTGAGTCTAGTTCCCGCTGCACTTATTTTTAGTTAGCCCTCATTTGATTGATTTGGTTTCTTCGACATTGTTTTGGGTTTCTAATTTTTAATTTCTTTTAAAAAATCATCTAACATCATTCCCCGTTCTATCTAGTGAGGTTTGGTCCTCGAACATTGAAAAAAATTCGTGAAAAATTTCTCGAGGTGTTCAGCGATCTCCAGCATAAGTTTTTTCGTGAAATTTTACCTGCCTTTTTTATCTTTAAATTCTTCTAATTTTTAACCCTGGTTTTATTTTTCGAAACTAAACAAAAGCCCACAGGTGGATTCTGCTAAAACGAAAACAGAAAACTTTCCAGTTATCGTGAATTTTGTATTTCTTTTTTTCCCAATCAGCTGTTAGCGTGTGATTCATTGAATAAATTAAATAATAATTCTATTTTAGTGACATTATCCTTTATTTTCGGTCTTATTTACATTTATTAGCTGATGGTTGATTCTACTATGGTAAATTTTGATAGACTTACTTTTACGGTAAATTTACTTTTTTAAGGTTTCTGATTTAAATCAAGAGGAGGTGAACGATATTTGCATCAAGGCTCTTCAGGATCAAATTCGCTCCCCCTCTTACCAACACACTGAAGCTGTTAAATGGAATCAAAATGTAGTTGAGGTTCTCATATTTTCGTTAATAAAAATAACATTCTTTTCGTTTAGACCGTTACAGAAAGCCTTGTCCGCTTAGGATATCCTTACAAATATTGTGGTTAGTGGAGTTAACTTGAAAATTTATTAACAATTTCGGCGCTGGTCCAATGAACCTTTATGAGTCCAATTAAGTTTTACAAGTTTAATGAGGATTTACTCATAAACTTTAGCTTCATTGGACTGATAAGCTTCATTGGACGCATAAATTAGACTAGAGCTAAAATTTCTTTTTTTAGTTTGCTGCGTTATCATGCAAGCTGGATTGGGCGCTGGCCTGAATATTGCTAGCATGTGTTTTTGGGGTTGGTTTTTGAGTCAAAACTGATTTGACTTTTCTCTTTCAGACAAGCAAATCGATGTTACCTTTGTTGTCAGATGGGAGAGTAAAGCTGTGATTGCAGTTTGTAACGGTTTGTAATCTTTTCATTTTCTCAAATGATTTGAATTCAGTGTTCGCCTTGCGTCTTGACAATTTGCCACCTCAGATTATGAAGAGTGATGTTGAGGAGAACTGCGACGGACATGTCAACACAAATGGAGGCTCTTGAAGGTGCAATATCAGATTGAAATGTCATGAGTGGAAAAAGCAGGGACTAATAAGAGGCAACAAAAACAACAGTAAAATTCAGTGGAAGCCCATCAAGTTTATTCCTATTTATCTAATTTCCATTTTGGTTAAAAGGACATTGTTGTGGGCTTTTAGTAATTAATTTGTCTCACGCCTTCCTTAAAATTTCGGAAAGTGTTTGGTCCTTTAGTCTTTTAGTTTTTTTCAAAATATGCTAAAAATGTCCTTTTACACACCTTTAGTAGTTGTATCTACTTTCCTGCTCATTTTTAAATCTACACCTTGTTTTGAAAATATACCCCGATAATTTTCAGACCAAGCACAAAGATGCTATTTATATATAAAATTGTAAATTATAGAGATTTCTTTCTTCAGGAAAAACAAACGATAATTTTAAATATATTTTACTGTTTAAATTAATTTGCCAAAATTTAAAATGGCTTATCTTACTGATACATACAATTTTATGGGCTCTTTGATAAGTACTACCCCCTTGTTTTTTTATAATTTTGGAAGCGGAATTTCCCCCATTTCCATCCCTTTACGTATTTCAAACTTATTGTTAACATAGATGGAATATCTGTTAACGTCCTTTAGACTTTCTTAAACGATTTTTTCTTAAAAACTGAAAACAACTATTACCATATAATGCCATCTCCAAAACATAATTGTTATTGTTCATTAGAACATAATTCAAATATTTATTTTTTAAATTAACTATCTCCTGTTATTCGTTTTATCATTTTAAGTAGAATGCACAAAAAAAATTTTTTTAATAAACTGAATAAATCTCTTAAAATAATTTGTAGACTTTTCTAGAAAAAATTAGAAAGTACTTGAACAAATAATTAACTGTTAATTTTGAATATTTATTCATAATTTAGAATTATTTAGCAATAAATTCCTTTAAATAAAAACAACTTTAAAAGAGCCTATGACTCGATATTATTGCCATAAATGTAACCGACAATGCAATGTGACAAACGATGACTTTGGTGATGTGCGTTGTACAGGCTGCAATGATACCTTTGTTGAGGTTTCTTTTAATTCTTCTCTAGGATAAATTAAGTAAAGTTTTTTGTTTAAGGAAATTCAAAGCTCAGGGTCGAGTCCAGAAACTCCGACTGTTACTACTATGCCACCATTTGGTGGAGCGATTCCGGTAAATGAGAATCCATTTGGTGGTTTTCCGGTTTGTTGTTTTGCGGTAGATTACAATTAGAAATCGTTTCTTTCTAGGATTCTCCTTTTTCGCGACTCTTTTCTCAGGCATTTGCTGCAGCAGGGAGTAGCGGTCAACCGAACCCCTCAGCTAGCCGTAATTCTCAGGTTTTGCTGAATACCAAAAATTTGAAATTCCTTCAAATTGTAGGATATTGGAGGTCCGTCATCTAGATCTACGACTAGTGATCCAGGACAAGCTTCTCGTCCGGGGCATGCTTCTCGTCCTCGTGTTCCGCCTACACAAAATCAACAGACTGGTACTAGTGATGAGGATCCAATGGCTGTTTTTATTCAAAGCATTTTTGCGGGTTTGGGACAGACTGGTTTCTTTATTAGAATTACTAATATTAAATTTTCTCTACAGCTCAGCGTGCTCAAAGGGAAGGAAGCAATCAAGGTACGCCAAACCCGAATCTTACCCAAGGTAGTACACCAGCTCGATTTTCGTTTGTTCAAATTATAACTGGACCTGATCATGAAGGAGGAGGCGCTTCTATATTTGCGTATTTTTTTAAATTTTGAGCTTTAAAACATCATTTATAACAAATTAAGACCAAACACTACTTTGCAAGATTATGCATGGGGAACAAATGGTTTGGACAATATATTAACTGCACTTCTTAATCAAGTAGCAGATCAAGAACAAAACACTGCACTTCGTCCGGAAGGTATATTTTATACTTTATTTATGGACAAAATATTTTTTAGATATTAAACGACTGCCTATGACAAAAGTGACTCAAGAACGTAAGTTAAAATTTCAGAATGATTTTTTAAATTTTTATTTCCAGATTGTGACAAGGGAACGCAGTGTACGACATGCATGGAGACATTTGCATTGGATGAAGAAGTTGCGCAATTAAACTGCAAAGTTTATAATTAATAAAATAATTTTTAATTTTTTTATTACAGCATATATTTCATAAAGCCTGTATCGAGCCTTGGTTGCAACGGAAAAATACTTGTCCAATTTGCCGAACAACCATTGATCCTAGTGAATGGGGGCCACGTATTGCGGATGTCGATGAGTTGGATTGAGTTGAAACCGTATCCAGGAAAACTATTAAGAGCGAATTTCTGTTAGAAACTTAAGTGAATCAAGCTTCATTTCAGTGATGTTTTCAAAACTTAAAAAGATTTTTCGATACTTGTTGGTATCCCAAGCTTGGTAATTGTTGGTATTTTTGTGGCATACTTATGCAGACTCATATAATGGTCAGAAAAACATAAAATGGAAAACCATTCTAACTTTTAATTTTTCCACTAAGCTATCGTACTTCTTCGAATACATTGAATGGAGAAAGGAAAGTATGGATGCTCTGACTATTTTGAGACCATTATGATTATAAGTCTGCATAAATATGTCCTCAAAAACTCGTTTGAAACCCACAAGTATCGATTTTTCTCAAAATATTTTTAGATTAGTTTTATATCTGATACGTCGCTGATTTGGGCTTTATTTTATTCACTTTATCTCTCACTGTATTCATAACGCTTTTCTTTTTCAAATATAGAATATATTTAATTCACATCAGTTTTCTGCTCGTTAATTCTTTAAAAATCCAAAAATTTATTCAATCAAAAAATTTGTGTTTCAACGACAATAAAAATTTAAAACGATTAAAATATGTTTGTTTAATGTGGATTTCATGTCCTTTAAATATTTAAGAATACTTGTTGCTTTTAAAATTTTTTTTTGTAATATCAGGTGAAAATGGATGTTAAACGAAAGCCATATTCTGACCAGAAGAGGTGGATTACTATTTACCCGGCTTATATTGACGCGAAGAAAAGCACTGGAGAAGGGCGACGGATTAGGAAAGACAAGGTTTGAAATTTTAATAGGGGTTGTTTTCGTTTTTAGAATTTCAAGACAAAAAAGTTAATTTTTTATTTTAGGCCGTCGAGAGACCAACATCTCAAGAGATTTATGATATTGTTAATCACCTTGGGTTCAACTGTGTGTTAGAGGTATTATATTTAAACACGATTTCCAAATTACCTTTGTGTTTAAAAATTAAGAAAGACAAGATGTACCCACGTGACACGGACCAGAAAGGCAGAGTACGAGTTCAGACCCGCAACGACGATGGAACGTTCACCAAAAATGAATTTCAGACAAGTTTTTAATTTTTTAAATTCCATTTCGTTTATTTATAGAAGGGGCTCTTTTCCTTCATTTGGCTGAAATGATTCCTAAATTGAAGAGTCGACAAGGCGGCAGCACCCAAGATCAGCAACAACAAAATGCTGGGGGTGGAGGTGGCAAACAGAAGAAAAAGAAATAAAATACGAAATTTATTTTTATTAATGAAGATTGTTTCTTTTGTTCTATTTATTTTTAGATGATTTAGTAAAATGGCTAATATGTGAACTTTAAGGTTGTATTTTTATTTTATCTAAAGTTGTGTCCATGCTTATTGTTAGGTGATCTTCAAGAGCAGATGGCTTGGTTAAAATCCCGTCTTTAATTGAAAATTGGAAAACTCCGAGAAGTTTCACGTTAGAGATACGATGTAGCGGTATCTCTGACCGTTTTTGTATTTTTTGAATTTACGTTTATGTATGCTGAATTTAAATTTCTTGGCGTAATGTAAAGAACATGACAATTTATCCCTGCATTATTTCTTTATTAGAGAAAGAAACTAATTTAGAGAGTGTTTGATTTATTCTTGGTTTAGTTGGAAAATTTTAGTTTTTTGGTTATCTAATTCTCATTAAAGCTTGCTGGTTCGAATGTTTTTATATAAATATTTTTTATTCTTTTTTGAATTAAAATACCCGTCCTTTAATGTTATTATTTTTGAAGTTAAAAATCGTTGTCCTTTAGATTATTGAAATTTGTTATCGGTTTTTGCTTTAGTTAGACTTTGATCTTAAAATGAGTGATTTCCGCCTTTGTCTCAAATTTTAACATTTTGTGATTTTGCCGTTTACACTATCGTTTTTATTTCGTTTAACTATTCAAACTTTTTTTAGATTACATTTCTAAATGGACGTTAAAAGTAGTACTATATACAATTTTCCAAATTCTTCCTCTTATAATAGCCAACGACTTCATTCAGATGATATTTCTAACGAAAATGAGACTGTTTCAGGCAACGATATTGTAATAAAACAACATATGAAAAAGATGGTTGGTGGCGATTTTAAAGCTTTTTCTCCAATAACGCCTGTCAAGGCTTGTTCGCCAATAACATCGACTCCAAAATCCACAAGGTCATCGTTCCGTTCGTCTTCGACATTGCGTCGTCAGCAAGGTAGTCGTCAACGGCAAGATGTCATTCCTGAGGGCGCCGCAATCACTGATGTTCAGGTTTATTTTCTTCAGTTGCTAGTATTTAATTATTTCAGGAGCTTCTACAGCTTATTCAAGCTCAGAGAGATCTGATGGATCAGGCTGCTGCCGCTATTGCATTTTGTAAGAAAAAGTATTCGTACAGTGGTAATTTACAGGAGGTGCATTTAACTGATTTTTCTAATTTTTGTTCTCTTTTTCAGCTCATATCTCAGCGCATTTTGTTGGTTTCTCAAGAGCGTCTAATTATGTTCAACCGCAAATTGGACGAGTTAAAAGATCATCGTTTTCTTCCCAATTTCACTCCGCAGTTGGATGATATTCCTGAAAGCGTTGATTTGGAAACTGAAGATGGTACGACTGAAGACTTTGGAGGCACTGCCTCTGTCAATGGTGGCACAGCAAGTTTTGCTTGTCGACATTCGCCAACTTATACGCTTTTCATTGAAAAATTTGTACTTCATTTGAATCCATCCTTCAGCATGAAAAAGATTGACAAAGGTTTCCTTAAATTCAATATAAAATTTCATATTCTAATTCAGACTCTTCGTATGCATTTATAATACTTTGCCGTTATTCTGATTATATTCACGCTACTCAAATTTCCAGCATGGTAAGAAATTTTTTTTGGTTATTATAAAACTAAAATTTACAGTTAGACATTGGAGAGTTGCGCAACAACAAAGTCAAAATAAGAGAGCTTATTGCATTTGAGGAGTTACCGGCCGATTTTTGCATTATGGTCGAGGTATTTGCTCTTCGACTTGGCAAGCGATGGGATCACAAATGGCAGTCTGTTTGGGACTTGGCAGCTAGAACATTCAGTTTGTTTATGTTTATACTTTTATGTTAACCTAAAAATTTGCTAGTTTAACTGATTTTTTTTTATTAATTTGTTATTTTTAACCCAATATTGAACTACCTAATTTAAGGAAGTATTCGACGCATTTTCTCATCCAGAGGCAATAATAATGACCAAGTACAGTCAGCAAGTAATGGTGTTAAAGGCGCATCATTCTCTGCCTCGTCCGTTCTCATGCAACCGACTGCGCCGATTAGCTCCGATTTTCAACGCTGTGGATATTTACATCTGAATCGCGATTCACTCTCACTTGGAAAAGAAAAGTTTTATTTGATTGATGCGGATTATCCACTTGAAGGAAGCATTGAGGTATGATCTACAAAATAATTATAAATTTTATTTTATAAAGGTATGCGCTCATTATACATCCAGGAACATGCCAGTAACTGACTGGCCAGACACGGATCGTGATATTGGAGCTGGTGGTATGGCAGCTTTCAGTGGTACTAACAGCCCAATTTAATTACAAACTACGTTGATTTTAAAGAATATTTATTAAAGATTCGATTTTCGACCCACAAGATATTATTGTTTGATCCCCATACATTCCCTAATGTCCCAAAAATACAAAATTTTTTCAATTCGTCTGAATATTAATTAAATATATTTTTGTTTCACTTATGTTTTGTTAAAGTTTTTATTAAAGGAAACGATGAAATTTATATTTTTTTCACGCGATAATTTTCTCGCTCAACTACATACTTCTTTACATTCCATAAAACTTATTTAGAGCATGAATGACTCTGAATATGGCGATGCAAAGAAGCACGTAGCCTAGCTGAAGAACAATTTAATTTAAAACAAGTATTGGACGTTAATCTGTTGCTTTGTATTCAGAAGTTTATTGGGATTGGAATTTGCAGTAAAAACAGGTTATTTTTCGTAATAGGATTGGGTGGGTAAACTCACAGGGGATTGGATTTTTTTGGGTGGGTAATTAGGTTTTTGGGTGGTTGCGTTCACAATGGCTTTAGGCTTTTCGAGGGTTACACGTTTAAATTTAAATGAATAGCGATTTAATATGGAAAATTTTAAAAGGGCTTTTTGGATTCGGATATGTGTAGATTATTAAATGATTTCTTAAATAAGCGAGACAAGTGTGGGAGAAGTAATGGAACTCTCCATGTAAAAGAAAGTGGGGGCGTTTGTGAGAAGTTAGTTGGAAAAGCATAGTAGACAGGTTGGTCGTTATTTGAGGAGAGGAAAAATGAAGGCGGAAGAAGAAAAATTTCGACTGATGAGTGAAAATGAAGACAGGAAAATGGACATGCTGCGAATAACGGAGTAAAAAAGCGGGGTTTGTGTGGAGATTTGTGGAAGTGTGGAAATGAGGAAAAAGTATATATGAAAGAAATGGGTGGGAGTTATTTAAGAGAAGAAGATCGGCATATATATTGCTGCTGCTAACCGAAACAGCATCAAAAATGATCATTTCTCTATGCTTTTTAACTAACATAAGTGTTGGTTTTTACCCAACCTACTTCTCTCTAGCTTGTCTCGTTTTCTTTCTTATTTCTCTCTAGATCAAAACCCGTTTGTTTTAAAGCTTTATTCTGGATAATGCAAGTTTTTCTTTAATTTACCAGCTTAGATCTCAATATCTTTTTAATTTCTCCAGCAGTCTCTTGATCCTCCATATTTCTAACAAAAGACTTTTTCGTCTCTGTTTTCTTTTCAACATTTGATCAATCACATATCAATTTCCGCCCAATTATTTTTTTACTTTTTCTTCCATGCCATTTACTTCGTTTGATTTAGTTGTTTTTCTTCTTATTGTTAGTTTTTTTCAACTTGTGCTGATTATCACTACTGTCTGGATCTTATTTTGTTCGTTATTTTTCATTTGTCTGTTTATTTTGTTTTTATATTCTTCGCGCGTTTTTCTCGTTAATTTTAATGACCTGAAAACAATGAACAAAAGTATGGTGATTTAGCAATTTCTTCACAGCTTTTTAAAAGTTGAGGATCGTTTCCTTTATCCACTTGATTCTTTCATTCTTTTTTACTTTATAAACTCATTTTTTCTTGATACAAAAATTCATTCTTAACCACTTTCACTCTTGTCTCGTAAAATTTGAGATGGCTGGAAGAACAGTTGTTAATTGGTAGATTATCAGATTATGTATTTATCCATGCTCTTTTCCACGAGTTTAGGTGCAAATGTAATGTCTGAACCTTAAATGTTAACTCATTCGGTTATCTTTTTTTATTTTGGTTCCCACCCACAATATGAAATAACCTCAAATATAGTTTTTAAAAAAATGAAAAATTGAAAAATAATATGAAACAGATAAATAGGATATAAAAATCAAAATCGTACATAAAATTAGGAGCAAAACTTTTCTATACTGGAAAAAGAGGTAAAAGGAAAATTTTAAGAAATTTCTATCGAAAAATGGATGTCTATTTTTGATTCAAACTTTATCAAAAAGCAAATTCGGGTTTTCAGCGAACGCATCCATGCTTGGCATCCTTACATTTTTATTATTTAAAAAATGAAATGTGAATAAGTGAACTAATATTGAATGTGAATGAACACGCCGAAGGAATAGATTGGTTAGCGTGCATGATTGGTGGCGCTACCGGTTGATGTGTATTGGGGTTTGATGTTGGGTTGAAAAAATGACAGAGAGAGAGCAGCAGCAAAAATGAAATGCGCGAAATTCCTCAAACGAATTGAATGTTCCACTTTCTGTGGCAAAGGCTGATTTTTAGCTAGGTTAGTAAGTAGAACCTTGGGATGGTAAATTGCAAGAGATGGTGAAATTAGTAGAAAAGTTGCGGATTTTTAATGGGGAAGTAAGTGAATGTCTATATATTTTTAACAAATATCCGAATTTCTTGTGTGAGGAAAGTTTTCAAAGATTAGGAATTCAGGAATTTATTAGTTAGACTTTCGTATTGCGTGTACGGGAGTGAAAATAAATAAAAAAATTAAGTGTATGTACATGCGTATTTGTGCAAATAATCTGACCTATGAAGGACAGACAAGTTCTCTTCTGTTTTCACTTGTTTCTCGACTAGCCAGCCCTAATCACCACATCGTCCTTTCTCGCCGTTGCAATTTTGCGCAGCGTTCTCTCCCGAACCAATGAATCATGTTTAAACAAAAAATTAACTCGTTTTTTCTTTTGTGCACTTCTTTGGTGAAATTTATGTAGTATAGCTTAATAAATTGATTACCAAACTGGGACCATCTTTAATTTAAAAGCAAAAAGTTAACGAAAATCATGACAGAAACCCATTTATAACACCTAGAAATTTGAATGTTGCAGTCGGGCATTTGCACCAAGATGGAAACTTCAAAACGGGGCCTAGGAAAATTGCTATTTTGATAAATTTTCATTTGTTTTTCCAAAAAATTTTATAACAAAATATTAATATTTTTTTCTAGTAATTTATCGCATATTCGTATGGAGAATGTTAACAATGATTCAGAATTTTTTACTTCTGGGGAATTAAATGCACCAGAATGTTAATCACTTTTATAATATTTTCTCTAATATTGAATTTTAGATGTTGCCGATTTTTTACGTTCTGTTCGCCCTGGAGAAGAGGCTAAAAAACTTCATAATTTACGTCAATCTCTTACAGCCCGATCAAACAATGCGGCAGACCAGATAAAAGATATCGTGTTTGATCACTATAAACAATTTATTGATACATCTAAGGAGATCTCAAGTTAGTTTCTAGATTACAATTAATTAATTTGCAATCAAATTTAGAATTGGAAAAGGAAATTTACCAGCTCTCGACACTGTTAACTGATCAACGACATTTATTGGAAGGACTAATGGAAATGACTGGACTTGAGAAGCGTTCATCTTGCAGTGCATCACTTACTACTAGTTCAGGCTTAAGTAGTCAACAAACACATCAACTGCAGATATTAATGAATCGGATGGATGACATTGCAGTTAGTAATTTTAAGTTATTAAATTAAAGTTTATATCGAATCGAATTAAAATTTGGAAATAAATAGTTTATTAACAGACTATTTCTAGCCTATTTTAAACTCGGCTGGCGAGCAGGAGCGTATTCTCTTGCAAGGACAACTTCAGTTATTGGACTCTGAAACGTTCAAACCAAAACATACTGTTTATGCAGTTCTTCTTAGTAACAATTTACTAATTGGACATCCAAATCCAGACAGTGGAACTGGTCAGCAAAAACATCCATTCCATTTGGTATTACTTTTTCCACGTAAGCATTGAATTTATTATTTTCTAAGGCAGCTAACTACAGCCTGGATTCACTTGCTTTAATAAATGTTAAAAGGACACCCTCAAACTTTGATGAGTCATCCGAAAACATTGTCCAGCTACTGGTTTTTCCTGAATATTTGTACTTGCGTTGTGAAAATGGTGGGCTTTTTTATTATAATGATTTGCCAATTGTTTTTGGATTTATATTTGTTTTTTAGCCCGAGTTAAACGTGATTGGCTTGAATCTGTTGAGGAAACGAAGCGAAAACAACACGAAGAACGGGCACTTGTTAGACAGGCAACGATACGAGGTTTTTTGTCATTAATTTTTCATGAATTCCTAGTCACTTAAGCTCGGCGTCGAAGCATTCTTAACACAATTGCTACACGTGCATCAACATCTGATAATATTCGAAATAAGAAAAGTCATAATCTTCATGAAAAAATTGATGAAGAAGATGAAATTGAGGAAGGAAAGCAAAGTGAACTTGGAAGACGAAGGCGGATGTCAATAGAAGATTCAGTTTGGCTAAATGATCTAATTAATGAACTTCAAGATGTAATTTCGCACAGGCATATGGAAGAGGTTTTCAATTTTCTTTAAAGTTGGCTAATCTTTTGGAAAAATTAAGTCCAGATGTTTTAATAACGTTGTGGAATTTATCGGTCAATCCCGCAGTTTTTTGTTTAATTTTTACGGACTCATAATGTTTAGGCCAATTTTTTGCACAAACGTAAATAAACTGCCCTAACCATTATGAGTCCCAAAATATTATGGAGGTAATCAATAATTTCTAGGCAGTTGAAATGTTGATGGAATGGAAAAGCTGCTCATATAGCGATGCTGCTCTTAACACCAGATTTGCGGCAATTGAAAAACAAGTTCGAACATATTTTTGGTTGTCATCATGTTATTTTATTTCTTTTAGGTAGTTCAAATTCTAACAGATGACTTGAAGCGATTTAGTTCTGTTTATGGTGGTTCTAAGGTATTAGCGCAGCCACTTCAACAACTTATCGCACTTGGTCGTTCTACTTATGCTATTGAGTTATATCTAAAGAAACGAAGCGCTGTTCTCAGGACCGCTGCACGAGAACTCATAGTAAATTATTTTTTGATCCACAAAATCCCAAAAATTTTGAAAATTCCCTTAAACTATTGATAGTTGCGTTTTTAAATTTTTTTCTTTTTTCAGATAAGCGAAGAACCACTATCGTATGTTCGGCAAGTATCCGGTCTGTTTATTAATGACATAGTCGAGGTAATTATTTTGGAAGATAAATTTAATCATTTATAAACCAGGTATGTACTGAACTATCCATTTATCCAAAACAGCTTTGTTTAATTATTGCTTGGTCTTCTCGTGAGTTGGGAATCTTACTTTCACTTATTAGAAAAAATGTGATTGAAGTGGCACCTACGATGGCTGTTTTAACGTTTAGTTTTTCCACTTTTTTAGTTTTTTTAGAAATTGACTTAAAAAAGTTTATTAAAAAATATTTCAGAAACACTTGGCGCATACTTGTTGGAAAATGTTCACATTTATCTTATATTGGATTAGACCTTAGTTTTGAGATTAATCGATTGGCAGCTCCTTCATTACGTACGGCACTTCAAGCGAATTTTGACAATATTTTAGAAAGCATTAAATTGAGAAATTCGGTATATATTTTTATTTAAAATGGTTAATTTTGAATTTCAAGGAAGAACGATGGACACCGTTCTCACTTGATTCTGACCAGAATTTAATCCGTTTCTTGGAAGAGATGTCCGATATTGGTTTTCAAATGGAATGGGTAGATGTTTTTAATATCAGACTATTTTACTTTATTGTTTTTAGGCAATTTGTCGAGAATCGCCGTCTCCAGATTACAAGTATAGATACGCTCTTAATGTTTCTCAGAATGTTTGTATGTTTGCTCGGATTGCTCTTCAGCTGAGTTAGTAATTTAATAATTTTAATGGTAATAATAATTTTAATGTTTTAGGTAGGGATTTGGCTTTATTAAATAGTTCTCCGCATTTGCAACAAATTTCCAATGCATTTATCTGTGAAATTTGGAATTTAGAATTGTCTCATTTAACTTCAACAATGCATCCCTCTATTGTGCATCATTGTTCAAGTCGTTTTATTATTTCACAGGTAAATTAGATTTTTTTGTAAGATAAAGATGATTTATTTTTTAGGTTCTTCCTCTATGCGAGCAAGTACTGCAATGCGGAGATGATTCTGAAGGAGTTCTTTATGAAATTCTTCATAAGAAGTTTTCTCATCTAGTTCATTTTCAAAGAAGGCCCAGCAATCTTTACCCACAAGATGAAGAAACAGATGATCACAATGTATTGGAGTAAGCAGATGAAAAAATTGTTTAAATAATTATTAAAAATATAATTTATTAAAAATTAAATACTGAGGAGAGTAAATTTCTATAATTTTAGGGATCTGGTTTAAAAAATAAAATAATTTAATAATAGGAATTTAAAGATTGAAGGTAAATTCTAGTTCTTTCTCCATTGCTCGGAGTTTTTCTTATCCTTAGTAGTTGCCTTTGTGCCGCCAATATGCTTTTTGTCCACTTTATTGAAAAGAACGATTAATAGGCGAAAAAATGCATATGAATTGCCTTGCGATGAGTGTTTTTTTTTGAAAATTATTGTTAGCGCCGTGATCTGTCCATAATTTTTTTGCATATTATGCAGAAGATCCGGAATTTAACTAGTTGTGGTCATCATACTGCCACTCATTAAAGATAGGAGTGAATGCCGCTCAGTGTTGCTTTACCTCATTCGTGTCCTAGCAATTAGTAATGACCATTAGTTTTATTACCTGAAATAAATTTTGATTAAGTGTGATAAAATCATTGTTATAGTTCAAGGTAAATAGAAATATTCTTATTCATCAAGTATATTTCAACCATCGTTCAAATGTTTCGTAGAAAAGGCCAGAATAAATCTGCTTTAAGGATAACTTTATTAATGTTCGAATTTATGCTTCTATTAAATTTGATCATGAGAATATGCAACGGGCAGTTTCCTGAATTGGAAAATGCTGTTCTGGCAGAGCCTAGAGTTGATTGTGGAGTAGAATCAATCACTGTATGTCGAGTGAATTTAAATTTTGCTAGTGATTACAATTAACTTAGATTATTCAATTTTTTCAGGTGTGGATCCGAATGGAGAAGCCATTCCATGGAAGGTTTGTTTTTTACATACTTTTCGAAAATTTTTATTTGATCTTTCAGGCTGTACGTTGAAGATGAGGTAGTTTAAGTTTTAAAAATAATAAATGACTACTGATTAATTGATCAAGTGATTTGACTTATTAGGTTGACCAGCCGGAATGTGTTCACAGTTATGCTAAGGATTGGGGGTCGGATTCTGACGGGCCACTGGATTCTCGTGGTGCTGACTTTACAATTCGTTTTGGGCAATGTAATATGCGGCGGCAACGACTGGTATTTCATGATTTCTCTTTTTATTAGTTTTTTCAGTTAAATCCTCGCGGTGTCAGTTATTCTTTCACGCTTGTTGTATCATTTCATCCAATTTTTCTCACGGGTATTGATCGGGCATTCAATATCCGATGCTTCTTCATGGAGGCGGTAAAATCTATTGAAACCGCGCTGGATGTTAGGTGATAGTTATTATATTAGGAAGTCGAGAGTTTTTTCAATTTTTAAAATTTAGCCCATTGGTAACTTCCATTGTTGAGCATGAGTTCACCTTACCACATTGCTCATATCAGGTAAATTTTAAAAAGTGCTCTACACATGTGTAAATTGTAACTTGCCAAGAAGTTCAACTTTAAAATTTAAATAAAAATTATAGCTGAAACAACGTGGAGTGGATGGTCCTCTCATGAAATATGCAACAATTGGAGAGGTTACTTTTACAAATTTAATTTTTTTTACTTTACTTTTGGTCTTAACATTTAGCCGATCACACATCTCTGGCAATGCGATCCAATTGCTGGATGGCTTTATGGATTATTAATCCACTCTTGCTTTGTGGACGATGGTCATGGAAAGAACCGATTTGATCTTATCGATGAAAGAGGGTAATTAGAACTCAGATTAGAGACTTAAATTTTTGTACCTTCATTCTAATTCTCAGTTGTGTCACGGACCGTTCACTCCTTGCAGAAATTTCTTACGACGAGAAGGCATTCACTGCATATGCACATACACATGTATTTCGTTATGCCGACAGGTACATGTCTACCTACGAAAATTAATTTTAAGGCAATTTTTAGAATCCAATTATTCTTCACTTGCACTATCCAACTTTGTTTTAGAGAAGATGGTGGATGTGATGGGTGAATAAGCAAAAAATAATTTTAACGAGTGAATATTTCCTTTAGGATTTCACCACCACAATGTAATAAAGGAAAAGTTGGATCACCGTATGACTTAATTCTCAAATTCCTTAGTAGAATCATGCACTTTTTAGATTTCCAGAAACCCCAGTTTCGCCTTCATTTGTGCCTATAGATTCTCATGAAGAATCACCTATTTTTAGAAGAGGGCATCTTCACAGGTTTTCTAAATACCTATCTTTAAATTGAGTATTTTATTTTAAAGCAAATCCTCGCTTTCTTTAAAAGACAGTCCGATTTTAACGATAAATAATGAGAGCGTTATTGAAGAGCAACTTCTCGGAGACACGTTTCAACCATCACTTAACAATCATAGTCGTGCGGGTAGGAATGCCGCTCTTGAATTCTTGAACAACCGAATGGAGACAGATTTGAGCGCTGGTACGTGGGTATTTTAAAGATGAAAGAATAATTGTCTTAAAAATGTAAGATAAATTCTTTTAGATTTAACTGTCGTGCCGAGAACAAGTAATGGAATGGCTGAAAGAAGCAAGGATGAGCGCATGGCTGGAAGAGGTTTGACACTTAATTAAAAGAAAAGAATAGTGTTTAGATCCATTCATCCGTGTGTTTCCGATAAAGAATGGAGAATATGGCACAGCCACGCCCCAGATCTATTCATTAGATTCCCAGAGGTTTGGAAGCTTTGAGGTTCTAGCAATTGCAGTAGCAAGTTTTTTGATTACAATCACGGTAAAATCTTAACATTTAAGTTATTTGATTTTTAATTTTTAAGTTCGTGCTTCTAATAACTACATTCGGGCTTCAACATTGTCGTCTAAAGAAATTACTTGTTCACAAGTTGTGTTCTACAGAAAATGATGGAGCTATAATAATAGGATAATTAAAATGCGCCTCTAAAGTCTAATATTTGACCCTAGCTGACAATGAAACCTACCGAGATATGATCAAAAATTTTTGGTCATAGCTCTTAAGGTTCCCTTGTAAGATAATAAACCTATAATTTGTGAAAGCCACATGTATAGTCATTTTTGTCATAATAATTTATGCAAGAAAATTAAAAGAAAAATTACAAAATCAACTTCTACAGATCTTCTTAGGGATCAATCCATCTGCAATTTTCATGCCTTCGTGCATCGGTTTTGAATCCTGTATTAGAAGCAGTGCTCTAAGATCTCTAACAACATCTCCCCATAAAAAATCAACAGCACATCTTGGACACCGCCCAGAGACGGGAAAAACCTTTTCCTCCAAATGTCCTTCAGAAACTAAGCAACGCTCAGCAAGACAAGAAGCTAAATTTAAGAAATTGTCAAATTATTAAGCAGAAAAAACCATGGAAATGCGCACCACACACTTCAAATGCTGGACATCTCAGAGCTTGTATAATCTTCAAATAACAAATTATTTACAAAGAAACATCTTTTTAATTTTGAAAAAACCTGGGGGATTGAAGATTTGCAAACTTCACAATTTCTTAATGTTGTGTATGCATTCAATTCAATCGGAATCAACACCGATGATTTTTGCACTTTTCCATAAGCCAATTTCATGTGTGGAGGTTGGGACAAGTTGTGGTTGAAAGGAATTTCATATTCCTGAATAATAAAAATTTCGGCATAAATTTTCATTACCTTCATCAGCCACCTGAAATCTAACTTGTATATTCTTAAAATTAAGTAAAAACCTAAAAGTCAATGCCAATTCTCGCCAAGGTCGTGTGTTTAACATTTGAATAACAATTCGAAAGCGAAAAGCAAAAGGAGTTTCTTTTCGATCTTTTTGCATGTAACGACGTTTGAGTCGTTTTGATTTATCTGGGTTTTGCCAAGCCCATTCAAACTGGAGAGCAGAAATTGCATTTGGAAAGCCATGGACAATACAAACCATATCCCTAAATTAAGTTCTTGGTAAATGTAAAGATTACTGGTCCCTAGAAAAAAATGAGGAAAAAGTACTAGTTAGACATTTTTGAGGCATGCCACTAGGTAATCGAATGTGCTGAGTCCGAATCTGAGCTTAGAATTTGTTTATTTCGAACCCCGGACCCGAATTCGACCAAGTCGAATTATGGGTTAAAATCCGAAATTAAAAATTTATGGCGTAATCGACTATGCTGATCACGAATCTGATATCAGATTATGTCAAAAATCGACTCATCTCGTCGAGTTCTTTCGAATGAGCTATTATTTGGATTTTCGAATTTTTGACCCCAAAAATTTTCAAATTTCGGGGGTCTCTAACTCGGCCCTATGGAGTCGGATCGCGGTGATTTTGGAGGCATTTGACTCAGCTCGAATAGGTGCATCAGATTAGCCCTAAATTTTTAATTTCGAATTTTTAGCCATAATTCGACTTGGTCGAAACCGGGTTCGGGGTTCGAAATAAACTAATAATAAGCTCAGATTCGGACTCAGCACACTCGATTACCTACAGGCAAACCTCAAAAATATCAAAAAACCACTTCTTCCACATTTTTTTTCGGGACCAGTAATCTTTACATTTACCAAGTTCTAAAACTAAAATGTATAAACAGTCTTTTAAATCATACCAAGGTCCTTTGCTATCAGTTTTTTTCGCTCCTCCATGTTCTCTGCCAGAATTGTGCTGTCGAATTCGCCTGTTAGGGTCTACAGTGTAGCCAATATAACAACGATTCTAAAAAAAGGAAATTGTTAATTAGAATGTTAAAAGCTGAGGATTTTTGAAAATAATTCCAAATAATCATAAGATACCTTGTAAACTTTCTCGATACTTTTGCTCACCAGACAATAAACGCCAAAGAATTCGTCTTGAACATAAGTCTCTTTAGGTGGAACCAACTTAAGAGATGAATTTGAAGAATAATAGTGCAAGTTTAAAAAACGATACCTACCGGTTCGGATAAATCATGTAAAATTTTTAGCATTAAATATGTAGTAAAAATTCTTTTCAAATTAAAATTCCGAGCGTGTAGATGTGACGAAATAAAATAAAAAAAAGCCTGATGTTTCGGTAATGAAATATTGTACTCAAGTGGAAAGACTCAACAGTCAGAGCGGACAGCTGAGTGCCAATGGATGGCATGATCGGACAGTAAGACAATTGGACAGAAGAAAATGCAATTTTAATAAATGCAATTTTAGCGACGATTAGTATTGTAATCTGGGTTCGGATCTTGTCTGGGTTAATAATCTTTTGATTGATAATATTATTTAAATCGATAAAGAATCGAAAAGATGGCTCAAAATCAAAATATGGCCTGAAACGGCGAGACTGAACCGTCCCGCTCAAATTAAAGATACGGCCCACCTTGTCGCGACGACTTTGTCGTCGTGTTTTCAAAGTTTCCCTTCGTTGTTTTCAAATTTCCCTTCATTTCCCTTTCGCAAAATAAAAATCAAAGGAAAGCTTGCAACAAAGTGGCCTGCGACACAGTGGTCGCGACAAGGTGTCCGTGTCCCAATTGATGCGGCTGCGCCGAAGTTTACCATCTTTTAGCTTAAACATTTTTAAGAAATTATCTAAAACGTTAACAGTTTTATGGACGTTACTATCAACACTGTTTGTACTTTTCCAAGCTCTTCTAATGGCCATCAACAACATTCTGATGCTATTTTAAATGAATTGGAGATCTCTAGCAAGGATATAGGTAATAAGCAACGGGTGATGAAAATTGATACTGATGTTAACTTCAAAACTTCTCCTATAATCGCTCCAACGTCACCGAACAACGAATTACAAGCCAAAGTTTCCGATGGAACTGTTATTGATATCAAGGTTTTTAATTTTAAATTACGGTTCTGAAAAACATTTTTTGTTTAACGTTTTATTTTTAAAAATTTTGAGGTTCACAACATTCTTTGTAATTACACTCTTCCAATGCATATCGATTTGCGGTTATTGGCGTATCACAGTATCAATGTGGATTATGATCGCTTTAAAGGAGTATGAATTCGTAATATTCTTCAACTTTTCATTTCTATTTTAGGTCTTAGTCAAACAATTACGGGATCCTGATTGCACAGTAAAAATTTTCAACAGTGGTAAAGTGGTTATATTCCGTTGTAAGAGGTGTGTTTTGACTTTTATACCTTCCGGGTTCATTGAACTTTGTTTGGTTTATTGAACTAGAAAAATGATTTTCTTTAAATACATCTAATATTTTTAAGTGAAATAGAATGTAAACGTGCATCACGTCAAATTGCACGAATGATTCAACGTGGAATGAACAAACTCGATCAACGTATTTGCATACGCAAGTACCGTGTCTCCAACATTTTTGCCACGTGCCGACTTCCTTTTTCTATTCACATAGATGACGTGGCTCGAAAATACCGCGGCGAAGGTGTAAAGTATGAACCAGAATTAGCGCCCGGTCTCGAGTGGACTCTTCGGGATCCAAAATCATATTTGCGTATTCACACAACCGGATCAATAACAATTTCAGGAGGTTAACTTTTTTCTCAATAACTTTTAATTTTGATTTTGCGTTTTTCAGCAACATCAGAGCTCGATCTTATCACAAGTATTCAGCGTGTTTATCCTTTCTTGAAGGAGTTTTCATATCAAAGAGATCTCGGGGTAGAAGTAAATCTTGATGACGAAACTCAATTTATGGCTGATTCCTACAAACATTTGCGGAAACGTCCTCGACAACAGTCAAAACATTTTCTTGGCGGTAGTTCGGAAAAAAGTCAAGTAATTCTACCATCTAAAAAGGGGCGTTATGTTGACACAATGGAAAAGGGTGCAGGTGTTCTCGGCACTGGAATTTATAACAATCAATTGTATTTTGAAGATGAGGTAATGCTGAATCTAGTTTTTCTATACTATAAATTTCTCTAATTTAGGACGAAAATGTAATCGCTGATGATGAGTATTTCCCGGACGACGAAGACTGCCTATATGATGAAGATGATAATTGAATAGTTATGCGCATCAACGGGTTTTTTTGAATCATAGCATATTAATTCGAATCGGCAATCCACAAACAGATCTTCACATTTGTTTTTGCTTGAAATGGCGTTAAAGTCATTTCTATAATTTTAAGTCATTCTTTACACTTTTTTATTTTTAAAATTTTTAAAGAAATCTCCTAAATATGTTTTTGATATAAATTGCTATTTTTTCACCACTTCAAATATTTCCAGTAAATTTTATTGAAATTTAATTGTTAATCAAAATTTGTTTTTAAACTTGATATTTGTCATTAATTTATATACTCAATTAAATTGTTTAGAAATAAATTTAAAATGCTCGACTTAAGAGAACACTGTGAACTTCTAAGGCCTTTAATTGCTGTTTACACCTCTCATTCAGGTTAATCTGTCTTTGGTCATAAACTAAATAGAGCTTCCATTCAGCGCATGAATCGGCAGAAAAGAACGGATTAGACTTCGCACAAATGCTTTTGCCTTTTTCCAGCGTATTAATCCAAATAAGGGTATATTTTTTTATTCTTTTTTTTCCGTAGTACTTTTGAAGCCGAAGATGCCTTTTTTTTTATCAAAGTCGCTATATCCTGAAGCCACGATTGAGGCATGAAGAGAAAGGATTCAGCTTCAAAATTACTTTGTTATTTCCTGCCATAAGTTTGTTTGATTTTATTTTCTAAGGATCCAATCAGTCAACAGCAACATGAACACAAACTTCGTTTAGACGTACGTGACTTACGACGCAGCGGGTTTTTGCTCAGCCATACCGTCTTTCGTTATGTCATTCAAGAGGTTCAATTTTACTCTTATTTTATCTCTAAAATTTGCTTTTCAATTCTGAATTTTGTAGAGCATTCTTTCTTCCGCTGGATGCTCTATTCCATCCACAAATAACCAAGAAGAAATAGGCATCAATAGCATACTTACTAATTCATTTTACCAAACATTTATACATTGGCTAGAACCTTCAGAACATGAATTCTTGCGTACTTATTTGGCCTGTATTTTTGTTGTTTCTACAGCGGATTCAGATCCATTAAATAAACTTGCAGAACTACAAGCTGAGCAGCAATGGGAGCAGGTATTCTCTAAATATTCCATTCTTGGGTTTATAATATTTTCCAAGACGCTTAATAATGTTTCAATTTTTATTTTTAAGCAAAACGAAGGCGGAAATTCAACAGCAAAACGTATTTCACCCGCCCATTGTGTACCTCCAAAGTGGTTTTTTCCCAATGTGCTCAAGTATTATGTACTACTTCATGACAATTCTTTACAGGATCTGGATAAACAGAGGTTTTTAATTTTTGTTTCCGAACCCTTCCTCAACTCTGAATTTTTATTTTATACAGATATGAGGAAATACTTAGAGCCGTTTATGAGCGTTATGGTGAGAAATTTTGCTCATTCATTACTTTGAATTCTGCAAACCCTTCTGATTCAACTTATACCAGTATGCCTGATATTTGGAGACTATTAGTTGATCCTATTCAAGAAAATTTACAAACGGGTCTTAAACTAGCCAAACAAAATTTGTATTCTTCAAATGATACTAAAATCGGGGTATTATTTTTTATTTGACGCAAGAATTAATATTTCTACATTTTCAGTCCCAAAATAATATTACAAATTTTCTAACCCGACAACTACAACAGCCAACTTATCTTCCTCCTGTTTCTTCCTCACCAGCACTTTCATATGATAATGAGGCAACGACGTCTGTTAATCCTTCCTTATTCACAACTAATGCAGAGTTTAGCATTGGTCAGATAAATTCAACATTTCTCCAAAAAGAACAATCATCTGTTGTAAATAATTTGCCTATAACAAAATCGCCTATGACTTATGCACAGGTTTTATTTTTAGTAAAAATCTCCCTTTGTTAGCACATGATTATTTAACTACGTGATTATATGAACACTGATTATAAATACAATTAAGATTACTTCTGGATCTACCAACTCTACTACTGCATTTTTACCAAACTGTGATAAATTAACTTCAAAAATATCAAGTGAGAATACTTTCGATCATGACATCGAGATAACCAACAAAATTTATGGTTTAAATTTACAAATAAATTTTAAAACCTTAATTAAATTTTCTAGGTCAATGGTTGTCTGTTGAAGACCGGCTGGGTTTACAGAAATTTGTCGAGGAATTTGTTCGAGAAGCGCTTGGTAAACTAATTAATTTATCCATCTTTGACATCTTCTAACATTCCAGTTCCCTTTGTGGAGAAGCACCTATCAGACCAAAATGAATTTTTGCTCAATAAAAGAAGTTTAGCTAAAACCACATTTAGCTCCATGAAAAAATGGCTTCAAACTGCGACAACCAATACAAATCCCACACCTACCTTTAATGTGCAACAGTTAACACAAAGCCAGTCTTCAACTAATCTGCCAATTTCTGTTAATATTTCAACCGAGAGTGTTGAATATCAAGCAAGACGTTTAGCAGATTTAGCTTTCCTCTTTGGACTATACCAATACGCAAATCAATTTTATCAGTCTTTGAAGAAGGAATTTGCCAGCGAACAGGCCTGGGTTTCTATTCACATTATATGATCCAAATATTAGTTTTTTCCTTATGCATATAACGCTTTATCTATTTGTGTATTGAAATTATTCTAATAAATTTTATTGCAGATACATCATATTGGCTGTTTGGAAATGGCAGGTATTTCTGCTTTCTTGCATTCTTGGCAACAACTTTCACAACAACTTATTAATCCGACATTAAGATCGGTTGCTCTGGCCAACTTAAGAAAACTTTATCCCCAAAGATATTTGAACAATGCCATTAATTTATATGCAAATGTCTTCAGGTTTTTATTTCTAATTTTTTACCATTTCGTATGAATCTTTTCAGACAACCTTATTTGGCATTACGTGCACTTATGAACAGTGTAATAATACTAACGCAGCTTGAACTCTATTCAGAGGCGGCTCAACAACTTATTCTATTTAATACACTACCTGAACTAGTGGATCTAGCTGATTTGATTGGAGCTGTTCTGTTGGAACATTCAGCAAGAATTTTTGCTAAAGCTGGAAACAGGCGACGAAAATTAGCTTTTTATCTAGTTTGATTTCTATTGTTATTTTATATTTGATTCATATTTAGGTAACTGCAGGTACTCACGTACTTAAATTCGCTTCTAAAAGGCAGAAAACTTCAGCAGAAATGTTGAGTCGAGCAAAACTCTTGTCTCGTCGTTTATATTCGGAAGTTCTACATTCATCATCATTTACGGGAAAAGGCTGGGCATGGGCAGATGATTATCTTTTATATCAATACATCTCATGCCTTTAAATATTTATTATTGTGATAAAGTTATTGTAAATTAAAATTACGACTTTGATTCTAACAGCTAAACACTAGCATTAAATTTTTCTCATTCAACCATCTCTGCCTCATAATTTACTCTGCAAAGATTTGTGAGAGTACTTGCCTTGCATTTTAATCAAAGTTTTCTACAAATAATGTTCAATGACGTCTCCCGATTTTATGGTAAAAGATTGGTTTGACAAGACGCAAAACATGCCTGATTTCGAGTCGCAAGACAATTTTGTCGCAATTTTGGAATGCCTTGTTCGGTATTTTAAAAATTAATAAAGCACCAAAGATTAATAATTTTTAGAATACTAAGGCCACCTAGTCCCCAACCTATTAACAAACAAATAGAAACTTTCGCCAGATATGTACAGCTACTTAACAGGTTTAAGATTTTTTCTTTTAAACATTTTTTCAGTCGAAATTCAAGCGATCTAGTTTGCATGGACTGGATTAACCTGTTGGTTGATTTGAGGAGGGTGACAACATTCGTAGGGCTTGGAATGTCAGATCTTGTTACACAGGATTGTCACAATTCTGCAGATCCTTTCATAAAAATAGGAAGATTTTCACATGAAGGTAATACTTGCAATTTAACACCTTAATTTAAATATTTATAGTTTACCCTTCAAATGTTGCTTGTATTCAGGTTTGGAATGAACTTATTGAATGTGCTGGTAAAGGAGTTGATGCCTTCCTTCCGAATTCACCTCCAACTTTATTCTTAAATGAATATACAAACAACAATAAGCAATGCTATTTACCAGGAAACGAGCCTTTGGTTGTGCGCTTGAGGTTTTTTAAATAATTTTTCAAAAGTTTCATTGCCAGATTCAATAATCCTTTTCCCTTCCCATTACTTTTGCGTGATTTAAGGCTTTCGATAAGTGATGTAAGTATGGTTTTCTTTATTTAAATTACGCCTAGTTATTTAAACTTAACCAATTTTAATTTTTCTTTCAAGGTAAAGGTTTCTTCTAAACATAAAAATGGAAACATCCATTCCGATGATGACTTATTTAAACTATCAAATCAAGAAATTAATTTACCTGGAAATTCAAACGAACCACTTTGTTTTAGAATGACTGAGGAAGATCGATCAAAAGAATTTTCAGATACAGAAATTATTGTTGATTTGCAGGCAATTCCAAACAGTGAAATTGTTCAATCCTTTAGAGTGGAAGGAATTCGTTTTCAACTGTGCGCCCCTTTTCCAAGTATTTCTTCAGTCATTGATAATAAGGATTCCGAGAATAATGCTTCTTCTAATAATTTAAACGTTATTGGCAATGAAGAGAGTAAATTATTAAGTGTGCATGGATTCATTCCTATTAAATTAAGTGGACCACGTCTTGCAATAACAAAAGAACAGGCAATTATCAAAGCAAAATTTTTACTAAAAATTTACATTTTAAGCGTAGAACAAAGCAGTATGCTGCAGACAAAAGACTTGAGTTTTTCGTTCAACCTACTCCCTCACCGCTGTTGGCAATCCATCTTTCTGACGAGAATAAACATTTGATGCATGCAACTTCTGATTCCATTCAATTCGATGCTTACGCTAATCAGATTTTACAACTTGAACTTGAAGTTAAGAACATTGGGCAATGCCCAGTTGAAAAACTGGTGGTCTGTACGAACTGGCCTGAACAAGGTATAATAGTTTTTCTTATTTTTCAACTACATATTATTGAACGTTTTAGTTTCTGTGAGCGAACCAAATTTACCGACTACATCTAATTCTGACAATGAGCAGCGAGGCTGCTGGATAAGCGCGCAGTTTATTCCATGTCGATGTCCAACATTTGCCGATCAGCCATATCCAGCATCATCCGAATTTGAAGGAGCTGCTTTTCTTGCTAAATTCAATTGTACAAAAATCAACAAATCAAATCCTTTGAAAGTTGGACATAGAACAAGGTTATTTTTAAAATTAATTTTAACCTAACGCTAATTTTCTCATTTTAGACTTAGGATTGCACTTCGTGCTTGGCACAATATAAAAATGCCAGCCGATTGGTCGCAGCTCTTTTACTTTCTTTTTCTCTACTCTGATGGAAATAATTGTAGACAATTTCGTTTTACAATTTGTATTCGAACTATAGAAAGACTATTTTCTTCGACGTTTCAACTATTGAACTCTAATGTTGGTTTATATCTGTTGAAATTGCAGAATGCTGTATCTCAAACGCTTCCTTTCACTAACGTGAAAGTGCTTCGGCTTGCTGCATTCTATTGCAAATCAAATATTTCAAAGAAAGGGGATGAAAGCGATGTCTTTCAAGAAGAATTTAATAGCCTTGCAATTAATGAAGCTAAGAATAAGAGGTGGAACGAACTTGTGGAGTTAAATAGTTGTACATTAATGTCATTAACAAACACAGGTTTTTTTTAAATTAAAATTCCGTGTATTAAACAATTAAATTTTTATAGCTGTCTTTGAAAGTAACCAAGGTCTCTCATTTTGTTTCTTTGCTACACCTATTTCTCATGGGTTTAATGAAGCTAAAACTTTAAATGTTTGGAATAACGAACTTTGGTTAACAAATCAACAAGAATTTCTTGACATTCCAGTATGGAACTTTCCATTATCTTTTATTAAAGAAGACCAGTTGGAAGCGTATCCAGAGGATAGTTTAAAAACTCAACATGAAAGAATGCTTGCTTTGAAAATTCTTTGGTGGGGAAATATCTTTTTTGGTTATAAATTTTACATTAAAGGTCCGCGACATTGGTACAGTCTGATAAAACCCCGAATATGATTTTTGGTGAGTCCTTTTTGCTTTCTGGTGCTATGACAAAGGATAATGAGACGTCCGGTGAATGCGTTACATTTTTAGAGAAAACTTGACTTTATTTACTAAAAATCAAAATACCTACTTGTGTTAACCCATTTTGGAAATAAAACTTTTTAATCCTTAATAAATTTGTCTTTGTGCCTATAGCTTTGCAGCACTAAAAGTTGAATTGACTACAACGGATTATAACTTATGCCAAACTTCAAAGGCAACATAAGTACTTAGGAAGAAATAAGTTTGCCTTGTTTTACATTTGTGTTTGTTTATCCTTCTTTTCTTATAAAACCTTTTTGGGTGTTTTTGATCCAGAATTTTGTTGAACAAACGAATTGAGTAAAATTGTTTTACAATTACTATAAAAATGTAGAATTTGCTATAGATTTTTCTATGCAAATTAGATGTTTAGCAATTATATATGAAAATCGAGACAATTAGCTCATGGCCTTGTATCATATGTACTGTTAATCTTTATAAATGTGAAGGAAAAATATAATATTTACTCAAGAACAACAACATATGTTCTTGCGCGAGGATATTTAATTTTACTCACTTCCTTGTTCCTTCATTCTTTTCGTCTTACACTAGAGCATCAACTCTCCCCATTCTTAAAATAAATGCCTAAACATAGTCTAATCGCCATTTCGCAATACGGGCAATAACACTACCTTACTGCATATATTTTTCATTGTAGCAATTTTTGATTTATGTTTTTATCAAAAATTATTTATATGTTCGTGTGGTCACGAAATAAAATTATTTTGTTAAATTTTATGTACTTTTCTCCATCTTATAAGTTTGCAGCTGTCGCCTTTCCTCCATATCTTGGCACTTTTGTTTGCGCAGGTGTGGTCAACTTCTCTTTCAAAATTCCTTCCATTTCATCTTCATGAAAAGCTAAAAAATTTTTAAAAAGAAAACTTAAATATCGCGAACTTTATTCCGAACACTTATTTTATGACTACCTAACATGTAAAAAATTTAAAAATACATAAATGCACATTTTTACTTTAATTTTTATGAGGTGACGTAAAATTTTTATGAGGTTAAGTTGTCGTTTCAATTTCTAATTTTATACCTCACCTTAAGATTCTTTATTGGAATGCACAGCATTTTCTCCAGCATGCACCACTGTTTCTAATTTAATTTCTCCCTTTGAGTTCCTACCAAAAAATTTCCCTCAATTCCTAATTGTCTTTTTCGTCCAATAAAAGTTTATTTTCTTCCCCGAGATCAGATTAATTTACTGGTTTTATAAACTCAATCGAATTATAAATTAAGATCTTTTTCATAATTTTTCAATTTGTATTCCAATTACTTTCCTTCAAAAAATTTTAATTAAGTCCGAGTGAAAAATCCTAAAAAAGGAAAAGACCTGCGGGTAGGCTTACATATACCTTTTTTGAGCTTATATTAGTTGTTCAAAACTTTATTTTACTTGAATAAAGTAATTTTATAAAGCTTAAATTATAGCAAAAATTCTTTTTATTATTTTGTTATGCCTGTACGATTGCATAGACTGAAACCAACAATTTCACACCCTGTGTTCTTTATTATTTTTTCTAAAATTTTTAATTTGATTATTGCTTCTGGTCAATTACGTTTTCATTTGGCTATTCTTAATATTTCTGAACATGGAATAAATGACAACAATGTTTCTAATCCTATTAAAAGTTGTTACTGTATTAATGGCGGTAAATGTATTGAAAATAAATGTGTTTGTCCCATTGGCTATTGGGGAGAGAATTGTGAAAAGGTAATTTTAATTTACTTTTGGCAATTAAAAATTTATCTTTTCAATTAAATTTTACTTATTCTAGTGTATTCCTAACTCAAGATGCAAAGGATTTTGTCGTCGAGGACCTGGTGAATGTACTTGCCCCTTTGGAAAGGGAGGACAATTTTGTGAAAAAGGTTAATCAGAATAATATTTTGAAAATTTCTAATTTAAAAGATTTGGTATTCTGCACTAAAAATTCACCCTGTCAGAATGGTGGAATATGCCAAAATAATGCTGAAGGAAATTATACTTGTAAATGTATTCCCGGTTTTGGCGGCAGAAATTGTGAAAGAAAATTAACAAAATGTGAAGAAGAACCATGCTATAATGGGGCAAAATGCATTCCAGTTAGTTCTGAAGCCATAATTTTTTATTTATTCTCTTTTCCAGTCGTTTTCCTATCCTGGATTCCGCTGTTTGTGTCCTTCTCTACTTGGTCTTTATGGCCGTTTTTGTGAAATAAAAGCTCCAAATGGGTGTCTTGATTTACCTTGCCAAAATGGCGGTTCTTGTATTGACTGTTCAAATAATATCCGCAACAATACGTTTAAATGTATATGTCCAGAAGGATGGACTGGACCTCTATGTGAAGTGCCCTGGGGATATTGTAGTGAAAATCCTTGTCAAAATGGTCAGAGCTTGCAATTTTTTAGAATGAACTAAACTTAAAAATTTTATTCTAGGTGGTTCTTGTGTAACAGATAATTTGAATGAAAAGGGATATGTTTGCTTTTGTAAGCCTGGTTGGTCTGGTGTTAATTGTGAAGATAAGATCAATAATTGTTTGATAAATCCATGCTTAAATGGAGGAATTTGTTTTAATTCAATGAATGCCTTTCGCTGTTATTGTACAAATCAATGGGAAGGTGAAATTTGTCAAAACAGGATCCAGAGGCAGTTAAGAGATTATAAACGGTTAGTATTTTCATGAGTTTACCCAGAGGATTCTAAGGACAAATTTTGAGAGAAGAGAATTTCAAAGGGGCGTTAAGACGATAATTCTTTACGAAGGACCTCAAATGAAAAATTCGCTTTGACCAATTTCCTACCTACTTTCTTTGCGTTACGAGCATACTACCTCCTGCCAAAGGGCTACCTTCATGTGTATGAGGCTTTCCTCCAGGGTATTACCACTAATGTATTTTTAAAAATTTTTAAGCGATCATATCGAATCTTCAAAACAACGGAACAACAATAATTTTTTGTTTAATGTTATTTCTTTATTACTGGCTCTAATAGCTTTATTATTGGCATTTCTTTCTTTACTTTATTATGTTTTACGTTTTCTACTTTTATTTAATGATTCAAATAATTTAAAAATGAACAAAAGAAATGTTGATTTAGAAAGTTGTCAAAACCTTCAACAAATTTCATTCATTTATTCAAGATATAAAAAAAGTAGACATTTTGGAGATATTTCTTTACCAGAGTATTTATCGCCTCGTTATACATCATTACCTAATAATAAAACAACAAATTCTAATATTTATGAAGAAATCAATTATGACTTAAGCCATCAAAATATTTGAAACAATGTTTCAAACTCTTGTTTATTCTAATAGATGGACAGCCCAGTCTGTCAAATATTTCAAAGTGGCTATACTAATGAAGGCTTCATATCAGAGGATTCTGTTAGTAGAATACAATAGTTCACTCACACAACATACTTTTACGGGTCATACAGATAATTTCCTCGTTATTTTTGTTGTTTCTCACATACATAAATAAAAAAATTTTAATCGTACTTTATTTACTTTCTATGTATTTTTTAATCTATTTTTGTAACTTGCGGTTGAGTTTTGATACAAATCATCGATTATTTAAAATGTCGTCACGGCCAAAAAGGATCAATACATCGCCGCAGTTCAAATTAATTCAAATGTCACCGCCCTAATAGCAGCGATATTTTGTCCCTTTTTGCCCATAGCGACATTTTGATGAACGACATTTTTAACTATTTTGCACGTCACGACATTTTACTTAAATCGGCTACGAATAAATCTTTAACGTGCCGTGGCGCTGCGTGTCCTTAATTATCTATGATGTTGTATCATTTTTAAAATTTATTCTAATTATTGTTCAGTTAATACTAAATTTCAGTATTTTTTTAGATAAGATGATTTTCGACTTAATTTTTTTTCTAAATCTTTTTGCTTTGATACCATGTTTTAATGGTGAAACGATAGATTTAGATTATTTACGCTTATTGGATGATCGTTTGATGTACAGCATTGATTATAAACCGATTGACCAGTTTCCGACGGATATAGAAGAAAAGGAGGGAAAGTTAGTTCAGATAACTTCACCAGATCAAGAACAGTACAAGTGTCTCATACCTACAATTAACACTTACGTTTGGACTAATTTTTATTTTATATTTTACTTTTTATTTAGTCAAAGAAGCGCATTGAAGCATATACTGGTCCTTCACCCGCGCAATTACTCAATCCAATCTATGACGAAAGCATATGTTCATACAAATTTGAAGCTTATTGGAATTACGAGGTTACCAAAAATACTCGATAATTTTGTTTACCTTTTCAGCTTTGTCATGGACGATATGTATTGCAATATCATGAAGAAAAGGATACAAAGAAAAGAACTGAATTTTTTCTGGGCAATTATGTGAGCGTTGCTGCCGTCGTGGTATTTATTTTTATAAATATAGATAACATTTCTAAATTTTAATAAAAATTAAATGTCAGAATTTTCTTTGAAAAATTTCTAATTAATTTTTTGGATGCGTCTTAAACTATAAATGTTTCAGGAAGCTAAAAATTTTGACCAATTGAATCCCCCCACAAAGAAGATTGGAGATGAGGTGCGCGCTTACTATCCTGGTATATTTATATTAATACGTATCCCAAGTTTATTTTTTCTAGTAACCTACTCACACGGAACTTTATGTGATCTGAATGGCAAACCTCGACAAACAGTTGTGCTATATGTTTGCGAGGAGGTTTGTTTTTCTGTAACTAATTTAATCGATGAATATAAGGAAAAAATGGGATTTGAATGTTTATTCTTTCCAGAATGCCCAGCAAAATATTTATTCATTCACGGAAATATCATCTTGCCATTATGAGATAATTGTTTTTGCAAATGAATTGTGCGCTCATCCGGCCTTTCAGATAATGCCTCGTAAAGAAAATGAGATTAAGTATTTTTATTTTTAAATTAGTTCATATTTATTTTCTAATTACAGATGTTTCCCATTGAGTAAACTTCATAATGAGGATCCAAAACCAAAAGCTGTTATAAAAATTCAAGAAGAAGCCGAAAAACAATATGCACAAGAATATGCACTATTAAAACAACTGACTGATGTAAAAACCGCGAAACAAATTTTCAGCAAATTCTTCCAGGTTTTTTTTGCAAATTCTATTAAATAGATGTGAGCTTGGGATGGTAATTTTGTTTTGTCGCTCTCTTTTTCTTTCTCGTCGGGAAAAAAGAGCAACGAAACCACACCGATCTAAAATTCATAAATTTTGTGATCCATTAGAAAACACTATGTATATCCAATGTTTCACAGCTCTTTAGCATTTGGAGAAAAATTTCTTATCAGACTTTACAGATCAATGATGAATCTATAGAAGATGGTTTTGGACAACTCACAGCTGTTCTTGAATCAATCAAAAAAGTTGCGCAACAAAAACGTGCTGATATGAAAAAATCCCTTGCATCAAAGGAGCATAGCCAAGAGAAGCAGGAGCTGACCAAAGATCCTGAATCTCCACCGAATGAATTGGAACAAATTGTTAAAGGGTTCTTTCGTGGAACTGTTTGTTTGCATGGTGGTTTTGGTTGGTGGAAATATGAAGTTTGTTACGGAAAAACGGTATTCTTTGTAATGTTTATACTCTATAAATTTTTATTCAAGGTAATGCAATACCACTCTGAAATTGGCAAAAAGCGCGAAAATATTTTGTTGGGAGTTTTTGACAAGGCTGTACATATGGTGCATTTAATTGTTATTGTAAATTGGGTTCATACTTTTTATTTAAGGCTTGGGCCATAGAACATCCAGAGAAGGTTATTGAGCGCAATGAAGACGGAAGAGTTATGAGTGCAACAAACCTTTACACACAGGGCGATAAGTGTGAGGAGAATGGAGCTCACAGGTTTTTTAAAGGTTCTTTCTGTCCGATATATTAAGGATTCTTTAGATCGTGTGAAGTGCGGATTCGCTGTAGAGATGATATTGTTTCTCAGAAGGTGTTCATCTATATGCTAGAGGTTCTATTTTATATTTATAAAAGCTTCGTTCTATTTATTTTATTAGAGCTATCATAAAATATAATAATTCGATTATTTTGCAGCCATCAACGTGCCAATACATAGTGGTGTTGGAATCAACTATGTTTTGTGAACCGCTTCAAAATGTAGACTCTTTCGGGTTATTAAGAGAGAATATGGGCGCCTTGATCACTTTAGCCCCAACAGAGATTGATGAAAAACAAAGTAAGAAAGAGAATAAAGATGATTTAAATTAGATCACACTTGTTTTTGTACAATTCTTTCCAGTTATTTTTTAATTACTTTTCCAGGAATTTCGGGTTGAGTTTCTATTTATTTCTTTAAACCTTGTATGATTAAATATAGCGATTTTTTCATTTTTATTCTATCAATTTATTTCGTTGAATATCTTTTACTGTTTTGTTTTATTTAAATTTTAATTTTAAAAGTTAATGTCCGACTATTTAGAAGAAAATGATGTTCAGTTATTGAAGAAAGCAATTTCTGAATATTGTGTTTCCACTGATAAATCGACTTCTGTTCGCATTAGGAAGCGCCCGCTAGTTGTAAAATCAAATATTCACGATGCTAAAGGTTTATTCATTGTTAATTCAAGAAAATTCGATTATTTAGGTGATGCCATTTCTTTTGTTTTTGAGAGCATGATTTTCAGGTTTGTTTGAATCGTCTATATTAACACGGCTATTACTATAGAAAATTTCCGTTATGGGCGTCTTACATGTTAGCCTACGATTTTATTGAAAAATTTTATGACGAACTTGAAACAATAGATCCCGAGAAAGGTATTGTTAAATTTAATTAAAAATTACAATTAGTAGAAGCAGATACTTGGTATTCTAATGTAATTGCTTGTTTTGAGCGGTACTTAAGGGAAATGAGCGCAGGAGTTCTTAGCCTTCCAGGTTAGAAATTCAGTTTGCTAAATAAAAAATAAATCTAGCAAAACCTCGTGATTGGGATAGATATTCAATTTCTTTATGTTCACAAAAAAATCGAAAGCCAAAAATGGAGGATCGTCATATTGTTTTGGTATATATGCTTTAAAATAAAAATTTATAAATAGAATTGTCAAGCCCTCATTCTCAGTTATTGATTCGCAGTTTCCGAGCTCGGATGCTTTCTTCGCTGTTTTTGATGGTAGTTTAACATGTATTTATTATTATATAATTTTTTCCTAGGACACAATGGATCTGATTGTTCAGCGTATGCGAGCGCTCATTTTTTGGAATGCCTTCTAGATGCGCGTTCAAGTGGAAGCAGTGAAGAAAGTCTTTTAGAAGATGCCTTCATTAAGATGGATACTCGATTGACAAACCGTTGTCTTAGTGAAGTGGATGAATTTTTTTAAAAATAAATCCTCTTTTTCTGATAGAATTACAAAAGCGGAACAACGGTCAGCTGCATTTACCTGAAGGATCGGAAAATTGCTTATATGGTATATTTCAGACATTTTAGATTAATAAAAAGATATTGATCAGGCGTGGTGTGGAGATTCATCAATAGGTTTATAAATCATGCGATGATATTGAAATAAACATTAAATTATAGCGGTGTTGAAGGAGAGAAGAATTGAGACGCTTTCGATCCCGCACAAACCTGACAATCCAGTTAAATATTTATTTATCGACATTTAGTTTATATTATTTTTAGGAAGAGAGGAATCGAATAGAAGAAGCAGGTGGAATGGTCATAAATGTTCAAGGAGTTCCTCGATTGAATGGAGTTCTCAATCTAAGCCGTTCATTGGGGGATATTCGTGCTAAAGTAATTTAATATAAAAAATTTTTTAAAGCAAAATTAAGCCGATGATTAGCTCGAAACCAGATTTGAGTACGTACCCACTTTCAGAAAATGAGGTAGACTACATGATATTTCTTTCAACCGATGGAATATGGGATTGCCTAGAAGAAGAACAAATTTTCGAGTTAGTTCGTATTTTCGTCACAGAGCATTCAATTAAAGGTTTAAGATTGGAAATTTCAATAAATCTTGTTAAATTTAAGATTTCTACTTGTTGGCGGACTTTATCGCTGCCAAATCAAAAGAAGCTGACTCCGTCGACAATATGACGTTAATATGTGTTTGTTTGGAATCTCTCGAAGAGATTTGGAATACTTTTGCTTATAAAGTTGAAGATCGTCCTCTATCGGAAAGATGTTAAATATTTAAGATAGGGTTGGACACAACTGGTTATAAACCGGCACCTTAAGTTTTCGGTTAATCTAATTTAAAATACCTGGTTTTCGGTTTTGAGTTTTAGACAAATACCGGTCTTATTTCGGGGTAATTTTCAATAAAATAACTCATTTTCACAAGTTCCCGGCTTTTAAAATTTTCTAAGAACGGTTAATTTTTGGTAAAAAAAAATCAAAAATTCCGGTTTTAAAACCGGTCGTGTCCAACCTTAATTTAAAAGAATCACATCAAGTACCTTATATTTTTTAAAGACCAAATTATTTTTGTGTACATACCTCTTACGTAAATATGTAATTTAAATATTTCATGAGTTTATTTTTTTTAATTCTGATTTTAAATTCAGTCTATATTTATTATATTTTTTCTCAAGAATAACGTCTTTATCTTTTTAGATTGCCAACGAGTTTGAACTGGCATTAACTGCTGGTGTATTATGTATTACTGGCATTAACTGCTGGTGTATTATGTATTACTGGCATTAACTGCTGGTGTAGTATGTATTACTGGCATTAATTGCTGGTGTAGTATGTATTACTGACGTTAATTGCTGGTGTACATATATATTACTGGCATTAATTGCTGGTGTATATGTATTACTGGTATTAACTGCTGGTGTACATGGGTATTACTGGCATTAATTCTGTTCGTATGTATTACTGGCATTAACTGCTGGTGTACAGGTATTACTGGCATTTATTGCTGGTGTACAGGTATTACTGGTATTAACTGCTGGTGTACATACTTCTTACAGCATTAATTGCTGGTGTACTTATGTATTACTGGCATTAATTGCTGGTGTACATGTATTACTGGTATTAACTGCTGGTGTATTATGTATTACTGGCATTAATTGCTGGTGTACGTATCTATTACTGACATTAGTTGCTGGTGTACATATATATTACTGACATTAATTGCTGGTGTACATATATATTACTGACATTAATTGCTGGTGTACAATATATTACTGACATTAATTGCTAGTTTAAATAGCCAACACCAAAATAACTTAATGGCAATGATGAGAATTTTTAAATAAATAGAATAAAATCGCTGATTACAAGCTATTCTCTGAGCCATTCTTAATAATTATTTTGAAATTAGAAAATAATGGTACTGATGGTTCTCGTCGAGGTAGAATGGGTTGGGGTGAAGTAATTATGGATGAGAATTCCTGGGGTCGTAGTATCAACATAATGTGTTTGGCAGTGGAACATCTGCTACCCAGAGGTAAGATTTTGACGAGAAAATTAATATAATTCGGTTCTTTCAGACCCAATGATTTTTAGACTTAAGAAAACATCTCCAACCGCTTATTGTGACTGCTGAGAAAAATGTGAATGTAAAGCGTTGGTCACTGGAAATAATGCAAAGAGGGAACAATTGCTTTCTGGTTTTTTAATTTTTTAAACTTCATTAATATTTAATTTCGATAGGAATGTTACAATGCCCTGCATTGATTGATGGTCTTAATTCTAAAGGAGAACACATTTTACTCTTTGGCTCGCATTGTTGGTCGTCAGGTTTTTAATAAATTTTTGTTCATTTAAAATGTTTAATTTAACGCATAGTTAATAGAACAAGAAGGCTATACGAAACGGAGTAAGCGCCCTGGACCTACTACCACAACTACAGCTTATGGAGTTCCTATTCCTGAACATGATCTTGACCACCAAAATTTGCTAGAAAAGGTTTTTTTAGAGCCGGGTCATAACGTCGTGACGAAACGGCGAGATTGAATTGACACAAACCGAAACGGCGCAATGCCAAAACGGCGCGTGGAAAGTTGTTCCGACTGCGGGGATGTTGTTTCGATAGTTTGCGCCGTTTTGGTCGCGACGTTTAGCCTTTGCCATTTTGCGCTGTACTTTCTCAGGATGTTTGCGCGTTGCTTGTGTCAAGTTGGTCGCAATAATGCCCCAGGGGAGGGTAGGGAATTTTGTCCATTCTTTTCTGTGCCAACCTATTATACTTTTTTTAATTTAAGGTTTTAACTTTAGTTACTCTTTTCAAAAGAATTTGCCTACATCAACCACTACATATTACGAGGTGATGGGTACAACTAATGGTAATGAGGGGAGTGGAGATATGGGTTTGATTTTTATATTTAAAAATTAATTTGGAGATACTTAGATATTTGCCGAGTCTGCCGTTTGACGGGAAATGATGCTCTTTACCATCTTCGTCTCCGCACTGGTAGCATCAAATACGTCCATCAGGATTGTCTGTTACAATGGCTAAGTACAGCAAAAAGGATGTTTGTGAACTTTGCAATCATAAATTTTCCTTTCGTCCCCTCTACCGAGCTGACATGCCTGAACGTTTACCATTGAGGGATTTACTGCGAGGTTTATTTTAAATGTTTTGCGTTTCAAAATTTTTTGCATGTTAGGGATATTTCTGATTGTTGCTCGATTCTTTGCGCCTAGGATTTACTTACACTCTGGTTTTTAATTGTTGTAGATCATCGAGAGCATCAAAGACAAAGAGCTCGCCAACGTCTCATGCGTGGTGATCAGAATGAACAGCTTGGGCTTTTGGAAGTTCTTGAGGCTATTGAAGATGACACAACGGATGACGAACCTGCTGACGAAAATGAAAATGATCACGTTGGAAATGAACTAATAATGCACAAAATAATCATAAAGGTTTTTCATTATAATGTATCGAATAAAACAAGTTTCATTTTATTAAGAAGCTTGTGAAAACTCTAGTCAAGTGGCTGATTCTTCTAAAGTCGGTGAATCGAGCAGCGCAGCACCTTTAAATACTGATATAAAAAACAACGCAGCACACGCAGAACCACAACAGAACAATCCCAATAATTTAATGTTGATGAAGGTATGCAACAACAGAACGAGCAAGGAGAGCATCGTCAAGCTCGACAACGTGTTCAAGAGCAGCGTGAACAACGAAATTTAGGTGCACTCCTGCATTTCCGTGATACTGCTTTAACTGTGGAATATGTTCGACCTAATCTTTTTCCACTAAGAATTGTATTGTTATTAATATGTTTTGCCATAACAGCAATATTATTTGCTCTTTCAGCCTTTCTTATACCAGGTTTTTATTATTTTAATAAGGGTAATTCTTGAGCTTATATCATTTCCTTAAATATCAAGCTTTTCTTTTGCTATGGAAAATGTGCCCAAAATTATTTTGTATCCCCTATCTTTTTAATGCCTTTTTACTGCGAATGTAACAAGTATACAATATTTTAGTCACAATCGGACGCACATTATTTAAGAAGTTCGCATTAACAAGCCAGTCTTCTCAAATCCGTAAGTAATATTTTAGTAATTTTCATGAGTTTCAATTGATCTCATGTCATTTTTTGTTTTTATATGTAGATAGGTTGAAATTTAATGCGAAACCCTAACACAAAATTGTATCCCTAATATTAAAAATTACAGATGATCTTTATAGTATTGCGACTGGTGTATACATTTGTTGGATTTTAACTCGGCTTATTTCTATGACTAAAGTATGGTTGCACAAAGGATGGAGCTATATGAAAAAGGTCTTTATTTAAAATTTATATTTCTGCTGCATCCAACAATTATTCCCATTGCCATAATTATTTTTTAGGTATTCAGCACTGCTGTTTGGTTAGGTTTTCGAGTTATTGCTGCAGATGTTCCTTTGCTTGTTGTTATTCCTTTTATGCTTGGATTTTATTTCCAAATGCTAGTTACCAGTCCACTTAGGGTGGTACGTATAAATTTTTTTGGATGTAATGTTTTTAGTATCTTTATATTTCTCACCTCCCTGTCTTTTATCTTCAGACATAAAATATAATAAAAAATTTTAGGCTATTTTTCAATCACCGTTATTTTTCCCATGGAAGGAATGAGCGATGGGTGTCGTCCATTTTAAAATAATTTGTGCATCTGTATTAATGGGACCGGACTGGTGGTTAAAAACTGCTTTCGAACAGGTTTTGTCTTTAATTGAAATGATATACCTAAATCCTAGTGCAGATTTATGCTGATGGAATTTGGAACTTTCAGCTAAAGGAGTTATATATTAATATGGTTATACCAGTTGGGAATGCATTTTCATTTTTAATCGCTTTCCCTTATGTGGCCAGCAAATTTATACTGCTTTTCGTTGGTGAGTAAAAATTGAATTGCGTTTAATTTTAAATATCCAATTTCAACAGAGGCAGATCGTGAAAACCAAGTGATTATAATACGCTATTCATATCCATTTTTTTGGTTCTATTTTATAGTAGCTTTTCTTATCTGGCAATGGAAAAAATTGAAGATGTTGGCACAGAAAATTCGAGTTTTGTAGATTGTCAAATTCGGAAGAGTGAGAAGGTTGGCCCAATTTTCTTTGACACGCCTCAGCCCGGAGAGATGGCTTTTGACAAGCCTTATTCCGAGTCAACTGCTCAACTTATTGGCCAAGAAGTAGGGTTTCACCGGAACCGAAATTTTGACCGGAACCGGAACCTGATCCAATTTGAGTTCCGGTTCCCGGAACCGGAACTTTTCTAAGTTCCGGCCCGGAACCGGAACCTTAAGGTAAAAGTAACTTTCCGTGATGAACCTGGTGAAGGTACCGCAGTTGAGCGTCATTTTGCACGTCACTTTTTTTTTAGCAGAACCGTCGTTATCTGGTTAAGATGAGAGTTTGGATGAACATGAAGGGGTTTGTTTAGTCGCGAAATTAAAAAAATTTAATCGTTAGGAAGATGCGTCTGGAAGTGATCACAATGACATTTATGATGATGATGAAGCTGAGCCATATTTTGCATCCGCATCCACGACGATACTGATGACAAAGGTGAAGTGCACGGTGGATGGTAAAACTGTAGCGGATGGCACTGAACGTCAACTGCGAATGGACTAAAATGAGTGAAGTAAGATGTTGATGAATTGTTAAAGATGAGAGAAGCTAAAAAATGTGGCAAAGATGCTACAGCCGCATTTAAAGGTCTAAAATTTTTTAATAACATAAATATGGTTTTTGAGTGCTTTTCCGTTTACACGAAAATTTTATGGATATAGTGTAGTGTACCGGTGGTAAAAGTTCGGGACGTGACATATGTCATTCGATTCGTCTCGACGAGCTGAGTCGAACGGTACCACTCCCTACTTTAGGAAATAATTCTGGACCGAGTTATAGGTCCCGAAAAATCGAAAAACCAAAGGGGGGACCAAGCACATTTTTGGGGTGAAAAATTCGAAAATGCAAATTATATCTCATTCGAAAGAGCTCGTCGAGCTGAGTCGAATGACACCAAAATCAGCTTGATTGAACAAGTTTGAGTCGAGATATAGGGCTCGAAATGGTCAAAAACCATAGGGGGGATTTTATGGCCAAAAATTCGATTCCACAAATGTTAGCTCATTCGGAAGAGCTCGACAAGCTGAATCGAATGACACCAAAATCACCGTGATTGGACAAGATTAGACAAAGTTATGACACAAAAAACAAAAAAAAACCTAAACCTATGGAGCGTCGGCGAGGCGCTTGTGCAAAACCCCGCGCTTCGCGCGGGGTTTTGCGGCACGCGCCTCGCGGGGAGTCTACGGGCGGTGGGTCTGGGCTCGTAACATAAACCTATTCCTATCTCCCTTGCTCTGGACGTATTTGGGGCCTCCGTAGCAGCAAAAATCTCCACAAATTACATAGGTAAGGAGCTAAAACAAACGGTCATAACTAGGGTTGGTCCCCGACCCCGACTAACCCCGACCCCGACCCCGAACCCCGACATTTTTTGACCTAAAACCCCGACCCCGACCCCGACATTCCCAACCCCGAAAACCCCGACCCCCGAAAGTTCGACCCCGACGACCCCGAACCCCGAAAAATTTTTATGCCCCCGACTCAAACTGCATTAATTAACTAGAGATCGGAACGGGATCGGGACTTTGATGCTAAATATATGAAGGAAAAGGGAAAGGAATATTTATATTTTCTCCTGTTTCCTTTTGTTGGTCGATGGTTGAGTGGTTAGGTTAACTGACTTCAGCCATCTAGCTATTTTGATAGGAATGTTGTTCGAATCCAGGGATGGAAATAAGGCTGAGAAAATTTTTCTTCTCAAAAATAAATACATATTTTTAAACTATGATCTTGATTTTAAATTTGCAAATTTATTTTTTTAAATATTTTACACTTGAAACAATATTAGAAATTTTAAACTAGTCATGAATTTTCCAAAATTTTCGCCTGCGGCGCAGAAAATTGAAGAAATCTGTCTCTTGGCCTTCCAAAATTCTAAAAATTTTCGCCTGCGGCGCAGAAATTGAAGAAATCTGTCTCTTGGCCTTCCAAAATTCTCAAAATTTTTGCCTGCGGCGCCGAAAATGGAAGAAATCTGGCTCTTGACCTTCCAAAATTCTCAAAATTTTTGCCTGCGGCGCTAGACTCAATGAAGGGATACAGAGGCTTTAGGAGAAATTGATGGATAGATGGATTTCTCCCGTTATCCTTGCAACTCCCCGATATCCCGTCAAATCCTTCTAAATCCCATTATATCCATCTTAATCCTCTGATATGCCTTCATATCCCCTCAATCCCTTTACATAAGAAGTGGAGTAAGAGTTACCTTGTGGGTTTGGGGATTTTGGGGATTATGAAGGATAACTTGGATAAAGTACTTCTTGCGCCTTCAACTAATCACGAATTAGATACAGAAAGTGAAGATATTGAAGATTAAGTTGATTTTTTAATAAAAATGTTGATTTTGTACAGTAATTTTGGATAAAAATGCTGGATTTTGTAAATTTTCACTTCAACCCCGACCCCCGACCCCGACCCCGAACCCCGACATTATTTTCAGCCCCGACCCCGACCCCGAACAATTTGAGCAACCCCGACCCCGACCCCGACTTTGTCAACCCCGAAAACCCCGACCCCCGACTTTTCCAACCCCGAAGGCTCGGGGACCAACCCTAGTCATAACTTTGTCAAATCAAGTCGGATTTTGTTGATTTTGGTGTCATTGGACTCAGCTCGACGAGCTCTTTCGAATGAGGTATAATTTGCATTTTCGAATTTTTCACCCCAAAAATGTGCTTGGTCCCCCCTTTGGTTTTTCGATTTTTCGGGACCTATAACTCGGTCCAGAATTATTTCCTAAAGTAGGGAGTGGTACCGTTCGACTCAGCTCGTCGAGACGAATCGAATGACATATGTCACGTCCCGAACTTTTACCACCGGTACACTACACTACAGCCAATTTTATTTCTATTTCAATTATTAATCATATCAAAGATTACAAAGACAAAGATTTTCAAGAATTAAGCAAAACACGAAATATATTAGGTGTAAGTGAAAAACGGAAAAGTACAAATCTATACCAATTGTAAAAAAGAGTTGGGCGACTTTCTTTATAAGAAGTTCTCAAAACCACCATTTCTTTACAAGTAGTATATTTTTTTCATTTTTTTGTATATAGTTAAAAATTTTTGGGTTCCCACACGTCCCGCGGGCTTACCTCAGTCCCAGCTAATCAAAGCTCGAATAACTTAATAAACGCACTGAACTGACCACCCCCTATTTTCAAAATACTATTTCAATAGGATCGGGCTTTCATACCTCCCAGTAACATATACCAAGGTACGGGACCATCTTCCATAGGTACAGACAGTAGGGCACATAGACCTTTGAGTAGACGTAGACCCCCTTCTATCCCGAAACGCCCCCGACAAACTGTCACTGACCCAAATGTCCAACGATCAATTGTCCATGACCCAAATGTCCAACGATCAATTGTCCATGACCCAAATGTCCAAATGATCAATTGTCCCACTGATCAATTGTCCAGTGATCAATTGTCCAATGATTAAATGTCCAGTGATCAATTGTCCCACTGATCAATTGTCCACTGACCAATTGTCCATGGACCAAATGTCCAGTGATCAATTGTCCCACTGATCAATTGTCCAGTGACCAATTGTCCAGTGATCAATTGTCCAATGACCAATTGTCCCACACTGAAAATTCTGCACTGAACTGACCACCCCCTATTTTCAAAATACTATTTCAATAGGATCGGGCTTTCATACCTCCCAGTAACATATACCAAGGTACGGGACCATCTTCCATAGGTACAGACAGTAGGGCACATAGACCTTTGAGTAGACGTAGACCAAATGTCCAGTGATCAATTGTCCCACTGATCAATTGTCCAGTGACCAATTGTCCAGTGATCAATTGTCCAATGACCAATTGTCCCACACTGAAAATTCTGCACTGAACTGACCACCCCCTATTTTCAAAATACTATTTCAATAGGATCGGGCTTTCATACCTCCCAGTAACATATACCAAGGTACGGGACCATCTTCCATAGGTACAGACAGTAGGGCACATAGACCTTTGAGTAGACGTAGACCCCCTTCTATCCCGAAACGCCCCCGACAAACTGTCACTGACCCAAATGTCCAACGATCAATTGTCCATGACCCAAATGTCCAACGATCAATTGTCCATGACCCAAATGTCCAAATGATCAATTGTCCCACTGATCAATTGTCCAGTGATCAATTGTCCAATGATTAAATGTCCAGTGATCAATTGTCCCACTGATCAATTGTCCACTGACCAATTGTCCATGGACCAAATGTCCAGTGATCAATTGTCCCACTGATCAATTGTCCAGTGATCAATTGTCCAATGACCAATTGTCCCACACTGAAAATTCTGCACTGAACTGACCACCCCCTATTTTCAAAATACTATTTCAATAGGATCGGGCTTTCATACCTCCCAGTAACATATACCAAGGTACGGGACCATCTTCCATAGGTACAGACAGTAGGGCACATAGACCTTTGAGTAGACGTAGACCCCCTTCTATCCCGAAACGCCCCCGACAAACTGTCACTGACCCAAATGTCCAACGATCAATTGTCCATGACCCAAATGTCCAACGATCAATTGTCCATGACCCAAATGTCCAAATGATCAATTGTCCCACTGATCAATTGTCCAGTGATCAATTGTCCAATGATTAAATGTCCAGTGATCAATTGTCCCACTGACCAATTGTCCACTGACCAATTGTCCATGGACCAAATGTCCAGTGATCAATTGTCCCACTGATCAATTGTCCAGTGACCAATTGTCCAGTGATCAATTGTCCAATGACCAATTGTCCCACACTGAAAATTCTGCACTGAACTGACCACCCCCTATTTTCAAAATACTATTTCAATAGGATCGGGCTTTCATACCTCCCAGTAACATATACCAAGGTACGGGACCATCTTCCATAGGTACAGACAGTAGGGCACATAGACCTTTGAGTAGACGTAGACCAAATGTCCAGTGATCAATTGTCCCACTGATCAATTGTCCAGTGACCAATTGTCCAGTGATCAATTGTCCAATGACCAATTGTCCCACACTGAAAATTCTGCACTGAACTGACCACCCCCTATTTTCAAAATACTATTTCAATAGGATCGGGCTTTCATACCTCCCAGTAACATATACCAAGGTACGGGACCATCTTCCATAGGTACAGACAGTAGGGCACATAGACCTTTGAGTAGACGTAGACCAAATGTCCAGTGATCAATTGTCCCACTGATCAATTGTCCAGTGACCAATTGTCCAGTGATCAATTGTCCAATGACCAATTGTCCCACACTGAAAATTCTGCACTGAACTGACCACCCCCTATTTTCAAAATACTATTTCAATAGGATCGGGCTTTCATACCTCCCAGTAACATATACCAAGGTACGGGACCATCTTCCATAGGTACAGACAGTAGGGCACATAGACCTTTGAGTAGACGTAGACCCCCTTCTATCCCGAAACGCCCCCGACAAACTGTCACTGACCCAAATGTCCAACGATCAATTGTCCATGACCCAAATGTCCAACGATCAATTGTCCATGACCCAAATGTCCAAATGATCAATTGTCCCACTGATCAATTGTCCAGTGATCAATTGTCCAATGATTAAATGTCCAGTGATCAATTGTCCCACTGAT